AAATCGAGAAACCAAATAAGAAAGATTTCCATTACATTATATTTTCCTTCTATAATTACAGTAAATATTTGAGTGAAATGGGGACTTAATAACAATTCAAGTAGCACCTGTTATTGCTTTATCTACCAGGGAGTGTGTTAACAGATTTGGCACAATATGAAATTTGTTTAGGCTCATTCTACAATTAAGAATAAGTCAATTTCAAATGACTGTTCAGTTCTCACCAATCAACAAGAGAAATTCAATTTTTTTTTTTTTAATTTTATTATTAAAAACAAAGAATGTGCACAAATGCGAACAAACGAATGTGAACTTCGAAGGTAAAGCTAAATGCAACGGAGAAACTCCCCAAATCTTTATATCACAATAGCAGTAGCAAAACATCATCAAACATTGTAGAGAGTGTACGATTTGCTTCGAGAATGTTTTTTTGATGGAGAGCTTTGCCTTGTATAATGTTCACATTACAAAGCATTCTTCTACTTCTAAAAATTGAACTTTAATTTGATTGCAGGGAGAATGCACCTAATTCAAGTCAAGTGGTGAATTACATTTTCATCCATAATCAATGTGCCAATTGTCATGGAGTAAAAAGAAGAGCGGAATAATAAATTAACTACAGAAACAATTGTAAAAAACAGGGGTAATAGTTGTTGAATCAAAAACTATCATTCAAATAATCATTAGCATTGATATTCTTTTTTTTATAATGAATATAATTTGTATTAAATCCGACATTGCTGCAACATGAAATATACAATTCAAAGAAGAAGCAACTAGAAGTTAGAAGCAAGGAAAACAAAGAAAAGAAAAGACTTAGCAATGATCAAAGTAAAGCAACAGACATCAGAGGAAGGGAAAATAAAACAGAACAGTTAAAAACAATGTAATAAAACATCGCAAACCAGCAGCAGTACCACATCAACAAACAATGGCAAAAACACTTAACAAACAGGGAGACCTCATTAACAAATCTAGCAACAAAAGTCATGTGTAATTCAACTATCAAAGCTATACTATATTAACCCTACAAAAAGAATTCTACGGTGCATGTGCAATCTGTGGGCAACAATCATATTACAAAAGCATCAATTGTATCATATGTGCAGCAGAGGAACACCGCATTATATGCACTCCATGTGCCGTATATAAGTAGGAAACAACCCATTACATCAGACCACTATGAGACATCAACTATATATGTCTTCTCTGTGTAGATTACATAATAAAAATAAAAATAAAAATAAAAATAAATCTAAAAATAGCTGAAGTGGAGTCATTCTGCAGATAGGAAGCAAAGATACGTGAAGACAGACATCACACCCAATAAGGAAATCTAGAGCCCTGAAAACAGAGTAGAGGCATTCTTTGAACACAAAAAAATTATAATTTTTATTTTTATTTACCATACCTTCCCTCTAAAGAATGAAAGTATAACCACACTACGTGATAATTTATTTTTTACACAGTTAGCTAACCAGTATACTTAAATTAGTTATATAATTGTTTGTTTTCTTACTGTGTTTAGTAGTGTAAAGAATTTCATTACCCTTACTTATAGCCATATGTAAAAAAGAAAAAGAAAAATTACACCCTAATCCTACTTTTCAATCCTAAAGACAAATAAATCCTAAAAAAAAGTTTATAGAACAAAAAAATCTTACTGTACATAAATATTTCCAATCAAGTCTTAAACTAAGTAAAATCCCTAATTTTTCCTTTCCATATTACCCCTCACTCTCAACCCCTTTTCTCCCTTAAGCAAATCCTAGTCAAATGAAAAAAAAGACGAACAAGAAGCAACCAAATCACCGGCTGCCATAACTTCGCTGCCACAAATCCCCGCCACCACGGCAAACCGTTCCCGCTGCTGCGGATCGATTCACCGGTGAGGACATTATGCAAATCGCTGCCGGAATCCATGGAGCCTATAGTTGCCGATGAGGTGAGTCTTTCCTCTCTCCGTTCTCTGTTCTCATCTTGCCGCCCCAACACACACACACACACATATATATATCCTGATCTCATCGCGAAAATCGTTACAGAGGGGGCAACCACACGACCTCGCTCGAAAAAAGCTTCGATCAAGTAAGAAGCAAGGCTGGAGGGGGTTTTGGCTTTGGATGATGTCGAGGACTCAGCCGCGATGGAGGGCTCGGCCGTGATGGTTTGATCGGTGATGGAAGAAGAAGCTCAGCTGTAAGCTTGCGGCGCGGCTTGGCGGATGGAACAGTAGCCGAGAACAGCGGCTGTGATGGATCCGGCAGGGACGGGCTGGCGGTGAGTTCGGCGAGGATGAACTCAGCCGGTGGAGACGGACGGCGGCTAGAATTAACTGGTTGACTCGGAGCGGAGGACTCAGCTGTGTTGGTGAACTCGCACAATTTGGAGGTCGCAACGAGCTCTGTTTTGGTAAAAAGACCGACCAGATAAATCAGAGGAAAGAGATTTTAAGGAGAAATGTGTGGTCTCATCATCGCTGCTAAACCACCCAACTGAGCTCTGTCAAACCTTTGGTTCCTCAAATGGATTCCCGGATTGGTTAAGGGAGAAAGGGGGTTGAGAGTGAGGGGAATATGGAAAGGGTAAAATAGGGATTCTATTTAGTTTAGGACTTGATTGGAAATATTTATGTAAAGTAAGGCTTCTTTGTCCAATAATTTTTTTTTAGGACTTATTTGTGTTTGAGGTTAAAAAGTAGGATTAAGATGGAATTTCCTCAAAAAAATATTAGAACAATATTTCATAGAACTTGAAATTTTCTAGAATAATATTTCAAAGAATTTTTAAATTTTTTATTGAAAAGTGATCCACAACTACGTGACACGTGAAAAATGCATGTTACACATTCATAATTTGTTAGATAATTCGGACCATGGGGTTCCAAACAATTAAAAAATGTCTTCACAATCAAATCTGTCACATTTATACAACTTAAAAATTGACATTTTTAATTAATATATTGCGATTACAAGGTCTTGAACTATCTAATAAATTATCACTTTCTTTGTGACACATAAAAGAACATGTTTTGGAACAACTCTAATATTATGAATATTGAATAATAGGAACATGAGTGCTTTGTGAGGCAGATGTGCATTGGGAAAGAGAATGTTTTAGGTAACATGTCAAAGGAACTAAACACTTACACCTAAATTTTTTAGGCTTTGCTTGTCAATTTCTTTGTTGGGAGTAATCAATGATTACAATAAAATAAAATAAAAACAATGCATGGGCGTACCATTCTACCCTTCATAGAATAATATGAAATTATGATAAATTACATTGATCTCTTTTTAAAGTATGGACAAATTACACATGGCACATCATTCAACATTTATTGTTTTGACCTTTTCAGCGTTCAACGACTTTCTTATCAATTTTTTTTTACGCAAACCAATTGACCGAATTTTATAAAATAATAATTTTGCTCTTCCCTTGTATTAAAGAATAATAGAGTAAATAATACTTACTTTCCTTGAAGTTTGGACAAATTATACACTACATGTAGATTTTCACATTAACAAATATATTTGTAATATGATATATTAAGGGCATTACCGAATAGGTTTAGAAAAATTGCATTTTGTACATTGAAAAATTATTAGATTGTCCGAAACCAAGCATGTGATCCTGACCAATCAAAAAATACCATGCAACTAAATGTGTCAAGCTCATTTTAGTTTTATGATTTTATGACATTTTAACATCCAATTAGATGTATATATAATACCAAGTCTGTGAACATGAGTGATGTATAATATGACTGAAGTATGTGTGGGCATTTATAGGAGCATTTGGAATCTTAAGCTAATGAGAGCAGCCCTTTGGTTAAGAAAATAAAGTACACATTAAACATCTACTTGGTTCATCTAAAAATATTTTGTGTTTAGTTGATTAATCTAAAAATAGTTTAGGATTACTAAGCATCAACTGTTTTGTGTGTTCAAATGAGTTTGTAAGTGTGAAACACAACGTGCACTACATGTGCAATCTGTAAGTATTAAACAATATGTTACATCATATCCCATATGACAGCGGCATTTTACCTCAAAATAGCTAAAAAGAAGTTAAAGAAAGAAGTGAAGACAAAGAATGAAAACGAAATAGGCTCATTATCTCACACACAAAATAAAATATCTACTAATCACTTATTTATGTAAAAATATTTTTCGTTTTGTGTGTGCAGGGGAGTTAAGGAAAATAGAGCCAGTTACATTCTTTCAACTAAAAAGAAAATATCTGCAAATCACTTTATAAAAATATAGTTGTTAAATATCAAAGTTCTTCTTGATTCACCATTTTGTGGGTGGGAAACACTGTGTGCACTCTATGGGCTGTAGGTATAAAACAATATATTACATCACACTCAAGAGATATTTTATTTCAAAATAGCTAAAGAGAAGACAGAGCTACCATCTTCTAGATTCATAATATTTGTATTAAAAGTTTATTAATCTAAAAATAGATTAGGAGAGTTTAGGATTAGAAAACATCAACCGTTTTGTGTGTGTATGTATGTAAAAGTTAATGAAAACATGCATTCTCCCAAATATATATATATATATATATGACAATCACTTTATGAAAATTTCATAATCCTTCTTGATTCATCTAAAAATATTTGTATTAAGTTGAATAATCTAAAAATAGCTTTAAGAGAGCTTAGGATTACAAAGTACAAATCGTTTCGCGTGTGCATAGGAAGAATTTGTAAGCGGGAAACTCCGTGCAATCCATGTGCAGTCTGTAGATAGGAAATAACATAGTAAGAAGAAAAGGTACAAAAAAAAAAAAAAAAAACAGAGCAGTCGCATTTTACTCGGCACAATTAGTTAACATGTATAATTATTAATTAAATTAGGTAATCAAATGATTGTTTTAAACTATTTTCACTCAAAATTTTATTACTTTTACTTGCAGGCATTATGGAATCAAACAACATTTAAGAAGATAGAATAAATTCAAAGAATAAATACATATAATTTTAGAACAATATTATATATATATAACTTTTAAAAAATAAAAAAAAAAATTCTAGAACAAAATTTCAAATAACTTTTAAATTTTTTTATTTATTGAAAGTGATTAATAATTGTGCAATTCATAAAAAATGCATTTTGTACAAGGAGAAATTATTAGGTGGTTTTTTTAAAAAAAAATTATTAAAAAGTTATTCATAATTTATTGGATAGGGTGGGATTACGAGCACTTTATACATAGCACTTTTTCAATAACAAATTACTTTTTGAAAAAAAAATATAATTAGTTAATGACACAAATGACAACTATTAAAAGTGCAAACCTGTCTTTCTCCATTTGGAGGGATACTAAGGGATAGTACCCAATAACTTCTCGTAATATCAGTAATATCTATATCCGGTACCCAATACTTTCTCATAATCTCGATATCTACTACCCAATACTCTCTCATAATTAGGTTCTGTATTTTTATGGAAGCTTTAACAATTTGTGGCATTTGCAAATCTTGTTCAATTCTAAAAACATGAAAATTACGTACTTTTTTTTTCATATTTTATTACTTTGGCTGTGGCTTGGTTTGACGAATTATATCAAGATTTCAAGGGATGATGGGTTAGATGAAATTACTCAAATATTATAATAATAAAAAATCTCCTTCTGTATGACGTTTAAAATGTCAGATTGACCTCAGACTCAAATGTATATTTGCCTCTGCCTCTTCTATATAAACACCCCATCGCTCAACCTTACCCTTCACCGTCCACAACTAGCTGTTCATCTTAGCATCTGCCACCTCTCTTAATCTCTGGTCAATACATACATCGCTAAGCTACCCATCACCACCATGCAATCTTTCATGTCCACACCTTATCTTCTTCTAATACCTGTTTTATCCTTTTGTTTGTTGCTACTTCTCTTCATTCAATGGAGGAATACTCACCCCAACCGTAGTCGTCTTCCACCTGGTTCCATGGGTTGGCCTTATGTTGGAGAGACTCTCAAGCTCTATACTGAAAGCCCAATTTCTTTCTTTTCCAATAGGCAAAGACGGTACACAAAACACACACACACACATATATATATATATATGTACATACATATATGCCAAAAAATGAAAAAGGAATTATATAACTAGCTCTGTTTTAGTATGTATTGAAATTGAAAGTTTATTATACTGTAGGTATGGAGATATATTTAAGACACACATACTGGGATGTCCTTGTGTGATGATTTCAAGTCCAGAAGTAGCAAGGAGTGTACTAGTGAGTGAAGCTCATCTGTTTAAGCCAACATATCCTCCGAGCAAAGAGAAGATGATTGGACCAGAGGCTCTGTTCTTTCATCAAGGGGACTATCATTCAAGGCTCAAGAAGTTAGTTCAAGCCTCCTTTCTACCTTCTGCAATTCGCTCCTCGGTGTCACGCATTGAGACTATTGTTCTCAAGTTTCTTTCTACATGGCAGACTCGCACTATTAACACTTTAAATGAAATGAAGATGGTATATATTAATTATTTTGTGTTAGATTCATGATTTTCATCCAATTTAATTTCCATATATATATATATATATACACACTAAAATTTTCATGGTTGGTTTGTATTTTGTTTGTCAGTATGCTTTTGATGTGGCCATAAATTCGGCCTTTGGTGATAAAAGGGACATGGATGTGGAAGGTATTAAACATCTGTATCAACGTTTAGAGAAGGGATATAACTCCATGCCTTTAAATCTCCCAGGAACTCCCTTTAACAAATCGATGAAGGTAAAATTAAGGACTATTTTCTAGGATTATGAAATCATGAATGTTAATTCTATATATATATTATGACAAGTTTATTTTGTTGATGTACACAGGCAAGGAGGATTCTGAATGAGAAGTTGAGGAAACTAATAGAGAAGAGAAGAAGGGAAGGTGGAGAAGAAAGTGGAGGCTTGTTGGGAGTGTTAATGGGAAATAAAGATGGAAAGCTTAATAATCTAAGTGATGCCCAAATTGGTGATAATATAATTGGGGTGATTTTTGCTGCTCATGACACAACTGCAAGTGTTCTCACATGGGCGCTTAAATACTTGCACGATAATCAATGTCTTTTAGAAGCTGTTACGGTAAATCCCAATTTAATTCCTTTTTTATTCCATGAAATAAATTGAATCCCAATTTAATTCCTTATTGGTGGCATATATATATATATATATTGTCGATCAAACTGTTGCAGCGTGAACAAGAAGGAATTCGCCACAATATCGTTGAAGAAAATCGTGGGCTCACGTGGGATGATACTCGACACATGCCATTGACTAGCCGGGTTCGTTATCATTTAACTTTTATATAAATAATTGAAGAAGCAACCTTCTATTTATAATTGATGTGTCATCATATTAAATGAACGACACGTATAGTTTATATCATTAAAAAATAAATAAATGGGAAAAATATCTCAAAACAGCCCCTTTTTTTTTATTTGGATTAAATTGCTTAATATATTGTAACCTACTCCAATAATATCATGACCTAAAGGAAAACATTAGTATTGTTCTATATTTTCCATTTTTTATTTATTTATTTTATCACTATATTATTCCATTTATAAGTTCAAATTATTCATATATTTTTATTAATTATATAAATCAGGTAATTCAAGAGACACTAAGGGAAGCAAGTGTTGTATCATTCACATTCAGGGAAGCAGTCCAAGACGTAGAATTTGAAGGCTACTTCATCCCTAAAGGTTGGAAAGTTCTTCCTCTCTTCCGAACCATTCATCACTCTGAAGATTTCTTCCCCCAACCACAAAAGTTCGACCCTTCACGATTTGAGGTTAGCCTTATAAGACCAAACCTGTAATATTGGCAGAGAAATATAAGGTTATCATTGGATGAATTATCTATCTTCGTACGGTCTTTTTCAGTTTTGTGTCTGAATCTTCCTCTCTATAGATTCTAGCATCAGATCACGTGAGTTGGTTTTGTAGAGTAGTAACAGTGCAGTGAGTTTAGCATGTTTGGAATTATCTAAATATATATTATATGTAATGTGTGTACGTGTACATCTCTGCTGATAATTTATAACGAAGCGGTGTTAATGTATTATTATGGTATGTGTGATGGTGCAGGTGCCACCCAAGCCTAACACGTACATGCCATTTGGAAACGGAGTGCACTCTTGTCCAGGCACTGAGCTTGCTAAGCTTGAGATCCTCATCCTCCTCCACCACCTCACCACTACTTACAGGTGTGTGTTTCTCTCCCTTGTTTGTGGATCTATATATATGTGTGTGTGTGTGTGTGTGTGTATCAAGTATGTATTGAGTACCGTTTGGTCTAAGTATTGAAAGTGGTCCTTAAAGTGGTAGTATAAGGTATCTTTGTTAACTCGCAAGGGAAAGTGAGTAGTCATACAAATATAGCAAGGCACAAGATGTATTCAAAGATATACCACATATGTGGTATGCATGTTACAGTCATAATCATACGTACTTGTTTGTCTATTGCATGACTTTGGAGAAATAGACAAACAATCACTCTTCGATGTTGGGGTGATTCAACTCCATCACCATTTACTATGTGTGGTGAAAAAAAAAAAAATTTACTGTGACAGATTTAAAAAAACCATGTCTAATGGCCAATTCATCCAAGTTAACAAAAATCTAATTGAGTTGTAATTCTAAAAAAATAATTTTAATACTATTTTTCTTCCATATTTTTAATTTATATTTTGTACTTGTACATGTTTAACCAAACGTACAATGTAAATATTTTTATTAATATACAATTTTTTTTGAATTTTCAAAATATATATATATATATATATATATATATTTATTTATTTATTTATTTCATTATTTTGGACTTCATTGTGTCTATGAATGGTCTGCTCTGGTATACAATTTTTATTTTTATTTTTATTTTCTACTTTAATTTGAGTATAACTAGGTATAACTAGGAAGATATTTTGGTGACACATTTGTTATTAATTTCTATAATATTGCCTAAGTGGCACATTAGGAGACGATTTGACAGGCGAGTCTCTCATCCCTATCACACATTTAGATTTCTACATTGAAAAGACAGAAAAACTTCCTATTATTAGTTTATTACAGAGAGTTGACACCACAACTTCTCTCAAACTTCAAGTAAATGCACTATCTCATAACATTGTTTTCACAAAGTTCCATCATCTGTTGAGGAGACATCATTCCATCAAGAACAATGGCACAAGGGAAAACCCCTCTACCGCCATATCAGGATAATTTAAAAAATGAGAAAAAAAAATTCGTTTTCCTTTTATCGCTGGGAGCATTTGCGTTCCAAGTAAAAAGTTTCGGAGGTTGGAATGATTACCTAGCTAGATTGGTATCTATGACACCCCTTGAGTATTTATATAGGCCACTCCCACTTTTTTAGTTTATCTGTGAATTTGTTTGGTATCTGTTTTGTTTTGTTTTAGGCCTGCTATAGCAACTCCTTTTAAGTTCAAAATATGTTTGGTTGGGCTTATTGTGTTTTAAATAGTTGCAAAACAATTTCAAAAATAGGCCCAAAATATGAAACACCATTTTGGTGTTTTTTCATGTTTCGGTACTGTTTGGGCTACAAATTACTGTAGTGGAAAAAGCAATTCTCTCATTAAACTGTAGCAAGTATAACACGTATAAAAGGCAAAATGTCATTTTCTAGGATTTTTTTTGGCTCAGCTTCTTTTGACGATTTTGGGCAACTCACAAATCATTTCCAATCACCTCTATCTCTATTCTCATTCTCTACTCTGAACTTACCCTTTGTCTCTGTAACTGCAAACTACAAAATCTACAAGAATCAGAAGTTCAAAACCCATTTATTTCAGTTTACCTATCTGTTTGCAAGAATCAAAACCTATTATTACCTATAAATAATGCCTCCATCTCTATTCTTGTTCTCGGATCTGAACTCTCCCCCCCCCTACCCCTCTCTCTCTCTCTCTCTCTCTCTCTCTCTCTCTATATATATATATATATATATATATATGTGTGTGCGCACAATTGCAAACTACAAATCTACAAGAATCAAAAGTTCAAAACTCATATATTCCAGTTTATCTATCTGTTTGCAAGAATCAAAACCTATTACCTATATAATCAAAACCTATTACCTATATCACAACCCATATTGGCATATCATTATAGATTGTTCACAAAATCAAGACCCATATCTTTCAGTTTCCATCGCCTGCTGTTCCAATTCGGGTTCACTGTTCACAAGCTACAGCCGCTGGCCCGCTATCTCTCAACTATCAAGCTTCCCCCCCTCTGTTCTCTCTGCAACTGCTAACTTGTAAATAGTTTATTGCAAAAATTAAATATATCTATATATATATTTGTGTGACCAAACATGTTTCACATGTTTTTGTTTCCCCCATCCAATCGTGTTTTCAAATTTTTTTCAAAACACTCCTACAACAAAACATTGTTTCTATTTTAGCTAAAAACAAAACCCATGCCAAACGGATCCTAAATTTTTTTTAGGTTTCTTTAGATTAGTTTAAAGTTACAATTTATAGCATTTTCTTCTTTTTAGATATATGTACACCACTTCTTAGCATGCCATTTGTCTACACTGATTTATCTGGATCTATTGGTTTTTTTCAATGTAATCAAATCTCACACACTCTCTCTTTTTAAGGTCCATAAGTCTACCTCACATGTTACATATGTAATATGAACGTTTTTGAACACACGTGTACGCACATAGAGAGACACATTCAAAGTTTATTTCCTAATGCTTTTACATCCTCTAAAATAAGAAAATCTATGTATCTTACCATAGATTTACGTTTTTTGCATTTACATGAAAATTTGATAGAACATTTAGTAATTAAAGAGTTATTTTATTCATGAAGTACAAAAATATAATGTAATTGTAGATTAATTATAGAAAACTAAATTGTTATAGATGAGGGTGCAGACCTGTTCCCCAAGTATTCAAATATGCAGGTGCAACCATGGAGCCGATTAGGGTATGCTATTCGCTAGGTCGTGGTTGAACCCATGAAATTGAATGCACTGGGGACCATTATTATGTTGTTATCGTGATCTATGTCAAAGAATTTCGGTTTTTTGACAGACATTCACAACTTGTTTTCCTCCACAGAATAAATTGATGCTTATGTTCATTTTCAATGAAAATTTAATCAACTTTGTGATGTTTGGCTTCAGGTGGGAAGTAATTGGCAATGAGGATGGCGTACAATATATTCCTTTCCCAGTGCCCAAACGAGGTTTGCCCATCAAAGTATACCCGAAGAACAACAATTGATTACAGCAAATGCCTTAAAAAATCTCAATGACAATCCAAGATTAGCTTCTCGCGGCCAAAAACATGTTTCCGGTTGAGTTTCTCTTAGTTTTTGTTCGGCCGGTTTTCGAATTAGTACTGTGCTAGCTCCTTTTATTTCCGCAAGTTTTCATGAGGCTGTTTCATCTAGTTAATTTGCTTTGGTTTGAATAATGTGACCATGTCTATGTGCCGACAAGTGGTTTGCTCATGCTTCATGATTAATGTAAGATATATATATATATATATATGTTATGAAAGTTTTATAAAGTTTAATGAAGAAAACAGCTAGCAACATCAGCCTAGCAACAAAGATTTAGTTGAATGGATGCACTGAAATGAGGATCAAATGTGTGTGGTTGGGAAGTACATATGTGGTGCATGTGTTTGTGTCGGTTGATAAATTAAGAAAACAGAACACAAAAAAAAACAGAAATAGAAATCCAACAAAGATGTTAATTGAATGGATGCTTTTGAAAGCGGTTCGTGTACTTTGAGGATGGAATGTGTGTGGTTTGAAATGTGGAAGAGTAGCAATCTTGTTTTTAGATTTTTTTTTTTTTCTCTGTCCATTGTTTGTTCATTAGGGACAGCACTGGGAAGGGTAAGGTTTAGGCCCATTTAGTACTGATACCTTAAAAGGAATTTGGAGGATGTGCACGTGGCGTGACTCGTGAGTGAGTGGAGCATCCTAGTTGGGCTAAAGCCCAACACTATTTATTAAGAAAAATCAGTTGGTCGTGGAGGAGCCATACAGGCCCTTGGGTGTTAGCTGTTTGACAATAACAATAAGTTTCAAAATCAACCATATATCTTTTCCTTGCCAACTGGATTGGTGGGCCTACAACATGATTTCTTGAGTTTTTCACGTTCTGTTTTCCAAAGAAAGAGTAAACTGCTGCTGTCTTTTTCTTTTTTTCTTTTTTTAATGAATATTTTTTATTACACAGACTTCCATTTAAAAATAAAAAGAAAAAGAAAATTATATATCATTTTTATCATATTTGTTAATGGGACTTGTGAGAAAATATTTAATGGGAAGAGAACTTCTATTGAACTAGGAAGCAGGCAACACATGAGTGTTTAGGAGGATTTTGCATGGTGTGTGTATGGTATGGGTAGAAAATATTGTTATGTAATCTTTCAGTATTAAATAGAAAATTGTAGAGTATTAAAAGATTCTAAAATGTTAGAATAATGTGTAAAATTGGAGAAGTAGAAAATAACATAGATTGTACTTATATAAAATATGTACATAAATTATGTAAATGTGTTAAAAAGGTAGATATGATGTTTATAAATAGAATAAGTGTCTCATTTGTAAACAACAAGTGAAGAGAAGGTCTTGCCAGCGTAGATAAGTTTTCGTACACGTGTTGCACATATCTGGATAGAGATTTTAAATTCGTGACACGTGGCGGTGTGGTGTTTATGTTAAAAAAAATTATAAAGATTATGTATCATGTGATGCACCTGATTGGATGTGTCTGTAATAGTCCATCATATATACGATACAAAATAACGAGTAAAGTGTAATATAGCAGTGGGTGACAATATTGATTCGAAAGTATTTGTAATGACTCAAAACTAATATTTTTTAAACAAAAAAAATTTGAAATGATCTCCTCTAAAAATAGATCTATCACAACTTGTTTAATTGCATTTTTAACCTGTCATGGCTTAAATTCTGAATTCACGGCAACAAAAGATAATGATACAACCAACTAATCTAGACAATGCTTCAAATTAGGATTATCCATCCATTCATCAACAAGTTGCATACTATCAAATCCCCATTCAAAACATCATCAATAATTATACATCTTTGCACTTCTAGTGTTTTACAAAATAATAGAGAATATACAAAGATACAAAAGTGGACTTTTAACGCCGTTCAAGCTTGAGGTGGGTTGTCATCCATCAGTTTCTTTCCAAGACCTGAAAAAATATATATATAGATATAGGGGTGAGCATATAGCTCAGCAGGTGACACTTAAGACACAATTCTTGTGTCCTAGTGAATCCAAATAAAGTATAGGCCAATGGGAGATTGGGGATATGCATTGAAGGGGAAAAACAATTACAAGTACAAGTCAAATTCAATCACACACAAATGCAAATGGAGTGAGATGCAATGCATGCTAAAGTCACTCCCCGTTTTCATTCTCAAAATCATCTCGTTCAAAGTTAATGTAACCCCCTTTGGTAACCCCGCCGCGACGAGAGGAGGATTGGCTACCGTCCCTAGGCCCTTGGTGACCCCGTGGCGCCGTCGAGGGGCCCGAATAGCTCAACCACGCTAGGGTACTCTCCCTAGTCCTCCCTAGGCTACATTAACCTCCGGCCCGTTGTTAACCCCGAAGCGACCGGGTTTGTCAAAACTAATTTTTTTCCAAAACATTCATTCCCAAATCCCTATTTTCATTTCAAGACAACCAATTCCCTTTTTCATGCAACCCAATGAGATGTAGGCTCATGTCATGATCTCAATATAATGACAAATGGGAACTTAGCACAATAATAAATAAGTATGTTCTCATGGCATCATTATAACATGTTAGTAACCTCAAAAAAAAAATGTAAACAACCATCACATAGACATACTTTTCATTCAACCATGTTATACACATTTACATAACTAGCATGTTGTCAATTAAATCATTTTAATCAAAATCAACAACAATTTAACATGCTATAACACACATAGAGGAGCATGATTCATTATAGAGCAAGATTCCATGACTTAAGATGTCCCTACCTCACAATCCAAGCCGAAATTTCTAGAATAGGTCTCCAAATTCGAGCTCCAAGGAAGACTCAAATCTGGAAATTGATAGTATGGATGCGTAGAGCTCGCTACAAGCTTCGTTTCGCCTCAAACGGCACCTCAATCCGACAAAAGATGAAGGAGCAATCAACAATAGAAGTTGAAGTGAAAAGAAAAGAAAAAAGAAAAAAGGAGAAGCCGAGAGCAGTCGGAAGAGAGAGAGAAAAAGCAGCAGAGACCAATTTTGGTATCACAAATCACTTAAAAAGTGATGTGGGTCTCACTTTATTTTATATTTCTTTTCTCTTTTTCTTTTTCATTTAAATCACACACCACACACACACAATTATGTACACAGACTTCAAAGTATTAATCATAAATTTTGTGGTCGGTTCACAATTATTTAAATTACATAGCATTTTGCCCCTTTTTTTTCATGTAATATCCTGTCTTATGAAAAAAATCTCTTCTAAATTACGGTCATTATCAAAATTTAGAATGGTATTGTCAACATTTTTAATCTTTTGATTTTTCTGTCATATTTGATTGGTGCAAGCGCTGATTCTATAGTTGGGTTTGTTACCTCTTAGAACTCCATGCAGGAGGACCACCAAACTAGCAAATATATATATATATATATATATATAATGCAGATAAGGATAGTATGCGTTTGCTAGCAGTTTCATGAATTAATGAACAAGATATTGAATAGAGGAAGAAGAGGACTTAATTCTTCCTTGATTCTCCAATTTGATGTAGCACTGCTATTGGTCTGCAACACTTTGTAGCAAAATTTACACAGATAATAACATTTTACCATAATTATTATTTTTTTTTCAGTTAACTAGAATGTTAGGAATTAGAAGTTAGAGGGGAAGAAAAATGTTTAATACTCGAATACGAATTTTAGACACGGAGCAATCGAACCACTCCGGATGCAAAGCCATTTTAGGCTGAACAATTTTTTTATATTTGTTCAGTCATCAACAAATTATCCACTCTACATAGGGTTCGGTTTGCATTCTGGTTTGATCTTGTACTTCTTCTTGCGGGCCTGGGCCCAGTTTGTTGTTGTGTCTTGCACCAGTGGGCTTGCCTCCTTAGGCTTCCCTGGCTTGTTTGGGATTGGTCCCTCCTCTGCTGCTTTTTTTTTTTTTTTTTTTTTTTGCCTTCTACGTAAATAAATTTCAATTATCAAAATAATAATAATAATAATCAATTGTCAAAGCTAAATCATATTTTAACTACTAGTAGTTCAAGTATTCTCTTCTCCAACATGTAACACCCATTTTATTCAGCACCTTGAAATGGATCAATACAGATTTTATGTCTATCGTTGTAAAAAATTGTAAAAGTCATCGTGTTACGGTTCATAATTCATAAATAAAGGTTGTATAATTGTACACGCAATTACATATTTAATAATTTAATTTCTTTTTCTATTTAGGTTCACCAAAGACTTGTCCAAATCTTTGACTTCACCAATTAAATATTATTTTCTCCTTTTCTATAAATTGACCAAATCAAAATGAAATTCCGCACCTAATATACTTTTCTATTGTATTTTCAAACTTTCAATTCAAAAATTCTATTGAAAATTGCTTGAAGGAAAATACTTTCTTCATAAAAATTGTTTATTTGACCTTTTCAAGTTTTAGGTGACTTTTCTTTCCTTGATGAAAGAAGTGTTTCCACCTTTTTCATAAAACTAACACTCGTCTGTACCACAATAAGCGTCATGCTTTTATTTTTTATCTGTACCAAAATATTAGTTCATTTTTTTTTAAAAAAAACAATACAGTTTACATTTTTCCATATATGTAATTTGAGTTTAAAATTTCAAACTTGAATATTAAAAACTTAAAAGGGCAAATTAGAAATTTTTCAGAGAGCCAACATATCCTACTTGTCCTCTTAAAAATTACTACTTCCCATAAGCAATACTTAAAATTAGGACGAAAGAAGTAATAGTACCATTTGGCATGTCTAAAGAGTCACCACTTATTATTTTTAATCCCTTAAAACTTCATGTGGTTGCCTTAAAAAACAAGTATTTATTTCCAAATTTAAGGCTTACTTGGTTCAAATTTTTTAATAATAATTTTTTATTTCTTGAGAATTAAAAATTAAAAATTTGTACAAAAACTATTCTTAATACTCTTCTCTTAAAATTTAATTAAAATAATATTATTTAAATAAATATCTATAAAAAAATATATATATACATATTTTCTATTTACGAACAGTAAATTTTCAGATGACAAACCAATAAGTCTCTCCAATGTTTGATGCAAGTCTAATTTTATTACTACTGGATAAAACTATTGTTGAAGTATGTAGCATATGTGTTTTTACTTGATTAGCAAATTGTTCAAATATCACTTACATCTTGCATTTTAAGGTACAATGATTACAGCCAAAAAAGGAAGATGATGGGTCCTCCATTCTAGTCGTTTCTAGATAGACTCTGTTCACACCACCAATAAAAATAATGATGGCGCCAAAGAAGACTGTGGTCAACGATAATAACGTTTTAATTCAACGAATGCATGGTTCGATGATGAATGCAGACAAGCGAGAACAAAAAAGAACAGATGAACGTGACATTTAATTTGACTTTAAAATTTTAATTTTTGACATGCAATTTAATAACGGTACACAGTTCAAAACTTTTATATATAAAAATAAATAAAATTTTGAAAAGAAAAAATTATCATGAACGAACATGCCTTACAACGAAAGGAAATCACAATCTTATAATTACATAAAATTTACATTATATTATCAGTAATTTTGCTTTGATTTTAAATTTAATGTGTCCATTCTAAAACACCACACTAATATTTGTTTAGTTTCCTAACTAATATCGTTTGAACTCTGTAAGATTTAGTTGTGTGATCCAACTTCAATCAACGTTGTAAATTTTATATTATATTTTAAAAAAAAAAAAAATTGCAAATAATAAAATTAAATAAAATTGTGGATTGAATCTGTGGCATTCAGGAAGAGATTCAACAGGTGGTCCAAATTTAGTTGCCTCTCGAAACATCTATCGAAGGAATAAAAAACCAAGGTTAAGGTGGGCCCAATGAAGCTTTTTGGTCAATCTGAGATCTTGTAAATCGATCCGGAAACTTAATTGGGTCGACACCGGCAGCTTCCGGTTAACGTCGAGTTTCAACTCAGCCAGAGGTTGCGCCATTGATTTTCGTTGACTGTATAACCCAATAAAATCTGTGCCATTATCCATTCCGTGTCTTGTTGCCTGTGTTGGGCTTGGGCCTAATTATTTGTGGTGCGTATGAATTTCTTATTTGGGCTGTGCTCAATTCCATTTTGCTCATCTTTTGTTCATATTAGCATTTGGACCAGTCGTTTTCGGATCTCCACACTACAATTTACATACATCAATATAAAAAAAAGGATATACTTCACAAATTTTGATACATGATTTTATCTTGAATTAGGTTGCTGCTTATTTGTCACCTTTTATGGCTGTTTTGTGTGTTTTAAATGTAATTTTTTTTAATATTGAAAAATATTTTGCTATAAGAAAAAGAGATAAATAACAAAACTTATGATTATAGAATCCAAACACTCAGTATAAATCTTCAATTCCTTTGAAAAATTATTTTGATTAAATATTAAAATAATTAAAACTATAATTTACAATTTTTTATCATGAATGAATGACTTGTTTCTAGTGTATGAGAATCCTAATTTACATAATTCTCTTATAATTATATTTTGATTTAATATTTTTATTAAAGTTAAATTTGAAAGAGATACCCAACATTAATTGAAATATACAAAGAGTGTAGAAGAGGATATATATATATAATAAAAATATATTGATAGAGAAAAACAAATTAAATCTAGTGCAATTGTTTGTTCTTTCATTTTCCTTTAATTGATAATTTGTTTAGTTTGCTAAAATAAAAAACGTAAATGCAAAAAAGAATAAAGTGTAATATGTATTAAAATATAGGATATTAATGATTTTTTTAGTTATTCCCATATCAGATTCAAGATCAAGTCTTAAATTTTAATTTGAGATGTGTAATACTGCTCATCAATATATACTTGCATAAATTTTGTTGTATATACACCTCACACTTGCTTAACTTTTCAAAAAATAATAATAATAATATTATAAATATAAAAAAGAATATGAAATAAGCTGAAAGATATAATTTACAGAATCCTAAATCATATACATAGTCAAAAGTCACCCCCTAATACAGTAGTCAATTGTATTGCATTATTGCATAAACATCACTAAACTAATAACATTTAAACACATCAATGGATCAATGGCATGTATACACGTCAATGGACCAATGACATATACACACATCAATGGACCAACAAATTTCTTCCACGGCCTCACTTACTTCTCCAATTTGCATTTACACTTATGAAGTGGACCCCACTTTTATAACAAATAGTAATAAATAAAAATTACTCACTTCTAAATTGCGGAGTTTGTTGCTTGGGGAAAACAAAAAAACAAAAATTGCGGAGTTTGTTGCTTGGGGAAAACAAAAAAACAAAAATTGCGGAGTTAGAAGATCGATCACTGGCTATAATGGCTGCAAGTGACCGGCTACTGTTGTAGGCGGTTCTAATTTTAGATGGGCATTGACCATAGGTTCATACCTATTACCGTGAAGTTTCCATATTGAATAAAGACAATAATGCCGAAGTAACTTAACTGGCTGCTGCAACGACCTTTATACGCTCTCTCAATTTCTGTATCTTTCATTCACCATAATCACAATATATCTGAAGCTACTTTGCTTTTCTTATTCTTATATTTCTCTCTCTTCTTTTCACTTCCTTTTATTCTTAATATCATTCTTTGATTCCAAAATTTTATCAATTCTTCATATCGGTCCGAGTTCTGCATTTGTTCTTTTTGTATGTTAATGTCTATATAATATTCGGTGAATTGCCCCTTTGAAGTTCAAAGTTGGGTCACTCCATTGTAAAGCTAGACAGCACATTTGAATCGTCAAAATTGTGGTGTTTGTTTATTGGAATTGAGTAACTCAAGGTCACAGTAAGCATCCATGGTCGGGAAATATTCCAGTTGGCAGCACTGTGTTGACCAAAATGGATGCAAACTCGATGGTAGCTTAACAGATCATCGGCCACTTCCACAACCGCCTGCTATATCTCCATGCTCGGTGCCGGAGGAGGAGGGGGACTTCTCCGATGCCTGTCTCAAGTACATAAGCCAGATGCTGATGGAAGAGGAGGATTTGGAGGATATCCCTCGCATGTTCCATGATGGCTTGGCTCTCAAAGCTGCCGAGAAATCATTCTATGATGTTCTTGGTGACAAGTTTTCGTCCCCCAATCCACACCCTGATCAAAATGTTGAGAACCCTAATAATAATTTGGGTAGGATTTGCAATGGTCACACCAATTTGATAGACACAAACTGTGTAAATGATCGTGGAAATTTCAAGTCTTCTCATGTTGGCTATGCCTCTGAGTACATGTTGCAATCATTAGGCTCTTCAAACAGCTGTCGTGATTCAGTTGATGATGGACCAACGGACTCTCCTTTTAATCAATTTCCGGTTTCATATTCATATAGTGAGAGCCAAATGGTGCCCCGGTTTACAAGAGAGGAATCAGAAGTTAGCCATTTCCTCCCAAACCAAACGGCAGAGAATGGGAGGAACCATTCACAGACAGTGTCAAAGGAAAAGAAAAGTCATTGTCTAGAGTATGGTGATTATGTAGAACAAAGCAGGAGTAACAAACAGTTTGCGAGTAATTATGCTGAAGAGTCCGTGCAATTAGAGATGTTTGATAATGTGTTGCTATGTCCTGGTTTGCACGATGAGTCCGCGTTGTGTCCTATTGATGAAGGCATGGCAAACAGAGCAGCCAAGAAGTTGCATCACAAGCCAAAAGTGGGAAGGCCGCGGAAGAAAATTGGCAACAACAAATTGAGCGTGGTGGTGGATTTGAGGACGCTCCTAACCCAATGTGCACAAGCTGTGGTAAGTAGTGATTTCATTTCCTCCAATGAATTACTAAAGCGGATTAGGCAACACTCTAGTCCTTATGGTGATGCTGGAGAAAGGTTGGCGTATTACATGGCAGACGCCCTTGAGGCGCGCTTGGCAGGCACTGGGCCGGCATTGTATGCAGCTTTCAACACCAGGAGGATAGCAGCAGCTAATGCCTTAAAAGCTTACCAGGTATATGTTTCAGCATGCCCTTTTTTGAAGATGTCCTACTCTTTTGCAAACCGGTCCATTGCCAAAGTAGCCAAGAACGCAACAAGGCTTCACATTATTGATTTTGGTATCTCATATGGGTTCCAATGGCCCTGCCTTATCCAACGCCTCTCAGTGAGACCTGAAGGACCTCCCACTCTGCGAATCACAGGCATAGAACTTCCACAACAGGGCTTCCGGCCAACACAGAGGGTTGAGGAAACAGGGCGTCGCCTAGCAAAATACTGCAAGAGATTTAATGTCCCATTTGAGTACAATGTCATAGCAAGGAAATGGGAAACTGTCCGGCTTGAAGATCTCAAGATTGATAGAAATGAGGTGGTTGTGGTTAATTGTATGTACCGGTTCAGGAATGTGGCTGATGAGACATTGTTGGCGAACAGTCCAAGGGACAAAGTTCTGAATTTCATTCAGAGGATTAATCCACATATATTCATCCATGGAGTCCTTAATGGAACATATAATGCCCCCTTCTTTGTGACACGATTCAAGGAGGCACTCTTCCACTTCTCGGCACTGTTTGATATGTTTGAGGCAAATGCACCACGTGATGATCCGAACCGGATGCTATTTGAGAAGGAGGTGTTTGGGAAGGATGTTATGAACCTCATTGCATGTGAGGGCACAGAAAGGATTGAGAGGCCAGAGACATACAGGCAGTGGCAAGTTAGGAATGCGAGGGCCGGATTCAAACAGCTGCCACTGAACCAGGAGATAGTGAACGACGTGAGGAATAAGGTGAATTTGGGATACCACAGGGATTTTGTTGTGGACGAAGACAGCAACTGGATGCTGCAAGGTTGGAAAGGACGAGTCATCTATGCTCTCTCCTGTTGGAAGCCTGCACGGGAATAGTAAAATGTTAACTCAAGTTGTTGCTTTGAATTGGAAAATGTTATTGCACTGCTACTGAAGAATGTGAGAGCCGGAACAGAAGTATTACTTTCTTCTTCAAATTGGACTTGTCTCGTCTTACATTTATGTGTGTGTCTGTGTGTATTGCTATAGAACAAGTTATAACCATAGATGATTTTTTGGTTCCGACTTGCCAAACATCTTTTGGTGACACCTTCACAAACATCTTTTTCAATGATTAATTCTTGTATATATATGTGCTCGTAGATAGATTCTGATTATGAAATTGGGTTGCTATGCACTCAATGTAACATCATCCTTTTCCTGTTCTCATTTCTTTCTATTATTTTGTAATCAGTGAAAAGTTGGAAATATATAAGACTTTGAGTTTAGTTGGATGGACTTGGTATAGATCAATGAGTTTTGTTAAATTTGTAACTGAAGCTAAAATTAAGGCTTTGTTAAGTTAGATTGATTTATATACAGGAAGGAGAACATTAACAATAACAAGAATGCAAGTTATGCTCAACGTGCAGAAAAGGGTTGTTGAGTAAATTAAACCATATTATTAAGAATTCCTTTAGAATCTGGTACTTTTAACTGTGTCCGACACATGTTTGCGTGTCTAACACCGCCACGGCACTCCTAAGTAAAGTAAAGTGTTCGTGCTTCCTAAGTGTTAGCCATGCTTCATCTCCTGCTAATTTTGCTGTTCAAACCTCCCACACATGGACCATTTTTTCAATATACCAGAAATCTGTATAGATTAGGCTTGAATCAGCAAAAGAATTAGTCAACATACTAATTTAAAAATAATAATAATAGGAAGAAAAAAAAAAAGGTACAAAAGGACAATATTTCAAATTTTGAACTGACAATTTCAACAAGGTTAATTTTCTTTTATTCCTTTTTTTTTTTAAAGATGGTTAATTAATTAAAAGTAATTAAATATTAACTATAAGCTCACAAGAAGAATCACAAACTATTTTAGATACAGAGCATAAGTTCATACAACTCCAAATGGAGTCACCTTATAGTGCAAACTCACTCTTTTTATTCCGGAGAGGTCTTGCACAGTCCAATCCAATTCATTATTTCGTGAAGTTTATCATTTCTCCTTTTTTAAATGTTAATAGAAAATATAAGATCATTATTTAGATTAGATTTTAAAATTATTACATCATGTCTACTTGCGAGCGCAGTCAAAACTCAAAACTGTGTGATCGAATGAAATTTCCAAGTATCCAACTGAAAAGTTTTTTTGAGGAAGAATCGAAGTTTCAAACTATAGATTAGCCTTTGGGCTTGGTTGATGTGCTAGTTTTTTTTTGGAAATTGGGCTTAGGCCGTTTGTTATTGGGGTTTGGTGTCGTTTGTGCTCAGGTACCCATTGGGCCTAATTTTGGCTAGCCCAAGTGTCGTTTCTGGTGGCTGTAATCATTGCAGCCTTTTACATGCATTTTCTCTATTTAGACCATACGCTTACTAAATATATATATATATATATATAATGATCCATTTATTATTTTAAAAAAAGACCATGAGAAAATCATTTCTCATTGTTAATGAGAAATCAATATAGTTATTATACACATTCACACCTACTTACCAAAAATAAAAATTAAAAAAAATTGAAAATTAACACAGAATTTCAGACTGTTTCATTAATTTGTGTTTTTTAAATCGAAGGTGTTAATTGAAGTGTATGGATGTGCAGCACATGCAGAGTAAAGAATTGAAGAAATATTTTGAAAATGGAATATAATAGGTATGTGTAGCACATGAAGATTAGCAATTGATTAAATAATTAAATAAGAATCCCATATATTCAAACGTGCAAATCCCATATTATTACAATTATTGGAGTGATTATAAATAAATTAAAGCCAGAAATAGTAAAAGAAGACGAGCGCATGTGGTTGGTTACTCGTTACCACATTTGTGGAGACTTGAGACGGGCGGCGATACGCGGCAACAAAAGCAAAAAAAATAAAATCAAATCAAATAAAAAAAATGAAAAAAGTCTGCTACGTGTCAACAGCTAATACGACCAGACCTAAAAAAGTCAAAATTGAAAATTTGGAGACAGTTTGTTTCTGGAGGCTGGACTTGACGCCCAATGAGAGAGACTTTCCCTTCGCTTTCCTAACCAATTGGCAACTGCTTTCTTCCTCTATTTAAACTCCCTTCGGACACCTCTCTCTCAATCCTCCTCCCTACATTTCTTTGATTTCATAAATCTCTCTCTCTCTAAAACTCTCTCTCTCTACACACTGGTCATTTCCGATCTGCTAAAGTAGGTAATTTTCTGTTCTAGTGTTTGTTTGGTGTGTTTTAGATATTAATGAGTTTTTTTTAGAAATTGCATTGTTCAGTAATGTTGGTTAAATACTGGAGTAATCTTCTTTATTGGATTTGACTTTTGATTTTGAATTGGCGTTGGATGTTTCATCTAAAGGTTGGTTTTATGTTTTCTGGTGATGGGGTTTATTAATTAGTTGCAGATTTTATATTCATAAACACCCAAATTCATGCGCTTTCTGGGTTTTAATTCCAGATCCATTGATTGATCTAGGATAAATATCTTTTATACTATTCCTAAAATATCTAGAATAGTATAAAGAATTAATTTAATATTCGTTTATGTGTTGCAGGTTTTGGCTTATATTGATTTTTTTTTTATTTGCAATTTCAGTGGTCTAAATTTCTTCGGTTATTTGGGTTGATTTTTTATGATTGAAAGATTTTTATGTATATATTCATGTTAAATGTTGGGTCAATCTCGTTTCAAGTTGTAGTGAAGGTCATTGTTCAATATTGCATTCAATCTTTTTATTTTTTATACTCAATCGTCTCTGCATTTTCTTGTATTTTGAAGGTATATCAAAATGGAATACCAGAAGGTTCTAGAGCCAGAATATGATTGCATTATCTTTGGTATAAGTTTCTAATCACATCTACTTTTACCTTATACACACACACATATATATATATTAGGACTTGATTGGAAAAGAGAGTGACAACTATTTCTATTTGGTTTCCAGATGTTGATGATACCCTTTATCCCCTAAAGTCTGGTTTATCTGAACAATGCACCAAGAACATTAAAGGTAATGCATAATTGATTGGTAATTCCTAATGTTTATGACAATTAATCAGTTTCAATTAAAAAAAAAAATCTCTGAATCTTCTATTTGATGCCATTTTTTCAGAATATATGATCCAAAAGCTTGGGATAGAGGAAAGTAAAGTCCCTGAATTGTGTCATCAACTATATGTGGATTATGGAACAACAATGGCTGGTCTCAAGGTTTTGTTTTATTTTTTCAAATTATTCTGTAATTAGCAAAACAAGATCATCCTATTACACAAATCTAATAATTAATTTTTTTTTCCAGGCCATCGGCTATAACTTTGATGATGATGACTACCATAGGTATTGATTTGCCCTATGTCATGGACATGTAGTTGTGTATGTTGTATGAATCGTTTTTTTATCATCTCGGATTTCCCTTTTTTTTCAGATTTGTTCATGGGAGATTGCCCTATGAGTTCCTAAAACCTGATCCTGTTTTAAGGAGTCTTCTACATAGCCTGCCCATCCGGAAAGTAGTAAGTTTCTTCCTTCACCAAAATATAGAGTTCGGATCCTCTGTAGTACAGCACGAGTTCCGACGGTCCACATCACTCAACGTGTGAGTGATGAGGACCGTCGGATGTTCTCTTTAAAGAGGAAGTGAGGGGGTTTGAGCCCAAGCGCACAGCAAAATTGTGTGGGTGTGTGAATGGTTAACCTGTATAAAGCTTCTTCCTTGTGTGACAATGTTTTGTTTTGTGAAACAGGTGTTTTCAAATGCAGATAAAGCCCATGTTGCTAAAGTTCTTGGGAGGCTTGGATTAGAGGACTGCTTCGAGGGGGTTATATGCTTTGAGACTCTGAATACCACCACTAACGAAATGATTACTTCTGATGATGCTGACTCAATAGGTTTGAGTTTAAGTGGCACAGAAACTTTCAAACCTATTACCAATTCTTGTGAGCCTAATGATGTTTCAGTTCTCCCCAAGTCTCCAATTATTTGCAAACCGTTTGAGGATGCCTTTGAACAGGCTTTCAAGATCGCCGAAATCAACCCTAAGAGAACTGTAAGATGATCAAACTTTTTTCTTTTTCTAGATTTATCTTTAGTTCTTTCATAATTTTATTTGAACAATGTAGCAACCTTTTTTTTTTTTGCTTTGGCAGTTGTTCTTCGATGATAGTATCCGAAATATACAGACTGGGAAATGTAAGGGGCTTCACACTGTGTGGGTAAGATAATGATATTAATCCATCCATGATCGACATGATATGAATGTGAATTTTTTTTAATTTTGATTTTTTTATATTATCTTTGCGAACTCGGTTTCATAGAATTATTCTGATGAAATTGATTGAATGTGGATAGGTGGGGTCTTCTCACCGGACAAAAGGTGTGGATTATGCATTAGAGAGCATTCACAATATGAGGGAAGCATTGCCGGAGCTCTGGGAGGCCATTAAAGAGTCAGAGGTCTGTTACTCTGAGAAAACTGCAATAGAGACACCAGTCAGAGCTTAGCTTTGTAATTTATAACGCCATTAATAATTTGTAATTTGGATTTTCACCTTCCGTATTTGTACCCTTTTTTTATTACTGGATGTAAGATTTCTTCATGTGATAGTGGTAAAAGTAATCTTCTTTCTTCCTTTACATGCATGCAACTGTCTCATTAATGCTTTTTTGTTGTGGAGTGGGTGAGGAGCCCTTGAAATGCATGAAAGATGGATTTTAATATATAAATATATATATATATAGATATAGTGTCTGTGGGAGGAGAGGGTTGTAACGTGTGATGTTCGTTACTACATTAAATGAATTAGTTAGGGAAGTATATGGGCACACTTCAATGTCTTGTGAACATTTGAGTCACAAAATTATATTTTACATAGCATATCAATATGGAAAATGACAAAAGACTTGAACATTGAGAGAGAATCTTTATTCATTATTGAATCTGTTTTATCGTTAATTAATTTGATCACCATTGATTTAAAGATCGAGAGATCAGCTTTATTCATTATTGATTAAGATTTATTGTTGGATAGTCAAGTGTAGAGCATAATCCACACCTTTAAGTGACTCTAGATTTTCCTATTAGTTCTATTTTCACTATGAAGAAAATAAACGAGGAGACTCTCACCTATCTATGAATTGTTGCATAAAAATATTAAATGGCAAGTAAGTCTGATTAATGTTTGAGGTACATGTGTGTGTGTTTTTTTTAATATTATTGGAAACTAAGGCAAGTGCAAGCAAATCTTTGCAGATTAGTAAATCCAGAATTCATGTTTGATCGTGAGAATCAATCAATATATACAGCAAGATTGGTTTAATTTAATTTCTTCTAAACCAGCTCAACCGGTTTTCATCATATTAATTTTCAAATTGGTGATTGAAGATGCTTTGAAGATCCTTGATGTGAGGGCCGAACATTAATTCAAAATATTTTGAGAGATAACTACTTTAAATAAAGAGGGGTTATCACTTAAAAATGGGCAGTAAGTGTTCCTATAAATTTGCCTGTCGGTCATTGACTATATTGGAGAGATACTACTTAAAATAAAGAGGATATTTTGGGTGTGCCTTATTGCCTATGTGGTGGGGGAGCTAAGGTTCTCGTATAGATATAGATCAGTTCGTAATCTAAGGGTCCAATACTGTTCAAAAGTTCAATACCGTTTCACATTTTAATAAACCGTCGGTTTATATCAATATTTGTCTGAATCTATTACTTAACTCAGATTATATAGATATTTGTCCGAATTCGTTACTTCACTGCGGTAGTGCGTGAATGCATACACCCATATTTCCCTTTCCCTTTCCCTCTAACATCTAACTTCAAGGATTTGTTTAGATACAAAGGAGGAAAAACAAAAAAATTGATAATATTAGTTATAAGATAAAAGAAAAAAAAGATAGTAATAATCTCTATTTATGTTTGGATAAAAAAAAATAAATAAAAAAAAATTCTTGTTTGGATATGATATAGGGGAGAAAAGAATAAAAATGATAACAATCAAATTACTATCATGTCCTTTTAAATAGATGGGATATAAGTAAATTTTCACGTTTTAATTGTTAAGGGCAGTTTCAAATTTAGATACTATCATTTCTCTCCTATCTTCTCATTTTTTAATAAGATAAGATAATTCTCTCTCCCTATCATTTCTCCTCTCTCATTTTTAACTAACCAACCAAACTCTCACTATCCTTTCTTTTATTATCCCTCCAAATCTACCCTATCCCTCCAAATCTTCATTATCCTTTCTTTTCTTATCCCTCCAAATCTACCCTATCCAAGGGTACCCTAACTTCTAAGCCTCATAAAAATAAAAAATAATAAATAAAAAATAATAATAATAATAAGATATCTTGGGCCCATGGAAAATTTTCATTTAAATCTGTGTTGAATCAGTATTGGAAATCCTATGAAAGGTTTTCATTCGAGAAGGAATTGTACTTTCTCAGCAGTCTGTGTGAAAGCTTATGAACCACTTCATGCATGTTGCCAAGGATAATGCTATATATGATCCGGATTTTGTAGAAGTGCATTTTTTCAGCAACTTTAAGCTCCGTTTGGATGGAGAGAAATATGAGAGCATGAACGGAGGAGGGAAAAACAATTCATAAAACATAAAACAAGAGAAAAATCTTTCAACGAATAAAAAAGTTGAGAGGATCCAGAATCTGAGGAACTAAGTGCTTCACTGAAGTAGCTATGAATACATTTTGGAAAGCCTTGAATAACCTGGATATAAGGTTGGAAGACTTGTGCTCAGCTATCATAACTTTCTCGTGCACCACTCTCCTTCGGGTATATTAATTAAGTATGTGTTTTACCTTCCGCATTTTTCGGAAATAGAGTTTCCAAGCTCAAATTCTAACATCATTCAATCAACAATTTTTTTTAATGCTACCCTATAAATGTGTCAAGTACTTGAATAATGTTTCAGCTCAATTTTAAGTTATCAATCCAATCAATCCACAGAGGAGATATGTGAGCAATTGCACTGTGAAATGATTACCAGACCAGGAAACAAGGATGCAATACAAGAAGATTTCCAAATTCCACATTCATAGAAGATAAATCTACTAACAATGAGGAACACAACAACTAACCAATTAAGAAAATTTACAGGCAAGAAGCAGAACTACATCAACCCCAAGTTAAATCCCGTCATCAATTGGAAAAAGCTAGGAAAAGAAATAATATGATCGATTACAACCATGTTTAGACCACTAAGCATTCAGCCACCATGTCTATTTAACTAGTGCAGAACATTATCCCAATCCACGAGTGTCTTCTGATAGAAGGTTACTAATACAGATCATCTCATAAAAAGAAACCTGCAATTTTAGCTCCTTTTTAACTGACTGGGTAAATTTTATTAACCACTAACCGAAATCAAACTTATATTCCAGAGATAACACCCGAGTGTGTCCCATACTTAGCAGATGAATACATATGTAAAAACATATAATTACACAGGTGTGCATTCATATGTAACTCCAGTTATAAACATCTACACATGTTTTTTTGTGTGCTTGCATGTGTGTGTAAGAGAGAGAGAGAGAGAGTACTACTTGCAGAAAGTAATACCTTCGCTATCATTCTCCAGCATGTGCACGTTGGAAGAAACCTTAGTCTTCAATTTTGCGTCCTAACAAAAATGCCCTCAAAAGACTTCTATGCAGGTACCCAACATGAGCTAGCATAGAGAATGCGACCCTTCCATCCCTGCAACACCCACCCACTGTCTTCATCAATCACAAAATTTCTGTCATGATACCCAACCTTCACCTTACCCTTCAATTTCTTCGTGAGCTCCTCGTTCAAGGGGAGGAGCCTGAAACCAGCCCTGATGTTGCGAACCTGCCACTGCTTGTATGTCTCAGGCCGCTCGACCCTCTCTGAACCCTCACATGCAATGACATTCATAACCTCTCGCCCAAAGAACTCTTTCTCAAGATTCTTCCTCTCCTGTTCTTCACGAGCTATGTAAGTTTCAAATATATCAAACCATGCTGAATAGTGAAAGAGTGCCTCCCGGAACCGAGTGACAAAGAAGGGAGCACTGTAGGATCCATTAGTAACAGAATGGACAAAAATGTCCGGATTCATCTTCCTGATTAACTTCAGAACAGTATCCCTTGGACTGTTGTCCACAACAGTCTCATCGAGCAAATTCTTAAACCGAAATAAACAATTCACAGCAAGCACCTCATCGCTGTTAATCTTGAGGTCCCCAATTTCTATAGTTTCCCATTTCTGTGCTGCTATGGCATTGTACTCAAATGGAACATTAAAGCGCTCACAGTACTTCGCCAACCGACGCCCTGTCTCCTCAACCAATTCTGCTGGCCGGAAACCAGGTTGGGGGAACTCTATCCCAGTAATTCGAAGCTTGGGAGGTCCATCAGGTATTGATGCAAGATGTTGGATAAAGATGGGCCACTGGAAACCGTATAGGATACCAAAATCAATAATATGGAGGACCCTATTTGGAGCTTTCATGGCTTGTTTGAAAATCATTTTGTTTGCAAAGAAAATTGAAATCTTCTTGAATGGACAGGCTGAAAGATAAAGCTGGTAAGCTTTCAACTTCTCGGCAGCTGATATTCTCTTGGAAGCTAGGACTTTATAAATCTGAGATCCAGTGCCGGCCAAACGTGCCTCAAGACCATTAGCAAAGATATGGGCCAACCTGTGTGTTCCATCACTAGTGGGAGAAGAGTGTTGTCTGATCTGCTTGAGTTGTTCATTTGCTGTCCTGCGATCATCAGCAGCAACTGATTGTGCACAGTTGATCAAAAGTGTCCTCAAATCCACCACTTCCTTAATGTTGCTCTGGTTCTTAGCACGAGACTTTCCGCCATTAGATCCACGTGGTTGTCCACTCTGCTGCAAGGTCTTGCTCACTCCACTCTGCTGCAAGGTCTTGCTCACTCCACTCTGCTGTTCTTCATCAATGGTACAACAAGATGCAGTGTTACACATCTCATCTGTGAAGAGCAAAACTCTGTCGAACAACTCTGATACCTCAGCCTCTTCAACAAAAACTGCCGACTGCTTGCTGCTCCTCTCTTCTTCTAGATCAGTGTCCTCCCGGAGATGGTGCTTCCTTCCCCTTGAGCCATTAGGTGAGTACTCCCTCTCGTCCGTCTCTACCTTGACCACAGGTTCTGGAGCCTCTTCTGTTGACTTTGGAGGCAATGTGTAATTCTCCAAATCAATAATCAAATTATTTTCAGGAGGAAGGAACTTACTAGCTTCCTCCATTCCTCTCTGGAATTGCAAGATGGATTCGCTATCACTAAAAACATTCGAAATCAGATGGGTACTCGAAGAAGGGTCTATAGGACCATTAACTTCGTTACTGAAGCCGTTTATAGAGCCAAATGACCACTGCGAACCAGCCTGCAAAGTGGACTGGAAAGAGTATTCCGAGGAATGACTTTGTATCACTGATGGTGTAAACTCAACACGATCAACAATCCATTGAGTGTCAATGGAGTTCCCAGCACTAGTAGTGCTGTTAGTGCTATTCTCACTGGAACTTCCAAAGAAATTACCATCTGGACTTGCGATGTTCTGACTGAAGTAAAGAGGGGGTTGGTCAGGAGGAGGCGGATACTGCTCACCAATAACTTCATACAAAGATTTCTCAGCTGCCTGTAGAGCCAGAGGATCATGAAACATACTGGGCTTCTCCTCCATATTCTCTTCATTGAGTATCTGGCTTAGGAACTTGAGAACCGTTTCGGAAAACTCTTGGTCATCAGGAGATTGGACTTCTGAGCTCACATTCGAAGATGAAGGAAGATTACCGGGGTCTGGATCAGGTTCAAGGAAAGGTTTATCCATGAAACTGAAATCCAAATCCAAAGAATCATCTACGAATTTATGTCCGTTCTTGAGATCTTGTGACTGATCGAAACGGGGTAAAACAGTATCCTCGTCGAATTTGAACCCATTCATCGAATCAAGGAATTCATTGTATCGTGGATCCATAACCATCTATGCCCCAAAAAATCTGTATCAAATCAAAACTCACCCTCAGTAAATTCAACCCTAATTAACCAATTTCCAGCCCCCAAAAGAAAAAACTACCGTCCTACCTCTTATAAACTAAATTAGCAACCAATAATTCGGTAAAATCACACACACGTATATATATATATATATATATATATATATATATAGGAGTATGTATAAAATAAACCCTAGAACATTCAAAGATGCATATTTAAAAATAAAATAAATAAATAACACTGAAACTACGAGAGACCCAAAATCAGAAAAATAATTCTGAGATGAATAACAAAACCCTAGAGCGAGGCGTGAGAGAAATGAAACACATAAAAAAGTGAAAGAGGAACAATTAAAAAAAATAGGCATGTCTAAGAATTCAAATAAAATCAGAATTGATTGAAATCAGACAAAGAAACAGATAATTAAGAGAGAGAATTCACCCTAGAACAGTCAAAGCAGAAAAAGTGTGCGTACCTGAAAGGAATAGAGACTCTTCGTTCGTGGTGATGGGAGAGAGCGCTGAACCAAATAGCAAAGCTAATAAGGTCTATTTAAAAAGAAAGGAACTGGCAGCGACGACTCTGCTGTGGCTGCGTTTACGAAGCCACGAAGGTTCTGGGAACCAGTGTGCTGATTCAGTGGGGAAAGAAAGTAAGATTACGAAGTTTGTGAATGGTCTAACTGATGACTAAAGTGTCGCGATATCTTTCACCGGCAATAGCCAGTCAGTCCGCCGGTGAATCTGATCCTCATCCCCAAGTTAAGTTTGGAAAATGACAATCCATAATTCTTGTTTGACAAGTCCCACCGTCATCGTTGTCCACTCCCCCGAGATCTTTTCCACTTCTTTAACCCTCCTTCTCAAACCACGTTTGACAAGGGTGTTTCTTTACAATTTTTTTTTTTTTTTTTTTTGTCCAACTGAGGTCCATTCAATATTTTTATTTTATTTTATTTCACCCAAAAGAAAAAGATAGTATAATGTTATCAAACATATTTTCAGGATTAAATTTTCTATTACCAACCATCCTTTCAAATTTCAATCACAAATCATAACAAATATATTATTTCGGTTTCCAATAAAAATACAAAGCAAAACAGCAATAGTTTGCAAACAAGTCTATTAACCAAATTTCATCAAATGACAAATTTTTTCTTTTTTATAAAATACAATATAATATACTCTCTATACACCTTTTTTTTTGTCCCCTTTTAAAATTTCAAAATTATATATATAGAGTATCAAGGTCAAAAAAATTTAAAAACTTCAAGGATATTATGGGGAAAATGCATTTAACTTATTAAATTTTTTCATATGGGATAATTATTTTGGGACAGATAAGGATCCTTTTCGGGAGAAGTCATGCACACTCACCAACCCGTCGAAAAAAGAAAATATGAACTATTAAAGTTAGACAGAGGAGTATTATTATAATATAATGACAAATTATTAACTTTTCATATTTAAAATCACCATTCCAACTTAGAGGTTTATAGAAAGTCAAATTACTAAATACTCACATGGCCTTGTCCAAATTTAAAGAAAGGTAAGGGTTATTTATAATTGATGGCATAGAGTTGGAACTTTCGATTGTAATGGATGGAATTGAAAAAAAAATTAATTAATTATTCTCCAACTCCATTAATTTTTATTTTAATATTTTAATTATATTCGGTTAAAGATAGGTTAAAATTGTATTCAGACTTTGAAATTAAAATGGGTAAAATTGAATAAATATATTTCAAAAAATTGAATTAAAATTATTTCAAATTTTACAAATTTCAATTATATACACCAACGCCGCCTAAGTGATTTGTCATAATGTTGAAATGGTCTGCTTAAAATATTTTTGTAAAATATGGGTGAAAGGGACGAGTGATTTATCACCATGTTGGTGGGCTCCATAGATGCCATTATGCTCTTATCTCTCACTGTTTTCTTTTTGTAAAAATTAAAATTAAGAAAGACATTTCGGTCTGTTCGCATGACAAATGACATGCATATTCTGTAATAATTAATTAATATATTATTGTTCATTGTTTGTGGGGGGTGACTGTGAAGAACAGTAAAAAGAATTGTTTTATTAATTTGTTCATTTGGTGCACACAATCGCAGAGACTGAATCAAATTCTGTCCCGAATTCATGAATAGTGGTCAAATGTTGGCCTATTTGTATTTTAGTAATTTGACTTAAAATAAATAATGGATCAAAATTGATAAAAACCGGCTAACATAAAAATTTAATGTAATTATTCTAAAAGTACGATTATTTCTATAACTTTATTATCTTAAAATTTTATTTCATATATAATTATTTTTATCATTATTTATTTATTTTTGTTTAATGTAGTTAAAATAATACATAAACAAACTTTTTCATTTTCACTAACTGAGTTTGCATATATCTGAAATTTATTAGAATGCTTTTATAAGAATTCTATCATAAATTAATTTTGAATATTAACAAAAATCCATAATTGAAGAATCTAAATTCGTATTTTATTAATTTGTTTGTACTTTTTTTTATCATAGCTATTGTTTTGTTAAATTTTTAATTGTTATTTTTATTTTTTATTTTTTATTTTTTTGTAAATAAAGAGAATTATTTTTGTTAATTTATTTTTGGAGGTTTTTGTTTTGAAAGATATTTTATATTTTAATTTTAAATTGCTTATTTTTACAATCCCGCATGAAATTGGTGAAGTATCACTCTTGTATTTGTCGATCAAATAACACTACTCTTTGTTCATTTGGTGCACGCAATCGCACAGAGTGGGTCACGAATTCATGAATAGTGGCCAAATGTTGGACTATTTGTATTTTAGTAATTTGACATAAAATAGATAATGGATCAAAATTGACAACATTGTACTCTGCAAAAATACTGAGCCGATTACAATTCCACATGCTTTATCTGTCAATATGGTCTAGTCTGAAACCGAATACTCTTCTTTCAATCAATTGAAGACTCCAACGTAGAACCGTACATTTTGAACTCATTCAAAATGAGTTATCATTGATAAGTGACACATTATCTCTATTACTTGTACTAATACTAATAAAGAATATTTAATAATAGTTAATTAAAATTACTGTATTAACTAAATGAAAATATATATATATTATTATCTATAATATAGTATGCTCTATCCTCCTACTATATTTTTCTTTTTTTTACAATTAACTCTTAACACTTTGTTGCTAATGAGATTTGTGTTTGGATTACCTTTTATGAAAAGAAAAGAAATGATTGAAAGACTCCAATCATTGATAAGTGACACATTATCTCTATTACTTGTACTAATACTAATAAAGAATATTTAATAATAGTTAATTAAAATTACTGTATTAACTAAATGAAAATATATATATATATTATTATCTATAATATAGTATGCTCTATCCTCCTACTATATTTTTCTTTTTTTTTACAATTAACTCTTAACACTTTGTTGATAATGAGATTTGTGTTTGGATTACCTTTTATGAAAAGAAAAGAAATGATTGAAAGAGATATGGATAAATAATTATCTCCTCAAAAATGAAAAGATTTGGATATAAATGATAATCTCATAACTACCCTAAATAGTTAAAAGAATAAACTTATTATAACACTTGAATCCCATCTTATAAAAGAGCATAATAATAAGTTGGTTATTCTCCCTTCTTCTTCTTCTTCTTCTTCTTCTTCTTCTTCTTTTTTTCTTTCTTTCTTTTACCTTTTCTAGACAAGAATACTGTCATTTTCTTTCTTTTCCTTCATAATTTATCCAAAACATAAATAGAAGTTATTGATATCCTTTATTTTTTTTTCTTTTATTATTTTTTTTTCCTCATAATTAATGTTATCATTTCTTTTATTTTCTCTTCTTTTTATTCAAACAAAGCCTAGATAAAATGTTCATACACTCAATGGAGCCATATGAGAAGACAATTTATTTGTGAAATAAATATAAGGACATTTTTTTTTAGTGGCATCTCTTTTATCTTCTAAAATAATTCAAATCTTATAGTGACAAAATATGGTGGTTGAGTTACTTATCACTTTCTAGGTTGAAATATGCACACACATACAAGGTAATTTCCTTTTATAAAATTTGACATGTTTGTGAGATATAAATTTATAATGTAGGCAAATTTTGAAATTAAAACTTGATGATCGAGTTGTATTTTTATTTATCTCGAGTCTTGGTCTTCTAGACTGAAATTATGTGAGGAACACTTGTAAGTATATTTATAATTCGATAGGAATGCAGAGATGAAAAATAGTACAAGCATAAGTCCAACCGTTTGAACTTTGAAATTGAATCAGTTGAACTTCCTGCATGAGAATTGCACTCGGTAAGTTGAGTTCTAAAACCGTTTATAAAACCAAACCGGCTTATTTTTCTTCCTAAATGTGCTTAAATTCAGAATTTTGGTATCTTTTTAGTTTCCTATTTAAGTTGGGAATTTTAACGGGGTGTAAGAATAAGTGACAGAGTAAAGGATTTTCACACAATATTGAGGCCTGGTTTGAGGTTCCTTTTTTGGTCTTATGAAAGACTAATTCAGGTCAACTCCAATGCAGCACTCACATATAGGGCTCTTCTTGCACAGTTTTAAAACCTCTTTTTACCTATATATATATCATCCATCCCTAACCGTGATAGAGATTGACTACTTCAGTGGGGAAAACAAGGTTTTCATCTTTTACGTGATTAGCATTATAACCTTGTGAGAGTTTTCAGGCAAAGCTGATTGCTTATTTTTTAGAGCACACACTTAAGTACAAGAGTGATTAGGGTGATATTCTACTGATCAATACAAAATCTTCAGAGTTTATATCAAATTACACATTGATTAATTTAGCAAGGTTTTTCTTCTAGCCTTCACAAATTTCAATTTTGAAGGAAGAGGAGGAATCGATCAAATCACGAAGGGGACAAAGCATTCAAGGAATGTTTGTTGATCTACTAGCAACAATTCTACAAGGATCAAATAGTAAGATTGAAAGCTAGTGCGTTTGGACAAGGGTGTCGCAAAGTCAGAGAGACGTTCAACAATTGGTACTTGGCATAGCAAAGTAGGTGTGAGTCTGATCAATTAAAGTCCATTGTACTTTAATTCAACAATAGTAGGTCTTTTTGCTTGATGCAGCAAAAGTCTATGGTTTTCATCCAGTTAGTCATTTTTCTTCCGACAAGAGTTTCCACGCTCAAAAATCCGATGTCATTCCTCAAACTTAACTTTACTTACTTGCTTTGTTGTTTGTATTTTTTAGGGTTGTGGATGTGCAATTGATAATATTTATGGGTAATTAATTAATCACAAAATTGAATAAGTTGACCTATTCACCTCATCTAAATTATTAAAGTGTGAATCACAGCTTAATCAACATAACAACTTACACACTGCATTGCACTACTCATGTAACTCACACTATTTAAATTTTTTTTTAAAAAAAATTTAAACTTTTTTTTTTCATTTATCTAACAATTAACCTAACTAGTGACCTATATACGATAAAATGTGAACAATGGTTGAATCTGATATCACCTCTCTAACACAGCTACTTGAAGTGTGAAGACTATCAGATTAAAATGCCATCTTTTATAAATATACACAAAAATTAATCATTTTTTAAAAATAAACAGAACTACTGGAATCCCTTTTCTCATTCTATTCTATATACTCTTTTTTATTTAATTTTTTTGGACTACAATTCTATATACGGGAGAGCTAGTATTTGTAATAAAGTTGATTTTCTAATTTATTAATATCGGTTGAAAAAAATTATTAATATCGGTCGAAGTTAAATTTAGTTTTTTAGACGTGTCACTTTTTTACTGTAAACCAGTTAGTCTCCTCAGTCATAAAAGCAATTTTGTCTATTTCGTTCTAGCTTGGCTACCAAAAGCAGCCATGTTGCTAGTCAAAAAAGGAAAAAATAAAAAATGAAAAAGGTTTTAATCTACTTCTTCTATCTATGTTTGATTTATATATATATATATATATATATATTATATTGTACAGTATATCTTTACGGGCATTATCGTTTGCAGGTGCAACTCTATAACGTGCCGCCCAAGCCGGTGACATAATATATTATTAATGCTTGGAGAGAAAGTTTGTAGTTAGTGAATTAATTAATCGGGTGGTATTATTTGACGTCCATTGTTTCCAATAGATCAGACAAAGTCAATAAGAATTGATACCTTCTTTTAATGTTTCCAAGGTATCGAGTTGATCATCTAGGCTACTGGTTTAGGTAGCTAGTCAACTACCACATAGTCCAAATTAATGATGCAAATATAAAGGTCCGTGTGCGCGTGTGTGTGTATATATATATATATATATATATATCCATATAGTTTGCTCAACATTGAACTCATTGAAGGACGTAACTGACTGTATACGACTTCATAACCTCGAAAAGAATTATTTTCTTAGACTGTTGTAGCCCCGAAAGAAATGGAACAGAAGTAATTAAGTTTAAACATCAAAGATGTAAATATAAGAATATAATATGTGTTGGCATATGTAGTTGTGCAGTATTCAATAATTTATGGTGGATGACCACATGATTATGTTTAATGTTTGTACTTCATGATCTGCTAATACAATCTTTACCAACTCCTAATTGTATACAGGAATAATGAAATAATCCCAAAATTGTTTGCCATCTACATTTTTCTAGCTTTATTGTTTTTTGTTCAAAATAATAATAATAATAATAATAATATATTAAAAAGGAAATAGAAGAAAGAAGAGAGATAAAAAAAAAAAAAAAAAGAAAAAACGAGTGATCGTCGCACCCACAGACTTCATACCATTTGAAAATAAACATTGAATCCAAAAATTCCGTTGCCGGGAATCGAACCCGGGTCTCCTGGGTGAAAGCCAGATATCCTAACCGCTGGACGACAACGGATTGTTGCTAAGATGTTGAATTATATTATATTAATCTAGCGAATGCAACATCTAGACCTGTATCATCAAAGAATGCAATAGTAAATTGTGTTGGATAGTGGACAATTGTAACTCCTCATTATCATTTCTGTCCAAGTTTGTTTGCTAATGGGCCATTTCCCATACAATGAGCCTAAACAGGATCAAACTTGTTACCTTGGGCAAAGCCCTCTAATTAGCTGGGCCATGAGGCTGATATGACCTAGGCTAGGCCGTCCACATGGAGCCCAATTCAATGGTTACAGAACAGTCCCATGTGGATCATAAATAACTTGTTGATCAGAGAAATATTGGGAAGAGTGAGAAGCAACAATATGTAGTTGCATGGACATCTTCTCTTCTCTTGCCTACTCTTGTAAATTGTGCAGGTAGTGAGTGCACATAACTTTCATCCCACGTTTTAAGGTTTGCTCAAGTACTAAATGTATTGAGGTTGCTCTTATGGGTTAGGAGTAGTTAACACTGAAACCACGTCACAATGTGACATATTTACGACTCAACATTTTACTCGAACAAAATCAATTTGAACACCAAAGTGTCTCTAGCTCAATGTATAACCTACTCATTATCTTCAATGAGGGGGGAGGAGTTCAATCCCGGACATAAACAAAAGTGTTTATGAGTACTTACCTAATCAAAATAAATAAATTTGAATATGTAGCACCGAGCCCAACATTAAGTGTTGGGCTCTTGGTTATTAAATTAGATGAGATCAGAAGGGTTGCCCTTTCCCATTGGGCCACTTTATGTAACATGTCAAATCTGGAACATCCTAAAACTATGAACAGAATCTTCTTATAGAACCATTACGGATCAAAATTGGGCCAAACTTTAAAAAAATAATATGTTCATCCGTACATATTCTTATACTGTACAGTTGTACTCACCAATTTTTTGTAGCAATGAAATGACACAATTACCCCTCAGAAATTGGGTGTAAGAGTAGTTTACATTTAGAGTCATTTTCAAGGACAGTTGGCTCATTTCCTGTTTTTGAAAAAATAAGTGGAGGGTAAGAGGGTGTAAAATTCCAGAATATAAAACAATATGTTAGTTGTGTGTGTGGTTGTGTGTGTGTTTGTGTGTGTGTGTGTGTGAGAGAGAGAGAGAGAGAGAGAGAGAGAGAGATGGGGAGGAGGGTGCAAATCGCTCTCTCTATAAATAATCCCACCCACATCCTAATCACCTTTTTCCGTTGATGACCCACATTCTAATCTCCTGGTCCATCATATCATCAAATTTCCACCACAAATAAAGATGATACATATATGAAAATAAATAAATAACAAAGAAAAAGGTTCACATCACTCATTTTCTCCAACATTTTCTTGGGATTTCGAATTAAGATTAATTATTAAAACACTGAGGTGAGGTAAGAAAAATTCCAAAAGAGACCGCCCATCCAATTGTAGCCACAAGAACATGAATCCTTACCATTTATCTGTCTCTGCATAAGTTGCTTTTCACGAAAGAGATATATATATACACACACACACACTAATTGTAACAAGTCTGTTATTATATCATCAATGGATGTGTCACGCATAAAAAAAAAAGAAGCCATCACAACAAGGGTCAATCAATGAATTTGGCAATAAGATAAGCATCTCCTTCCCAATCCGAGGAAGATATTATGTAAAGTTTGAATTTCCTGCCTCTAACTCTAGGTTTGGAGGAAAATGATACTTGGACAAAAATATCAGTCAATTGGACCGCGAATGCATGTGGCCAAACATGTTTTATTAAGAAAGTAGAAATGGTAATAAGACATATTATTATTCGATGGTCTAATTTGTAGTACATTCCGAATAGGGGTGACAAATTCTCAATCCCCAATTGTTCTCGTCCTGCCCCATTTATGCAAACGGAGATAAGAATAGGATAATTTTTAAAAACTCGGCAGGGACGAGGATGGAGATATGATAAACCCGTCCTGCCCCGTTTAGGATGTACATTTATTAAAATCCCTTTATATATTATGATATATTACTAAATTATATTAAGTATATATAAACATACTTCTGAAAATAAGAAAAATTATTTGTTAAAAAAAATATAGTGTATTAAACAGGGATGGGGACGGCAGGGCGGTGGCGAATATGAAAATTGAAGTGAAATTTTAAATGCAGACGTGGGCTTGGATGGGGCTGAAAAAAATTACCGGGAATAGGGAATGAGATTCCCGTCCAGCCCCATTGCCATCCCTAATTCCAAATGAATGTGCCCTTAAAAAAAAAAAAAGACACGTTTTGTATTCAATGTTCCATTTATTTTCTTTCCTTTTAGGGCTACTCAAGCCTTCTAATGTTTATCTGTGCTAGGTCGCATTTAGAGAGGCAATAAAGAAGCAAAGAAACTTTAATGGTTTAAGCAATAATTGGAGTATTTTAGAAGTATATGCTTTAGTGATGTAATGTATATTTCCGGAAGTAGGATAACTCCTAAGCCCAACACGAAGACAAGCTTTGTTGGACTTGACATATGCACCTAATTTTGTACAGCTACGATGCCTCCAAGTAGAGACCATTATTCTCAAGATAAGCTTATTCATTGCCTGTCAGTAGGAGCAGGGTCTTTTAGACTAACTCAAAATTTTGATTATGAATTTAAATTTTTTGACATCGTATTAAAGATACATAGGATGGCAAAATAATTCCTCTTGGTCCTATTCCGCCTTGCCCCGCTTCATTTTAGATAAAATTGGAGACTTAATAGAGCTTTCGCGAGTATGGATTATCTCCGATCATATTACAAAATTAACGTAATATTGAATATTGTATATATATTTTAAAAATAATAATAATTGATTGAGAAAGGGAAAGGTGAATTTTAATGGAAGCGTGATTTTTCAGAATTGAGTTGAATATTTTAACTTCACAGTAGTATTTTTTTAAGGATTTGTGTCATCCCGGACACCCCATGTTAATAAAATAAAAAAATAAACATCTTAATTTTTGATTATCATGTTTATTCTAAATTATTTGTTAATTAATTAAATATTTCCATTATATATATGGCAGGGGGCTAGATTCAATCTATCAAAGGCAATAGATGGAGGGATAAGGATCACCTCCAGTTACACAGTAGTCTATTTCTTTCATTTTTGTAAGTAAAAGTATATCTCAATATTTTCGTAAGGTGCATTCCAACATTTTCCTATTGTGCATCTCAATATTTTCCTACTATGCATCCCAAACATGGATGACGTGGTCATTTTTAAACCACTCATTTCAAAATGAAGTAAATAGCACGCTATTTCACTGGAGGTGATTTTCACCCATAGATGGAGCCTCCATTCAAATTGCACGTGCATACACGTGCTTTCAGTTGGTCTTCCTAACTTGAACTAACTTGGTTGTCTATGCATTGCTTGCTTTGCCGTTGAGCCAAACTTTCCACTAAACCTGTTTTAAGTGTTAGGTGAGTTATTAATGTAGATTCCAAATGCAATTATGCCATCTCTGGCCATTACGAGTAAATATTTAATTCATAATACACAAAAAGAAAAAATAATAAAAATAACCGTGTTAATAGCTCCTAGACATTCTATTCTGCTGAGAGAGACAGAGATAAGAGATGTAAACTAAATACAAACCTAAACTTCAATATTATTTTGCCCAAAATACAATGTTTGTAAATCCAAACTTCAACCATTGCATCAAAGAATTACCCCTAATTAGTAAGGGTTAAAAGATAACAACAATCACCTATCGACTAAACATTACAACAAATGAACTTCAATTCTCAGATTAGCTTTCACTTCTTCAACAAACCAAAAGAACGGAAGACCCAAACATCGAGTGTGAAAGAGAGTGCCGATTTCTTGGCATCAAAGAATCCTGTTAGCGAGCTTTTTATTGTGTCAACCATTTACAAGGGCTAACCTCTCCAATGCAGGAAAGAATCACGGCGAGAGCTAAACATATTACATAAACTACCTTTTCTTGTCACCCCCTTCCTTGTCATCATACCTTTTTACATAGTAAATCATAACAGTAATAAACTATAGACCGTTGTCCGTCATGGCTTCTTCCAGTATGCTACCAGCTCTCTAATTGAGCTTTCAGACAAGAAGACAGGTCTCATACTGCTGCTGTTTAAGCTGTTGCTTGGCTTGGTTCTGGGACCAGTAAGCATGGGCGGCTAGGACCCTGTCCAATAGCTCCTGGGGTACGGGTTCACCCCTCCTTTGCTGAGGGGATATTCTTGCCGTGTGCACCAGTGTTTTCCACTTGTCCTGCACAACCCCACACCAAAGAAAACCCACCTCATGTGAGTACTCCTTTATTTCAAAAATGTGTGTGTGTGTGTGAGAGAGAGAGAGATAAAAAGAGAAGTAACAACTTTTAATGCCACTTCTGCTTTCTGACCCAGGCACTTTGAGATATTAGAAGATTTATCGGCTATATATTATTTGGCTATGGATAAAAAAAGGTGGCTAACCATCATTTGGTAGAGGACACGACGATGATCAGGAAATAATAGATAATACAACTATGTATCTATGATATCGTGTGAGACTAGAATTCAAGAGATTCCTTGGCACAGCTGTACCAAAGATAAACTATCGAGTCATTTACCAATTATACAAGCAACTATTGCCTTGAACTAATTAAACTACCAAACCTTGTCGGCCCAATCTGTCCAGTGGTCTACTTTGTTAACATTTAAGAAATCATGGGATGTAAAGGGGAAAGACATAGGATTTAACGAAGAGATCGAGTAATAATTTAGTCCAGCTAAAAATCCAAAGGCGGTGAAATATATGCAGAGATGTGGCATATCACTTCCGTACCTTCAAATCCACATAAGTTCGATGCTTTGCATTATCAAAAGCTCGCAGTTTCACGTCACGCCATCTGTAAATAATAATACAATTATCATAATAGGACCAAAAAAATAAAAAAAGGCTTTTATCAAGAGCTGTAATCTAGAGGTATCACTTTTGCCTCCCAAAGTGGAAGGTGAGCAAGTTCAAGTCAAGGCAAATGGGTGTGTGAATTTCTTGCCAAAGAAAATATATATATAAATGAAGATTCTATTTTGACCAAAAAAATATATCAAGTTTTTGAACACTGAATTTTGCATTCATGTTAAAAAGTGGTCTGGTGATTCAGTTGTAAACTGTTGCAAACCAGCTCCCATATAATTACTGGATTAGGTTTCACCAACATACCTTCCAGTTCCAAGCTTCTCAACAGCTTGAACCAATGCCTCCACTTCGGAAACAGAGAAGGGTCTACGAATTCGACGCTGGGCAACCTCAGATCGCTTAGATTTCCGCATAGGAACCACAGTTAGTGCCTCCACATTCATCGCTGGAACGGCAACCAATGCTCGGGAATCTGTAGTGCTTTTATCAATTGACATGGCAGGAGGAGAAGGTGCTGAATCATGATCGCTTTCAATAAAGTTTCCAAAATTTGCTACTGGAGGATCCAATGGGGCATCATAATTTCCCTCTTTAACTACACTACGAACTACATTGGGGGCGGGTGGGTACCTGCTAAGAGAGCATTGCATTATTAGCTGAAAGCAACTGACTTAAATCATCTCTCCTTAGATCTGCTTACAAGTATAATTGTAAAAAGTAAACATGTTTCCTCATCCTACCATAACATAGCAACAACAAAATAAGTCTGTCAAATATGACATCGGAGAAATTCTAAAGAAATAGGTCACCGTACATATGGTTTACCTTGTCAGTGGCTGAGGGGCGTCACAAGGGGGGAGAAAGGAGAGATCATTGGGACATAGAGGTGTAGGAGTTTGAGAAGGATTAGGTTCCAGCGTAAAACCCAGAGCATCCAGCTTGTTATCATGAGATATTCCAGTCTGCTGTAGAGTTTTGTTATCATCTCTAATCTTCTTCCCCTGAAGAAGCACGCCAATACGTAGTCCACCGCCAAGAATAGCAGTCACTGCCTCCATAACTGTCCTCTGCACAACATTCACATCCCATCAGCTCTTAATTTTTAAATTCAAGCAGCAAATTTGTAAGCCTAAAATGAAACTGAAAAGAGAGGAAGAATTAAGAGATATTGAAGCAAAATGTTAAAAAAATTAAGATCCCATTGCCGCAAAATTTTCAGCCCACAAAAGAGTGTGTTAAATTTTGATAAATGAAAAAACCATTAGAGGAGTACCCAGGACTTGTCAAAGATTTAAGTTATGTATTTTTTCAAATGGACCCTCACTTCTCTCCCAAAACACGTCCACACTCCACCCACGGTGTTCATTATTCAACTTTTAGAATACAAAACAAGAGCTACATAAGAACACATATATTTAGCCATAAAGAATGTAAGTTCTACCTGTACACATAAACATAAAACCTATGAAATGAGGGAAACGCATGATCAGCATGACATACCTCATAATCCTAGAACTTATCAAATTATGTCCGATATGTCACATCTACTACAATGCATGGCAAAAGGTAGCTGCAAGATGCTTTGTATTAGAATGAACTGGGTCATGTCGATGATAGCATACCTTCAGAGAACCCACAGTTGCAGTTTCTGGAATCTCAATGAAAAGCTCTGGAACCTTGAAAGACTTGATCCTAAGCTTCACTGAGAAAAAGCACAGATATCTTCATATAAGAACCCCTTTGAATGTCAGACACCAATCAAATCAAAAGAGTACACGTGAATCATTCCATCAACGGTTCTCATACCATGGGAATCCTTGGACTGAAAGGATGTATGTTGACTTGCTGCAGAAGCTGGCGTCCCAGTGGCTGCATCAGGAGCTACGATTATAAGCAAAATAATAGAGAAAACAACAAATTGTAAACCAAACAGAGTTAATAGTGGGGAGGGGGGTGATGAAGAAGAGTTAGCAAAAGTATTAACAGAAGAAGAAGAGAGGAGGGGATGGAAACTAACCTCCATTCATCGCTGCACCTGAATCAGAAGCATCTCCACTGAAGCCCTTCCCAGGTAAACTAGATATTCCCTCACTACTAATCCCTCCATCAGAATTTGATACTGAACTACAGTCAAAAAGTTTCCTCTTTTTGAAAGGATAATCCCTTTGAGACCTTTGGCGTTTGTAACAATTTTTCCTATTACGGTAAGCAGGCTTTCTTTCTGCACCTGGAGACATCAATATAACATCCAATTAAATAAAAGTGATGTAAATGAAAATCGTAATAAAATCAAACTAAATGAGTGAAGAATGCAGGACGATCAAAGAGTGATCAGACACTCACCAGTATATAATTGTCGCTCATCCTTCAATTTTGGAGTTACTTTCCAATATTTTGAAGCCAATAACTTCCTTATTTTTCGGTCTCCAATTCGTAATGGTGGCCTAAAGGCCTTTGCTGTGGTGCTAGGTTGAGTGCACCCAGAAGAGTTTTCGTCATCATCTCTAATAACTAAATTTACATCATCCCGGCACACGGGGAAAGAACCACAAAGAATGTCATCCCTGCACAAAGGTAACTTCACACTATTGTCTAAACAAATTACATTGGAAGGTTTCCTGTTCCAAATGACCTTACCCTCTGACATGCACATATCAGGTCTGGTACTATTACTAACCGACACATTACCAGTGTTAGGTGGCTCAATTTTCATTTGTTTTTTGTTATCATCCTCAACTGTACAATTGTAGGCCTCCCGGTGGCCAGTGGAACCTACCTTAACTTTGGTAGCAAAGGTTCCAAGTTCGACCTTGCTTTTCCCATTGACTAATTTTTCAGCAGAAACGGCCTTCTCTGGACAATCTGAAGTTGTTACTACAGATGCAAGTCCCGAAAAAGCATCACGCTGAGCATTTGGAGATTCTGTGAAACTATGATTAAGAACGGGATCCTGTGGGACAAGTTCTGACGCAATAGAACTCCTGTCAAAGCTTCCTTGATCACAAGGTTCTACTTTCAAAGGGTTAACCACTTTCTGTTGTTCTTTCTTTACAAAATCTTTCGCAGCTGCACACTGTTTTTTTGCAGGTAATGTATTACTAGAACTAGGAGAACTTTCTCCTTCCAGTAATAAATTGCCAGCTACAGTAGCCAATAAGTCAAATGCACACATTGGATTGTCATCAACTTTCTTCCTGAATGAGCACCTCCTCTACAACAAGTGACAAAGGGATTAAAAAACAGATCAGTACTTCAGAAACGCAGACCACCAGATAAAACAAATAAAGGAATAATGAGCAGTCCAGGTAAGGCAGACAGTCATTACCCTAGCCGATCTGGCAGCTCGGGGTGTGGGAGGCATCTGATAGCCATTGAATCCGTAGTCTAACCTCTTCTGTAGCACCATATCTCGGAGATCATACCAAGCAGAACTCTCAAACGCAGAATACAAGCATTTTTGGATATTTTTAAAGATCTAAAGAGCCTGCATCAGACCTGCCAATCTCCCATGCTCAGTGACCCAAGATTACAGACCCTGTCGACAAACAAACATTAACAATGGGAATATGCTATTGATAGGATAAGACAAAAATTAACGTGGGTAAGATAACAAGAAAAAGATGCCAGCTAGTGTGTTGTTTTAATAAAATTAAGACCCTAGACAATGGAATGACAAAACAAGATCCAAGGAACAGTATCCAAATAGTTAGGAAACGGATTTGTTAGAGTTGAGTTGAGTCGAGATATTAACTTAGACTAAACAAAAAGAATGTATACAGTGTATTACCTTTATTAGAACAAAAACAGATAACATGATAACAAAAGTACAAAATCTTAAACCACCAACAAGGGTTGAAAAGGTGGTACACGGAATTCACCATAAAAAAAAATATAAAAATGAAGAAGGAGAAAATAAGAATGTTCTTCATAGTATTAAATTTGGTGGACAGCACAATTGTATGGGAACACTTGATCAAAGAATAAATTAGCACAATAAAGAAATCGTACAATATAGAGAGCGAAATCCTGCAAGCCCAAATGCCAGTATATAAAAAATAACGATAATAAAAAAATAACATTGCATCAAGAAGCATGGAATCAGCTACTTGTAATTGGAAGTTCTAACTTTAAACGAAAAAAAAAAAAAATTCAATTCCAATTCCAAGGCACCAATTTCATGCTCCCAAAAATAGCTTAATTATTCTTGCTATGTTCTTCTAATTGCAGCAATTATACCAGACTCGGATTACCATGTAAAAACCAGACAAAGTCAATCAAATGAGAAATGTCCCTAAAAACTGCCAGGAAAAAATGGCCAAAGAGGACACTTCCTTGGAATTTTACAACAGGTGATGGGATTCCAATAGAAGAAACAATTAAGAGCCTTATAACTGCCATTCCAACAGTAATTGGTCATATGATTCCAAGAGAATAGTTTCTTGAAATCCAACAATGGCCACTTCACAGCAAACCTTATAAGATCCAATATTTAAATTATTTTCCTATTTTTTCTAGACAATCAAACAGCTCTAAACAGATTTGTAAAAAATATCTGAGAAAATCAATTTACAACAATTTTGAAGGAGCAACACTATGAGTGTGGACATATTTCTGTCAGATCGGCACGACGATCCATAGACGGCTATGATGCACCCAGATTATACAGGACAGAGTCAGAAGAGGAAGGAAACTCTAAAAATGTGCAAAAATATATACATACATACTCGTACATCTGACCCTCCCGCAATGGCAGGAGCCTCATGCCCTGGGCTAGCCTAGCCCTTTTATACTGATATCAATGCCTTTTTGTCAAGTAAATTGAACAATATAACCATTAAACATAACAAACAAGAATAAGTACAAAATTAGATTGCACCTTATCTGCTCTATGGAGGAAAACAATTCGGGCCAATTAAAATCCAGAAATCTCTCCACAATTCTAAGTCACACATACATGAAGCAGGGGTGAAAAAGAAAGAAATAAAAAAGAAATGATTAAAAACCCTCACAAAACCCTGATATGGATGATCACAGAATTAAGACGGGATGATCATTTCAGACATCCCGAAAATGAAGGTGTATATATATATATATATATACACAGATGATCTAAAACCCTCAGTGTAGATGAATCGAGAAAAATATCAGATAATTCAGGACAAATCGTATGAAAAAAGAATTGGAAAGAAAAAAAAATGGATCTCGGTCCTCTCCGAAATTCAGGAAAAGGAAAAAAAGAAAGATCTTGGACACGAATTTTTTTTTTTTTTAATCCCAGATCGAATCCAAATTTGGAAATGACAAATCCAGGAAGAGATTGCAACAAGAAGACTCAACTCAGATAAAATAAAATCAGACAGCATAAAATTAAAAATATATATGCGCCAAACATGAAATTCAATCAGGTCCAGTGTTAAGATTTTCTCAGCAACCGAACAGGAAAGCCTGTCGTAATGAAACCAAGAAATCCGATTATCTCACCTCTGTAGAACGATTTGTCGTCGGATTTACAAGAATTTTGCGTTGAGAGTTGATTTGTCCCCTCGAGGAAACAAAATTCCGGTGAAATTTTGTAAAAAAATTACAGGCGAATGTAAGATCGGAGAATTGTCGGAGAATTCGAACAACAAATCTCACAAGAATCAGAATTTGCATCGATCACGAAACATTCTTTTTCTTAATCCACTATCCCATGTTTTCTCTTTGTTTCTCAGAGAACAAACGCTGTTTTGGACGCTACCCTTAATTTTCTCTCTCCTCTCTCTCTCTCTTTCTCTCTCTGAGATGGCCAAAACCCTCTGAAAACCACCCAACCATTTGCTTAAACCCCAGCTCTTATACCATTGACTCCGATTACCGGATCTATCGGTAAAAGCCCATGGTTTTACAGGCTATTGCAGGTTAAAGAAACCACCTAATGACCGGTTCTTCTCCAGAGGGTGACCCATACCCTTGCTACGTGTGTCCAGATCGCGCCACGTGGAGGAATATGAATATCGTGTGGCCAATACTCTCTTCACGATCTATAAAAACGTTGGGTCACGAAGAGAGGGAATTTCATATTCTTTCTCAAGTTTGTAGGGACATCCATTTAAATTTTACTCCTACATTTAGGAATAAATTCTTAAACGCCACGCGCTCATCATTCAAATGATATATATATATATACACACACACATACATATTTATAACTAATTTGTAACAAATTTACAAAGTATTACTTTAAGACTTTAAGTCACCTAATTTGTGCGAGAACCGAACTTACTTTATGTTATATAAAGGTACAACAAACTAGTACTTAGATGTTATTTGGGCAGTTTTGGAAAATTCTTTTTTCAAAAGAAAAAAAATAAAGGGTGATAAAAAGATAATGGCAATAACTATTTTCATATTTTTATTGTTTACTTAAAATACAATATGGGACGGAACCAATTCTATAATATATGTGGTAATTTTTTTTATTTTTTTTTATATATAAGAAAAAAATTATACAATGCATATTTGAATAATTTTTTTATTCTCTTATTATATATATATATATACATATTTGTACGGTGCCCCATAATTTGAAATCTTAATTCCGTCCTTAAATACAATTAAATTATTTCTAGGTATAGGAAATTAGGAATCGAAAATTTGTCATAATTTTGAAAAGATGTCAAATTTTTTTTTTTTTTAACCAACTAGTCAGTGACTCAACGGCACGAGGTCTATACTTTTCAAAAAGAGATCATGGGTTTGAAACTCAGTAGAGACACGAGTGTGTAAATAATCAACTAAGAAAAAAAAAAAGATATTAATTTTTTTTATTATGAAGTTATAAAAAAACAAAACAAAACAATATGTTGGATAAAGCTCCAAAATAATAATAAAAAAAAAATTCATTAAAAAATGGTATATATAGAGTTAAATGGCTCTCAGTTGAATATATTCAAAGAAATTATTCTACTATAATCTCTGTGAAGTATCTTTTTGTATATATGTTTTAATTAAATTTTAACCTTATAATAAATAATATGAAGTGGATCCAGAATTTATGAAAAGAAATAAGCTTAGAAAGTAGATTATCATTGTAAATTCTAAATAAATTATCTTTGTTTTATTTTATGGAAAGAAATGAGATTATAGAGGAAATTATGATTGTAAATTCTAAATAAAGCACATTGGTTGAATTTAAAGGAATAACAAGAATATACCAAAGTGCAAATGATTAACTCAAGCTCGTTACGGCACGTACTGTAGATCTAATACTAATATTATTTATTTATTTATTTATTTTGTTGTTGTTTTGATGACCTCATCTCAGATCTGAAAGAAATTCAACAAATTTGACAAGGATAGTTCCGTAAATTAACCATACATAGAGGTATCATGATAAGCATGCCAGCTACCTTTTTCTTTTGCCTTTTTTTTTTTTTTTAATTCAGTTATTTCAGTTAATGTATTAATAAAATATGTGGCCGTCGGTTTAAATGAATGCCACGTAGGATAAAAGGCAAATCCTACGTGGAAAAAAAGCAACCCTCTATTCCGCACTTTTTTCTCGGTATTATCTCCTTTTTAATTTTGGAATCTAAAAAAATAAAAATAAAAAACATTTGGCAGTTTCATAACGTTGAGGGAAGGGGGTTAAGTTGACGTGGCGAAGGAAGAGCGGTGGTAGAAGACGGCGTTAGAGTCGGAGGATAAGAGGTGAGAGTTTGTGGTGGGACCCAAAAGAAGGTGGTAATGTGCTTCGAACACGACGCCTAATCTAATCCAACTCTTGACATGTCTTGGTCTGTTTTCGTTGTTGCTTTTGACGGTTATTCCACCAATGGAGGGAGGGGTTGATTGGTTGACACCTGTCTCCACGGAGACAACACCGGCTTGCCACGAATATCTTACATGGTTATGATTTAATTTAATTTAATTTTTTTTTTTTTTTGGGGATAAAATTTAAGAAACATTTAAAACTAAGTTATTATTATTACAAAAAGTGAAGGATTAATTTTTTTCACATGTTATGTCTTCTTGCGACGATGTCTCTCCACTACATCTACTACTATTCGGTCGCCGGTTTTTTAGTCCGGATAACAATTTGAAAAAGTTTTAATTTAATCACCAATTTAATTTTGAACATAATTACTATAATCTTATCCGAATTTTTATAACAATTATTTTTTAGTCCATCAATAAATTTTAATTTCTTTCTAACCATTTATTTTTGCATATGGTTCGATTTATTCGGTTCATAAGAAAGAACTGAATGAAGTCAGTTAAATTTTATATATATATTGTTAAAACGGTGTGAATGTACTTGATTTACAAAAGAGTATAACAAGTTTAATCTCAGAAATACAAACTTTGCATAAACCTATATTGATTGACATTAACAACAGACCTATTCTTTAATAAAAATTTGGAAAAAGTGTGTGTATGATTCGATCTGGATTACATAGATATTTCAGAATAAATATTTCATTACACTTAATCGGTTGAGATCACCGAGTTTAAATTATTTTGTTGTTCTTAATTATATATTTTCCTCTAATCTTAATTATTTTTGTTGTTTTTAATTATATATTTCCATCTATTTTTTTTTTTTAGGTGTTCTTAATTATAAAGGGATTATAATTGACAGAAATAAAAAGGAGGAGAAGTTTGGAATTTAATATTACCATAATTATGGGTGGACCCACCTATTGACTAGTAGTACAGGTCCACAAATTGGTAACGAACAAAAATTTAAATTTCAAAACCCAGCACAGCACGTTACAGTACTAAACCAGTAACCCAACATTTATACTTACTAGACTCAACAATTGGATGTATCAACAACAATTGAACTAACAATTACGGAGTAGTATGTTTTGTTGGCTATTAGTTCAACCAATAGCCAACATTCTTTTGCCAGATAGTACATGTTACATAATTTCTAATTAATTCATGCATTCTTGATGGAAAAAAAATAAAATAAAATAAAAAATAAAAAATTATCTAAATTTCTTACATTTATAAATCACCATGCTAAAATGCTTACACTGTAGCAAAGGTTATTTTTATATGGAAAATGAAATAATTATCTTATTTAATTTTACCGATTACATAACTGATTGGATGTGAGAATTAGTGATTAAAATAAGTAGAAAAAAAGAAAATTTTGCTCTTTTTAAAAACTGACAAGAGTTTTTGTTGTAATATTTTTTTTTATTGGAGTAACCTCTTTACATACCAATGATAAAAAATTCTTACAATTTTAAACCCAAATACTCAAATCATATAAATTTAATGCATGAAATTTCTACCATTATAAAATTTGAAGGGGTTTAAACACACACACACACACATAGTTACCCAAGTACCGGAACCATATAAATTTAGAAACGTTCTCATAGCTAAGATTTGAAATCAATGATACACATTACCATTAAAAAGCAAGTCCACTTGTGTAACGTTTTGTGCAATATTTGAGAGGATGTGTTCGAAAGAGTAATGAGGCGGAGTCATTGGAGAAGAGATATCACCATCTGTCTATAAATGAGTGAAAGTTGAAGACCACATGACATCTGAGTTAACGTTGTCAAGGAAGTTAGCTGGCCCACGATATACATGTATAAATATATACTCCCTACGTATAAATAGAGAGAGACAGAGAGAGAGAGAGAGGTGTGGTCCTTGTGGAGGAGAGAGAAAGAGATACCATATTGCATTAAATTAGGCAATAATTCTCTCCCAAAGAAGCTGGAAAAGGATATGCTGCTACTGTTATTTACTATTCAATGAAGCTGGCTACAGCTTCCAAAAACCATGAAGCAGTGTTAAATTGGCAATATATAACTATATATATATATACACACACACACATATATACACCCCACACACGCTTTTCAGTAAAAACTATGTATTGTATGGGACAGAGTGATGTTAGATAAGGACTACCAACTTAGGTCAAATAAGTTGATCGGATCATAATTTTTTTTTTTCATTGCTAAATTAATTGTATATGTTGAATATTATCCCGTAATACAAGAGACTACAAAAAGTCAACTCATCCTATTGTCATAATTCTTTTTTATATTCCTCTAATTTCAATTTTTATTCGTCTCAAAAACAACAATATATCAATTATTTATCATTTCAACAAACAAACCTCACATATCAATTGCAACCTAAAAAAAAAAATGGCAGTGTAGGGGTAAGTGACTGAACCATAATCTCACCTCAAGCATTGAAATTAGACATGAATTGGTGAAATTTGTTTAACACAAATAAAATCGTTTTCTACAATATGCCAATTGTTTTATAATGAAAAGTCAAAAATCTAATGAATAGAAGCATCCAATAAGGAAAAAGATTTTGTTGTAAAATTAATTATATATATATATATATATATATATATATATATTACAAGACAAATGAGAAGAAGAAAAGTTAATGAAAGCAACTTTATTTATATAATATTATAAAAGTGTGAATTAGAACAAACAATTAAAATTGCATACAGCTTCTCATAATTAATTAGAACTTAGGTGTAGAAGCAAGTTGAATAATATGACAATTTCTTATGTTATTTATATAATATTAATAAATTTAACACGAGTACTAATTAGTTAAAGCATTAATATGAATTGAGTTAAATGTGCAATTTATTGTGTTCCAAAGTCAGTGTTGAAAGGTTCGATGGAACCAAAGCCTCTCAAGTTCAACAATATTGGCTTTGACCTTTAAATCGATGACAAATAACACAGATTGTCCCTTTTACGTCAAGGAATCTACTGATTCAAAGAGGGGTTTCGTAAACTTCAAACTCCTACAATCTCCATCGTAGCCAAGATGGGTTGAGTGCTGGAATTGGGTGCAGTCAGGACCACAAAAATCATTTTTTTCCCTTAAAATATTGCGATCTATATTTAAAGTTACCAGTGGGGATCTACACCATACTGACTGCAGATATGAATCAATAATAAATGAGCATATTTTATTTTAATTACCAAATCATAGATGGTAATAAAATCACTATCTCTGATTTAATAAGTGAATATCTACACCTTCATATTAAACTTGTAAAAAGTGACATATTCATTTATTATTGGTCCACATCACAGTGAGTATGGTGTAAATTCTCACTAATGAAGATCTAAGCATTGTTCGTGTATATGTATATATAACAAAAGAAGAAGAAAATTATATGATTTGATAATTAAAAAAGAATGTGTTTATTTATTATTAGTCCAAATCAATGTTTAGTATATTATAAATCTTTATTAACGAGAACTTAAGTATTGTCCCTTTATAAAATCCTCAACTTACTTCTTTTATAAATGCTCGTTTCATATTCCACATTTCAAAAGGTACAAGAATTTATTGAATATCATATTTTCTGGATTTGATATGAAATCATTTATCCACAAATCTAGATCAATAAAAGATGGGACTTGTATCCTGAGTTAAATCTTCTCTAAGATATCATAAATTAAATTATCTGTAGATTGACGTGTGATATTTAAAATCTATCTACTACTTGTGTTAAATCACGTCAACTAATTTAAAGAAAATTTGAAAACTGAACCGTTTTTAAATAAATAAAATTTACCAAAGTTTTAAAAGTGCACTATTTTAAAATAAGAAAAATTTACCATATTTTAACGTCGTTCTCTCTCCCTCGTCTTTTGTGAAAAAGATCGTTCCTTCTCTCTTCTCTTGCTTATTCCCACGATTGGGTGCTTATTCCCACGGTTACGGGAATAATTCGCGCAAAAAATGAATGGGTAAATTAAAAGCCTCTGAAATTAATTTTGTAGTTTAAATTTTAAAAAATAGATGAATTTTGGAATTTAAATTTCAAAAAAAGAGAGTGAAAAAAGAAAGGAATTTTGCAATTTAGATTTAAAAAATAAAAAATAAAAAAGTGAACCAGAGCGATTTTGCAGTTTAACCTTCTAAGAGGAGAGAGGGAGCGATCTTTTTTGAAAAAGATGCTATAGAGAATTTTCCTTATTTCAAAAAGATGCAGTTTTTTAACTTTGATAAATTTTCTTTATCTCAAAATGATGCAGTTTTTAATTTTTATTTAAAATTAGTTAACATGGTTTAATACAAGTATTACATAGATTTTAAATGTCATGTGTCAATCCGTAAAAAATTCAATTAGGATAACTCAAAGAAGATTTAACTTAGAGGATCTAAGTTCTAGAAGATGACTGTTACTAAATACTTGTTATTTCTTTAAGAATTGTAAATGAAATGTTACCAGCCTATTAGATTTAAAATACTGCATCAGAATTTTATAATATATATATAATAAATGATATTTTCAATCCTAAAATGAAAATTTGTAGTGGCATTAATTGATGTTCAAACAATAATTTTACCATAGTTTAGCATACCGAATAATACAAAAACCAACAGTATAAAACGACATTTATTGAAAGAAAAAAATAAATTAATTAAAAGACTCAACTTTTTCAGTTGGCTTCATCACAAAAGCAGAACAAGAGAAGTGGTGAGAAATGAGAGAAATCTATCTGAGACCAAACTTGCTATATTGAAGTAATACCAAATTATAAAACAATAAAATGTACACGATACAATAAACAAGCTTCCACACATATCACACTATAAAGTTCTATCGGGTAACTGAAGAATAAAAATAAAAAACATAAGAATAGCTTATGCAGAAGACAAATTACCATACTGCCAGGGGTTGAACTCTGTTGTTCTGACACCATCCTCATGAATACTGTCCTCCAAGCTATCTACGGCAGCACGATGTTCGGCGTATTTACCATTGTATTGGTAGACTTCCAAGTCCCCCCAAGGTGTAGGTGTAATTTCATCAGTTAGATCAAACCATCTTGGCGTGAATTGATGGCCCTTTGCCTCTCGGTCTCTCTTTTCAGCTCTTTGCCTCTCCTCAAGACTGAAAATGAATAAATTAGATAAAATGTTATATTTTTCACAAAAAATATAACCTCTTAGTGGCACTGTAGTAACAGAAATCTAAAACTTATCATGTTGATTTGAATGGAAATATCCAAACCAGCTAAAACTATTTTTATGATCCTTGAGAATAAGAAAATTGCATCCTTTAACCACTTCAGGTGGCTGCTTGTAAGGTTTCCACATCCCATGTTTTACTCAAATCATTATCATTGAAACCAAATACACCAGTTGAGCCCAACCCAATGGGAACAAATAATTTCTCTACCTCGCTGAAACCAATACAAATTCTCCTAAAAGAGGAACATGCAAACCAACCAATTACGGTCTCCATCTGGGGATTATTACTGAAACAAGCCCTAAAATTGGTGAAGAAGCCACATACGGAATTGCCCTAGGTGAAACCCTAACTGAGAAGGCCTACATGAATCTGCACTTCAGACTGAAGATTTGGTATATGTATTGTGTATGTTTATGTTCATACTTCATATATACATATATGTATATATACAGAAATAAAGTTTCAATACGCAATTGAGCACAATGCCTATGGCATCGCTGAACAACATCAAGCAGAGCACATGCTTGGCTCACCCAAAGACAGCTGACCCTGGACAACCCTCTGATGCCAAGCCTGAACAACCCAAAGCCATGGTTGGCTCGAATCATTTGGGACTTGTACAAAATGATGGTTGTACCCATACGATGGGGGAGCCAGGTATATGAATCATTGTACCATTAACAGACAATCATTGGGCATTAGGGGATAAACATGTGATCCATCAACTTAATTTTAAGCCCTTGTTTTAAGCATTGGCCAGCAATTCCCGGTAAGGAATTTGTTAGTGTATCTGCATGAAAGAGAATTAGAGAGTAGAGAAACCTGCTCTTCTCAGCACCAGCTTTAGATAGATCACCCTTCTCAAGTGCATATCTGTCAGGACGCAAACGAGAATCCGACGCCAACAATTTCCTAGGAGCAGTGTCAAAGCTGTTTATTTTATGTGCAAAATATGTATACTGGTGTTCGTCATTCTCTGGAACAGCAGCCACTCGCCAAACCTGCAGAAAGCTCATCAGTGACTATTTGTTCATCAGCTCAAACAGCCGAAATACCTTAACTAACAGCTACTTAGATATTATAAAAAAATGCATAATAAGACACTATTTCAAGTGTCTTTCAGGCGAAGCCACCCATTTATCATCATTATAGGCGAGCTTTAATTTCTTTAGGTGGTTCGTAGGTCGGAGTAATATCCTTTATTAAGAAGTGAACCAAAAGAAGCATGCAATTCTGGGATTTTGTCAAATTGTTGAGCTTGTAAAATCATTCAATTGGCTTGGACCACGAAATCTGTTCATAGAGTAAAAAGGTACTCCAAAGCAAAACTATTGCAAGCCAGATAAAATAAGCTCAAATTCATCCCAGAATAATGCTCTGGAGTACATTTTTAGAGTCACAAGCCAGAATTGTAAACAAGATTATTATCAATGACAGTCCCCCAAAAGCATGCCAAAATGTGATATATTCAAGAGCTTTTGAAATTTAAACTACTCATCATTTCCGCAAACAACTACTCACTAAATTATAGCAAAAGCATTACAGTTAAGACAACCATGCTAGAAGTAAATATCAAAGAGCCTCAGAAATTAGAAGTATCAAGTATTTATCTCCCGCCCCACCCAAGGAAAACAATCTATATCTTTGTATCCAATACTTCAACCCAAGACTCAAGAACAATCCCCAAGACACTGTGATATCAAAGTCCAAGCATGAAGCATCCAAATTATGATAATCATGAAAGTAGGTAATGTGATACAAGATAACAAAAATCAGGAAACGGAAAATTTTGACAGGAACTCAACTCTATAATTTAGACACAACAGAAAATATATGTGTGTGTGTGTGTGTGTGTGTGTGTGTGTAATTAACAATCCGCGGAAAAATAAATATATACCAATATATATATATATATATAACATATCCATAATTTTAGGACGTTAACTGAAAAGCATACAATGATATGAAGTAGATAGTTATTTATATTTTAGGGGAACCTCTAAAATATTGCAGGCCTGGTCGATATGAAGTAGAGGTTCCCCTAAATGAGGTCAGTTCTCATTCAACAACACATAATTTTAGGACGTTAACTGAAAAGCATAAAATGATAAAACGGGAAACGGGAATTAACCTCTTTCGGTTCTGTGCCTGGTAGAGGTTCCCCTTCCATGTCACATGGTTGATAACTCAGTGACTCGTTCCATTTCCCAGTCATCAATATTTTAGGTTCCTCAGCTGCATTATATACATAACCATCTACTTCATATCGACCAGCCCTGCAATAAAATATACCTGATTAACCGGTACAAGTGGCTCACAGAATGCATGTACACAACAAACACAGATTGCACATGCAGACCTGCATGTCTGAGAAAGAATTTTGACTCTAAAAAATGATAAGAACTTTAAAATGAATTAGAAATACTGGAATAAATTTATTAACCGTGGAGACACCATAAGCAAGCGTAATACAACAATCCTAACTTGTACAGTATCACGGAAAAACCTTAAAGGCTAGAACAAAGGAACAATCAGATAAAGACCATCCAAGCAAGTGAAAAGGAACAGAATATTATCAACATACCCAAACCAACCACATGGCTGGAAGTACAGCACAACTTTGTCACCAGTAGTCAAATTTGTCATGATCATATCCCCAGGTGAATCCACCCAAGTTCGTCCAAAAATCAAATTGTTGACCTTTGTGGGAGGAGGAACCAAATCCAGGACTACACCATCTCCTTTAAGAGTTACACGTGTTCTGCATGTATTAAAAACTGTAGAAATGTAAATTTCATTAATGAAATATGTTGGGACGAATAAATTTGTAAGAAATCCTAATAAAAAAAAGACGTAAACAATAAACACAATATAAAACTTTTCAAAATCAAACATCAAATGAGGCACATACTAATTCTGGAATTGGCACACAGCCGAATAGTGCCTCATATACAGGGGCGAATCCAGTTCATGCCCAGAGGGGGTATAACTTGGCCCCGCCCACTATATTATTGTAGTCATATTCTTAATTTTTTTACATATATAAGGAAATTTGTTTATAATGCCCCCCCTAAAATTATTTTAGTTTCTAAAATTCACTTTAATTTTTCCTTATTTTCCTCTTCCTCTCTTTAAATTCCTTAAAAAAATTAAAAAATTTCTTCTTCAGGCTCTAATTCTTTTTCTTTCTAAAGTTATGCCATTTTTCTGCTGCCTAAAATTCTTCTTTTTCTACTACTACCTAAAATTCTTCTTTTATTTATTTATTATTATATTTTTTTTGCACTATGCCCCCCCTAAATTGAAATCCTAGCTCCGCCCCTGCTCGTATATAGTTCATCTAAGCTGCAAACATAGTCCCACAACCGTGTCTTTCTTCCTTTCAAAGGGCATGGTTAAGGTGGACTTCCACCTTAGGAATTCCCCACAATTCTATACATAATCACCAAAATGCTCTTCTATACAAGTTACAAAGAACTAATAACAGAACAATGCACAGAGCAAGAGCAAGACCAAGAATTTTAAAAATGTTGAACCCACCACCAAAATTATTGACATCAAAGAGAAAATGGTAATAATTAATGAGAAACAGAAATACAAAACGGACCTCCCAACAGGGTAGACATCAAATGAGTTCCCTAAAAATTTGGTTTTCAACTTTGATGTAATGTCATATGTGAAGTGATTGGTTTCAGCATGCCCAGCACTCATTGGAGGATGATGACTCACCTGTAACAAATAGTAATGTTAAAACATTCACTTTAGCAACCATGCAAAAGCATCTGTCCATTAGGGAGCATTCATAAATTTATCTTCCAAGAGTTTCAGAAGATTTAGGCATTAAACTTCCTCTTTTCCTTCCTTAAAAACATCTAGATTCTGAATTAAGTGTCCTTCTTGCTTGTGTATACCCATGTATGCGGGTGGCACTCGCAAGGGTGGAGCAAGAAGTGGAATGGGGATGGGGGGGGCAAATTTTCATTAATACCCCTAAATAATAATTAATTTGTAAATATTATTTCAAAAACTCATGAAAATTTTCAATCAGCCACCAATATTTTTTAAAAACACTTATATATTGGCCCCAAAATATAGAGTTTGAAAACAAATTTAGTTTGTGTTCCCTTGAAACTTGTAGAAATCTTCAACTTTGGACCCTTTTAGCTACACTTTTGAAAGCTCAAATATTGTGCAATAAGAATTTAAGTTCATTATTATTATAGTCCTTACAGCAACACATCATTATCTCATTTACAGATACACACCTGTACAATATTACCTTTTATATTAATTCAAGAGAGAAAAAAGGAGAAAAATCACTAATGCTCCTTCATGTTTATTGTTTAATACAAATGCATGAACCCTTTTTGTCGCACACTAAAAAGATGTTTACAAAAAAATTATCTAGAATTCTATACCAATCTCCATTGGCAAGTCCTAGGTGCATTGGGGCAGGAGGATAAACTAAAGTATGGTGAGATTGACAACAACAACAATAATATCATATATGCTAACACTTTTAATTGTCACTTGCTAAATGACATTCTATAACTATTTGTATAAGTTACTAAAGTTATAATCTTCTTAAATTTAAAATTGAGAAATTTTGTTTAGTTAAGAATCATTATTATTATTTTTTAATCTTTCATCTAGGTAAAAATGATACTCCCTCTATCCCAAAATAGATATCCACCTTGAGAACTGTGACTCAAATTGTTGAGAGTCACAGTTCCCAATGTGGACATCTATTTTGGGACGGAGGTAGTACATCTTTCCCAAATGGAATTAAAGTACACAAATTGTTTTTCCCCAAAAATTAGATTTTTGAAAAACTGAAACAATCGATGAAGGAAAATTGGTTCTCTAATAATGCTTATTTCTTTACCTCCTCTCTTTTAATTGTAACTTATCATTTCGTCTTCTCTATATTTTATGTTTTTATTTCTCATATCAATTTTCGTCTACTTATTTACTCTGTTACATGGACTCTTCAAAAATAGTAAAGTACCCGTGTCGGACACCTATCCCTCGGACATGGGTATGGGATATGTGTCCGACACTTTTGGTTGAACATGTACTTAAAAAGCATATCCTATCATTTAATTACATTATATTATTACTTTAAAATGAGTTAAATACCTATATTGAACATTATATTAGATAAAACATTACTTTACTCTAGAAAATAAAATAAAATAATTAATAAAATAATTAATTTAGCTGTGTCCGTGTGTCCTTCTGTTCGAAAATTTGACACGTCCGACGCATGGATACATACCTGTGTCCGACATCCGTACCCGAGTCCATGTAACATAGCTTATTTAAGTTGTATTTTTCTCATTTTTGGATCTTGTCAAGGTATATTTACCATGACTAATATTTAAACAAAATTATATTACATTTAATTTATGGAAGTTTAAAATTTCAGTTACATTGTACAAAATCCTGACCCCCACCCCCCCTTTTTTCTCCCAAATTAAAATTTCTAGCTCCACCCCTGTGCACCCGTTTCTCCTTCATTTAATATAACATCATTTCATCAAAGAGGAAGTACAAGAAGAGCAAAAAGATGGGGAGAGAGAGAGAGAGAGAGAGAGAGAGAGATAAAAGCATAGAAAAGAAAGTCAAGATCCTTAAATCACCTGCTCGGCAATGAATGTAATCCCACCATGATTCACCATTTCATAAGTCTCACCAAGAATAGGGTTAAAAGGCTTCCAGGTTCGTTGGTAGGCATAGTAAACTGATATTGCCCATGATGCTGCAATGTGATACCAAAAATTCTAATATACATGAGGAAACATTTGCGTACCTGCCCCATAAAATATTCAATGCAAGAATACTCACAAGCATACACCAACCGCATGTACGGATCCTCACACTCATCTGCCCTATCTAAAAGGTGGGAGTATTCCATTAACTGTCACCAAAATTGCACATTTGCACTATCGCATGAGGTATAAACAGTGCATAATATAAAATAAGAATTAACGATGCGGAGAGAAAAAGCACAAACCTCTGCCATTTTCTGAAGCATTGTCATTGGCTCAAATATAAGGACTGGAAGGGTCACCATTGATGTCACATCTGAGCCAATATACTTTTGCATCATCTTCCAGTAACTGTCCCGATCCTTTAAGAAAGCAATAAATCTCAGCATGCATGAGAAATAGATTCAATTCTCAAGCTAAAATAAAATAGGCCAATAGAAAATATTTGTACACCGCAAAGCGAACCAGTGAAAAAACTCAATCAATAACCAATGTTTTAAGTATAGCTTTCAAAAATAAATAAAAAGTAATGTTTGATCGGCACTTCGATTTCTGCTTCCACTGTTAAACATTACCATGTACCAACAGGCCTGTGGCCGAGAGGTACAAGGCTCCTACTTTCCAAAGGGAGGTCAAGGGTTTGAACCTCAGTGGAGGCAGTGTGTGTGAGTCCCAACTAGGAAGAAAAAAAAAAAAAAAAAAAAAAAAAAAAAAAAAAAAAAAAACATTACCATGTATACTGTGTACTTTCGAGGAAGCAACTTGGCTACAAAGTTCAAAACTATTTCTCCTTATGAACAAACAATATTCTCAAGGAGCTTCAGTAAACTTGGAACAACGGTCGTGTAGTACTGGATACGTCTCAATTATTCAAAACTTATCAGTTCATAGGCTCCCAAATCCTAACTGCGCAAAAGAAAATAAAAGAGTCCATCTTCTCAAGTCTTCTATCACAATAATCTATTTTGGGATTTCACCCCACCAGTTGCGGTAGTTTATTTATAACTAAAATCATTTTGCAAAAAATAGTTTACAACAAATTCATAGGAAAGTGCAATTTTCATGTAGTAAGTTTATCCATACATTCTTATTTCCAAATGAATTTTAAGGTTCAGAGATCAACTTTTTTACTTTTTTTTTTTTTTTTTTTCAATTTTGTTGGAGAGTTCAAAGCTCAGGTTATGTACTTAATCTGTAATCAGCAATATAGTTCGATAAATTAACTATCACATCATTTCACTTAAATAGATCAAGCGTGCTAGCTTTTCTATCTTTAGCGGCATAAATGTCATCTTCTAAGTTGTTCTTCTAATCAAATAATAGTAAGGCACGGTGGTCTTGGGTTCAATTATATGGTTTCTGCATATAAATGTGCCTATAGATGACATCATGACAACATAAGAAACAAACAGGTAATGAATATATTGGAGGATATGAAATGACAAGTCATAAACAAAAACAGTTTAATCATAAATTTTGTTCTAATACCCAGAAAAAGCATATATTTCCCTCCATCATTATTAATCATTAAACGTATATGAAGTTAAATTTCATCGTACCTATGTTATTAAGGTACAAGTCTATGTACATAACATGGATAGAAGATGTGGGTTCCAGAAAAACCTCAAAATATAACCAGAAAGTCAAAATATCTCCTTTTGTGGTGGGAACTTTTACCAAAAAAACAATTTAATATTGTCGGTAAGGGACTAAAAAGATATGCTTGCAAATATACCACTAAACACCCACAACCCACTAAATGACTCTGTGTGGAATAATTTTTTGATAAGTAATATGTGTGGAATTATTATCCAGTTATTCTCAGCACACCAAATTTTCTACTAGGACATACAAAAAAAATTATGTATTGAATCAATAAGCAAATCCAGAAAAATGTCAGCTTCAACAAATGCACCAGCTTACTTCAGCTAGTGTTATATAACATCTTTGTTTCTGATATTAATAATAAAAACAACTTGTTTAAAAACAATTTCATACGACTCACCTCCTGCTTCCACCTTCCTCTCTGAGCTTCCTCCTCTGCATCTTCTTTGCCTCCCTCCGGATTTATAACCTCCACCCCTTCATATCCAAGCAATCTGGAGGCAAGGGAGACAAAAAAAGGGGCATCCATTACAGAACAGTTTCTGGACATGCCATTAGTTTCTCAAATAACCTTCAATGAATATCCTTAATCACCACGGATTTCCAATACAAATTGATAGCCATAAAACACACATAATGTGAGGGCCACCACAACAGCAAAATATAAGTTCTAATCAAATAATGCATAATTGGTGAGTACTGCTGTCGTGGGGGGTATCAAACTAGACATTCATGATATCATATCCAATTGCAATATTGGAACATTAAATCAACATTAAAACCTAAACTCATTCATATCTATGTAGACTCATTCCATTAGCTGTCTTCCTTCTATTCTTTTCACTACAATCCTGAACTAATACCAGAACTAGCAAAGCTTCAAGATGACCAGATCATGATTCATCTTTGCAATGTTGAACAATTGGCTCCCAGCTTGATGCCAACCCTCAATGAATTACTGTCAGATTCCTTGTAGGAAAATTGGTGGTTGAAGAAGGGCCTGTCACAAAACTTACCAACACCAGCCTATAAAGAAGCCTATGACCAAGGAGCAGTCCTGTACATCCTCAGTCTAAATGAGTGAGGACCCAAGACAAAAGGAATATAAGGTCCAAACTGATGCAAAAACTGTGTCATTCTGTTAGGCATCTGGCCATATGAGAAAGCTAGCCTAAATCAAGGAAATAAATAGTCTCCATGTAGCAAGACAACAAAAATCAAAGCAAAATGGCATATCAGTTAGCAAGATGATGGTCACAACCTGTAATAGTTGGGAAGCCATATACCAAGGCAACATGATGCTGTAAGTGTAAGGTTTTACAGAACCATATATCTAGTCAACTTGATAAGTTCCATCATATTAAGGCAACATGACATAAACACTACAATCTTCTTCGGCAACTAGGTGGTTTCCACTAATCGAGACAATACAGTAACTTATCAATGCAACATGGTATAGTTTGAGGGCTTTCAAAGACATATTTCAAGGTAGCATGGTACCTTTAGCACATAGGTCAATCAACAATATGGTGATGATTCAATTATATACCAAGAAATCATAGTAATCTAAAGTCCAAACTCGATATATATTAATGCAGAATGGTAGTTTCAAATACCACCAAGCCACAAACCATGTCTCAAAAAAATTATATAAATATTATCTAATCAACAGTTCAACACTTCACCTACCACATATCGAAGCAACAATCAATCAAGAAATACTGCATTGAAGCACCTATCTGTCAAGGCAATGTGGTAGTTTTCACAGATCAGGCCAAATACGTATCAAAGCAACATCACATAAGTGACTTTTGAGGTCCTACAATAACATACATGAATACAACTATACGCTTAACAAGATCTTCAATACATATTTTGATGATTGAATTCATCAAATCCTATGTTATGACCATACAAAAAGCTTACCTATTGGCTTAAATGCCAAGGCATGACACATAATACATGCTATACATGGTACAGGTAGAATTGCTAATGCTGAGCATTTTTATGCTAATTGCTTTTCAGAGAACTTTTTACTATAGATCAGCGACGTTTTTCCCTTTCTCTTTCTAAAAGTTGACCAGCTATATACATTCTCACCAAAACTAAATAGAACGTGAAACAAAAGAGACTATTGACTTTAAAATACGATATTTTACGAAAAGCAATAGTTGAGTACAACAACACAGGGCAAGAGGCAACAAGTTGTGTTCACAATTAATGCGTTAATGAAATCTATATAAATGAACTTCAATTTCAATATCGAAGTCAATAACTAGAACATTATTTACAAAAGTTGATTGTTTAGCAAGTAATTGCAGGCTTTCATCACTAAAGTAACTGTAGCAACAACAAAAAAAAAAAAACGCAAATATATCAATCCTCGAGCATTAAGCGTCAGAGAACTGAGAAAGCCCTTACTTTCTAGTTTTGAAGGTAATAAATTAATCAATCAACTTCTTATTGAAACTACAAAACTCATATGATGACACAATCACTGATATAGTGGTTGATATATTCAGACACACAGACAGAGATAGAGAACCCCCAAGAAGCATACCCGTTGACAGATCTGTGCATGGCGTTCCCGAACATGGACAATCCGGAAGTCATTGCCCCAAAGAAACCCTTGCTTTGGTTTTTCTTTGGACTACTCATCTCTGCCGAACCTAACTCTGCAGTCTCTGCAAAAGATGAATGAATTCAACAAACACCGAGTGGAATTTGAAGAAGGAAGGAAGATGTGTGCTGAGGGTTTTTTTAAAGGAGAAGGGAGACCGAGTTGACCGAACGATCTACGCGACAAATAATCTAAAAACTAAAAGGGAGGGCGAGATTGGGATTTAGCGAGGACCAGAGATGGAATTTGTTGGCGCCCGCTTGTTTTCAAGTGTTTGTTATAGTGGTACCCAAAATAAGGATAATGTTGTGAGTCAACTTGCAAGTGTCTAGCCGACTGTCTATATTTATAGCGTGGATCAGACGCTAATTTCATGACGGTGGACCATCAACTGGTTCTACATCGACCCAAACGGCTAATTAATTCCCCCTCAACAGTTTTGGGCTTGGGCTTAGATGGTGTTGGGAATTGATTATCTAAAGCAAAACAAAATTGGGAGCATCTCCGATGCACCTTTCATTTGGGCTACTAAACCCAAAAATTTGAGAGAAGCGTAAAAAATGGACTCTCCAATAAACTTTTATTTAGGTTCTTAAATTTTAAGAATGTCAAATCTTCTCACGCATATAAGAGTTGCTAATTTTTTTAGCAAGTCCTCTCTCTCTATACGATGTCGTTTGGAATGGCTTTTTATCTCTATCCATGGTTGCGTTGCCATGTTCTCTCTCTCCGTCTCATCTACAACGACCTCTTTCTCCCTCTCATTTACAATGACAGCGATTATCGACGGTGACCAGGTAAATTCTCAAATTTATATTTTCTCTTCTCCTCTCATCCTCATATATATATATATATATATATATATATATATATATATATATATATATCTTCTCAAATCTGAACCGGAACAGCAGCTAAAGCTTGCAAATGGTGAACCAAAACTAAAACAGCGGGCGATGGAAACTTAAAGATTCAGGTTTTGAGCTTCTGATTCTTGTTATTTTGTAGTTTGCAATTGCACAAAGGTAAAGAGAAAGAGGGGGCAATTTCATAATTGAGAACGAGATATATATATGGAGGCGATTGGGGAGGCTGAAATGATTTGCCCTAAAAAAAAAAAAGTGGGAAAAATGTTTATATACAAATTAGATTACAGTAAATTTGTATTTTTGAATTATAAATATAAATATATATATATATATATATTTATATAATATATGAAAAGTTTATGATTGCGGTAATCATTTTAGGGATGGAGGCATTGGGAAGGCTGAAATGATTTGCCCTAATATATATATATATATATATATATATATATATATATAATATTTATATATTTGATTATATTATTATATACTTTTTTATATAATTTTTTTTTTTTTTGAAATTCATATATATTATTATTATTATATATATATATATATATATATATATATATATATATTTGGTCCTTTTTTGACAAAATATTTTAAATTTTTATTTATTTTTAATTAAGTTTAATTTTAATTTTCTTCTAATATCTACAACTTAACTTGAAATGTACCTAATATTAATATTATTGATGCAAATATAAATGTTAATTGAAAAAGAATAGTGGTTGTGTAAAAAAATAATATTTTGTATGAAATGTACCATTGTAGCATAATTGTTAAAATGTAGTATTTTGATAATATAGTACCTGTCAAGATATAGATTTGACATTCAAATTTAATTTTTCGCATTGGGGAAAAAATAAAATAAAATAAAATAAAATAGGTGACCGATTTGTTAGACAGAATTCAGCTGGCAAACAACATTAAAAAGAAAAAATAAAATAAAATAGTTGTCTGTCCAGTTCATCTTTAACGGTGAGAAGAGAGTCCAACACAGAGAGAGCATCAACGACTCAACAACAACAACAAACCAAGTGACCGGAAAGCTTTAAGCAATCTCCAATTGTGAGCTTCAGTCAGACCCAAATCGGAAAGCTTCAGAGAAGATTTGGTAAGGAAAGCACCATGACTCCAGCCAAGAAAGATGTTACAACTATGGCTCTAGTAAAAGCTCTGAACAGAAACCTCCATTGATTCCGATGAACAGAGAACCGAACTGGAACTCCATTGATGACTAGAAGCTCTGAGCTAAAGACAATCCAACTGATATGACCAAATTGGTGAGAAACGATGACCCAACCAAGACCTAAACCGGAAAAACTACAGTACCCAACCGCTGAGCTTCGTATACACATTTCCGGCGAGCTTCAGAACAGACCCAAACGAAGGTGAACACTCTGACAGCGACACCCAATCTGCTGCCGCGTCGGAGCTCGATTCCTCCTCGCCGCCTACCAATCACGCGTGCACCTCTCACTAACTTCTCTGTTATAAACCCATCCAACTTCATACACGTTATCTCGCACAATCTGTACTCGTCGGTGCCAATGAACTAGTTGGATCGTTCACGACTCCGGCGAATCCAGCTCTGGCGACACCTTTTTTTTTTCCCTCTCCGATTCCATTCGTCTTTCTCGGATCCAGTACCGTTCACCACTTCTTGCTTTTTTCCCTCTCCCCAATTCCACTTTACTCTTCATTTCTTATAAGTAGATTTATTGATTCTCTTCTTTCTTCCTCTTAGGTTTCTACGGTCTAAAAATGGATCTGTCTTATTTGATTTGGGGGATTGAGTGAGATGAGAGAGAGAGAGAGATTTGGGGATGTTACTGAGAGAGAGAAAAAAAGGAGCGAGAAACAGAGGAAAGCTGCCACCTAGACCGCCGTATATATTATGACGACCAAATCGGTCAGATACTTTAGTGCAAATGTCCATATAGATTATGACGACCAAATCGGTCAGATACTTTAGTGCAAATGTCCATATAGATTATGCCGAATAAATCGGTTAGGCACTCTAGTGCTAGTATCATTTTTCATCTAATATACAAGCTCTGTTCCCAAAAATAAATAAAATGGTGAAATATCCCAACCTCACCGGAGGCCAAATATCTCACTATGTTTGTACAAATTTCTATCACCTATTGTTAAGTCAGTCAATAGAAAATGTCCAAACTACCGTAACAGAAAATAACCTTATTAGAATACTAAATAATCATTTCAACTAAACAGAAAAGGAATCTTTGGTACATATAAGACAAGCATAAGTGGTTCAACTAAAGTGCAATTGGTTCCATTTCTTTGAATTACCGTTCCGAACATTATGCCTAAGTATAACCAATTCCATTAAAACGAAATCAATTTCATTTTTCCATAATGAGATTCTTCACCAGTATTTAAATCACAACTTTAACAAATACAAATGGATAAATACCTGTGTGTACAGAGGTGCGTACTTGGCGCGGAGCAACATAATAACAAAAGAAAAGTTTTAGTACATGTCATTAATAAAAAAATTAATAAACGAGGTTCAATTAAAGCTAAAATATTTCATAATCCTTAAAGAAGAGTGGAAATATAGATGATATTTCAATTTTAAAATTTTCTTTCCTCCACAATGGAAGCTTGTTTTTTTTTCACTCATTATGGGTGAAAAAAACAATATATATATATACACACAGTGACATATAATTCTTGACTTATTAAAAAATTTCCTGAACTAACAAGAATTATTACGTTGTCTCATTTTCGTAACAAAATCGTTAAATTATTGTGAAATGACAATAATGTCCTTGATAGTTTATTAATATTTTATTAAACTGAAATTTTTTATTTTAAATGACAATAATGTCCTCCATGTCTCTACACTCACACACATGTAAATAGCCTATTGGCTGCTGACTGGCTCATGTATAAAAAGGATTGCAGTGGTTGAATAAGTTGTTGCTAATGCTCTGAGCTGTCACTGGAAATATATATAAGCGGCTCGACGGAACTGTTTGGCCGGAGTTGGGACTTTTGGAGAAGCTTCATGTCGAGTGTATCAAGGCTCACCCGATGCGCTTGCATGAAAGTGTAGCTCACTGGATGATGATCAAAATGGGTAAGCCTCGTTGGTCTTCTTGCTAACGGAGCTTTCAGTTTTGGTCGCTGATGGAGAACGTCGAGGTGGGTCTTGCAGCAAGTTGGAGCTCGCGTTGGGTTTAGATTGCTGGATACTCGGTACATATTGCCAGCATTCATGGAGTTTGCACAGATCGATGGACGTCTGGAACTTTATGTTTGTTCACCATAGATAGTGCATGCATTTGGGAATCCGTTCGTTTTGGCCGTTGTTCGGAAGCTCACCGGATATTGGTTGCTGTAGTTGGTTCGAGGTCGCTTGAGACATCGCCAGGCTGAACAGGGTTTCGCTAAGGAGGGTTTGAGGTGTCGTCGGACTGAAGCAATCTATTGGGTCTTTGTTTTATCGGACTTTCTCGCCGGTTTAGTTGCTGAGACTCTTTGCCAGTTGGGTTTGTGAAGCTCGCTGAAAAGGAGTGCACTGGACAAAAAGGAACTCACCGGTTGGAAGCTACTGGGTTGAGGTCATTTGAAGTGTTGTCGTTGGGTGTGATCTTCTCGGTTCGATCACCGATGAAAGCTCATGCACGTCTGTGGAGCTTATTTGGGCTTCCTCGAAGTGGGTCTTGTATCATCGCCGAACTGATCTCTGAAATTTGGCTGACGTTGTTTGTTTGGAGCTCACATTGGTCATTAGTGAAGCACGTTGGAAAATATGGAGTTTGAACGCTCCCGTTGTTGAATAAAATAGATTCTTTAGACTGAGACGGGGCATTTTAGTCCTTAGGTGATTAAAAGGGTAGTTTGGTCAGATCTAGTGAAATATTATTATTCTCGTTAATTTAAGACAGAAAATTAATGAAAAAAAGAGTGATATGATAAACTTATTAAAATATCAAATGTGTAATATGATACTCTCTTTAGTTGGAAGGGTTAGTTGATAATTTTTGTAAAAAGAGGGATTTTTTTATGATTTTAGCCTTATATAGTAAGTCTGACACACACTTACCAATGTGCCACATTTTTTTGTGCATTATTATTAGGGTCATATTGGTGCAATGGCAAAAGGGGAAAGGGAAGGGAAAGTGACGGAGGAGAATTAAAATTTGTGTTTGGTAAAAATTGTTGGAAGGAAAGGGAAGGGTTTGGAGGGTTAACACAAGCTTTCAACAATAAATTTCTTAACCTCTCAAAAATGAAAGGAAATGAAATAAAAGGGAAGGAAAAGCTTGGTGTGCGATTTTAGATGCCAATTTTGCCCTTGATTACAAGTGAATTTAGTTTGCAAAACAAAAATTACAGACTTGATTAGTTGATTTAGCAGTTGCAGAGAGAGAGGGGGGCAAGCTTGAGAGTTGAGAGAAAGAGGGCCAGCGGCTGAAGCTTGCGAACGGCAAACCCGAATTGGAACAGCGGGCGATGGAAACTGACATGGGTTTTGATTTTTTGAACAATCTGATATGGGTTTTGATTTTTGGAACAACGGGCAATGGAAATTGATATGGGTTTTGATTTTTTGAACAATTTGATATGGTTTTTGATCGATATGGGTTTTGATTTTTTGAACAATCTGAAATTGGGTTTTGATTTTTTGAACAATTTGAAATGATGCCGATATGGGTTTTGAAGTTTTGATTCCTGCAGACAAATATATAAACTGAAATATATGGGTTTTAAACTTGTGATTGTTGTAGTAGTTTGCAGTTGGAGAGAGAGAGCAGTTGGAGAGTGAGAGAGAGAGAGAGGGAAGTTGGGAGTTGAGAACGAGAATAGAGGCTGAAATGATTTGCCCTAGAGACAGCAGAGGTTGAATTTTTTTTTTTTCTTTTCTTGTGGGCCTAGAGACAGTGTGTATATATATATATATATATAATGGTTTAATAGTTAATTTATTAAAATAATTCTCTTTATTTTCTTTTCCTTTCTCTACCCAAACGTGATTATTGTTCTTTTTCTTTTTTTTTTCCCTTCATTAATTAACCAAATACAATATCAAATAAAAATTATCCTTTCTTTTTATTTCTTTTCCCACGCAACTAAAGTAATACTTTCCTTCAAACCCATCCTACCAAGCATAGTCTTACTGACGAACGGACCAGGCTAACCCAAGCAAGTGGGGCACGTGATAACGCACACGAGGCGAGCGACAGAAACCCACACCAGTAGTGTTGTTGTGTCGACGAACAATAAGCAATCCGATCACGTTAGCGGAATCATAATCAGCAGCGTACAAACCAATATGTTGTCCAGTACTTTATAATTATATCTTTTTAGATCTACAGTGACTCTTTCTACTTTTATATTCAATCCCAACCACTATCCAACACTCTCTTCCCAATTGATCGAATCGTCAAACAACCGTATGCTTGGCCCTTTCCTCTCTCTTGTCTTCTTCACCAAAACCCTAACCTGCTGCTCTGATCTTCGCTTTATCAAATAAATAATTTATTAAAGATTAATTTTTTTTTTTTCTAGCAGTTTATTTGTGACAAATTTCACAATTCTCATTATGAAAGAAAGAAAATCGGCGAAGTCCAATATTCAACAGCAACAGCATCAGAGCGATCACCAGTCTCCGTTCAAGTTCGCGAAATTGCTCGATCCAGAGGCTTCTTGGGACAAGGTTTGCACTTTGAATAATAAATACCGATCATCGATGCTGTTTCATTGGATTTAATTATATGATATTTAGGTTCTCAATTTAATTCTATCTACAACGAGTGTGTTAGTTGAGTAGCACAATTTGTCCTTGGAATTATGCGGATGTGAGAGAGAATAAATATTGGAGTTTTGCAAGATCTTGTCTTTCAAATTTTATCTTCAGCATTGCTTGATAAACTCTTCCATAAGTTCTGCATCTGAATTTATGCTGATTCTCTGTTTTTCATTTGTAAAATTAATAAGAATAATAAATTCAATCATTAACTTTTCATTTGGATTATGGATTTTAAGATGCTCTGATTAGCACGGGATCTTTAACCCTTATCACAGGAACAACTGTAATTGATTCAATGTCAATGGACTTTAAGAAGAAGAAAGGGGTATTCAGGACGTGCATTTTCTTCACCTCATATTGTCTCTTCTTTTATGCATTCAATTATTTTCTACTCTCTCTTTGAGATTTTCATCAATTATAAGGCGCTCAGGAACAACTGTAATTGATTCAATCTCAATGGACTTTAAGAAGAAGAAAGGGGTATACTCAGGACGTGCATTTTCTTCGCCTCATATTGTCTCTTCTTCCATGCATTCAATTATTTTCTACTATCTGTTTGAGTTTTTCATCAATTATAAGGCGCTCTCTCAACATTTGAAGTGTCAACAAACTAAAAGAAGGTAGAAAGTAGAGAAAGTATTTCAAGAGACCTAAAGGAGTTCTTACTCGTTAAATATAAGTCATTACTGTTTAGTAATGCCGTTAAGTATTGGTATTACTAAGATATGATAAATTACGGGCTGCTATATGGATCCTACTAAAATTCATAGCGGTTCCACAATGTCTTTTATGGCACTGTCACAATAGTTTGGCGAGTGAGATTTATAGACCTCATTTTACCACTTATCCAATACTTTTTTCATACTTCCAGCTTTTTAAATCTATCAAATGCACAGCCTAATACAGGATTTACTCTCTAAATTTAATGTGTAAAAAATCTAAACTTCGGGATGTTAAGAAGGTTACAGTTCATTTTTTGTCCTTTCATCACCAAAAATGGCAAGATGTGGAGGAATAAAATTTTAAAATAATGAAACAAGTTCATATAACATTCTTAATATATGATTATTGAATTTATTTATGAGGGGAATATATGACTAAAAGTTATTGAGAAAGAAACAAAACGCACTACATTCAAAGAGGTTGCTTCAACAGGTTGCTTGTAAGATAATTCCAATTATTGACTGATATGCTCTTTTTGTTCCAGGATCAACTGGGAGATGTCTTGCATTGGATTCGACAAGTGTTGGCCCTAGTATGTGGATTGCTATGTGGTGCCATTCCTTTGGTTGGGGGCATCTGGATTGTAGCGTAAGTTGATGATAGGAAGTGCTGTTTTCTCAATTCATTTTCACTTTTTTCCCACATTCTCATGATGCTAAATGAAGCTTTAATGATATGTTATACGAGGGTAGATTTCATGGGTGCATTTTACTATCAATGCAATGGACATGTTATCTTAGATGCTTATTCGGGATACCAAGCCTGCCCTTCTTCGAGTTTATTGGGTAGCAAGAAAATTTTCTTTTCTATAAATGAACAGTTTGAAACAGTTTGTTCAGTTTCTCAATATAAATCGATTATATGGAATGCTGGTGAAGATAGATTTGTGTTTGTACTTCCTGGGATCCGTGTTCATGTTTGTACTGTTTTCTTTATTGGTAGAATACTGAAACTTAAAAATCCAGGTATTGGACAAAGATGTGAAGTGATGATGCTACTCACCCATGTTACATTTTTGAATTCATAATCATCTTCATCCAGCAGGTCATTTAGATTTCTGAAAAGAGATCTAACTGCAGATTAGAGAGGCCAATCCGACCACGAATTCAGAATCATCTTTATCTAGCCTTCCCTGATCATCTCTCTTAGCCGTAGTTTATGCTTTATAAAGTTTTTTTGGTTTGCTCAATTTCTCTTAATAATATTTAGTTACATTAGGTTAATAGACTGCTAACTAATCTCTGATGAGCATTGGTGAAACATGCTGTCAGACTAGCTAGGGGAGAAAGTGGTGTAGAAGTGTTCTGGTGTATGTTGCTGTACATGAGCAGCTCATACAAGGGTAAATGCATTTCATGGACACCATTTCATTCCCTACTCATCTAACCGAGTGACATAAATCATTGGCAATATTTATTTATTTTTTGCTTAATTGTTTCCTTCAATAGGATTAAGTCCTCCAAGATGTAAAATTTCTTGGAAATCTTTGGGTATATATTTTTGAGGTTCAGTTTTCTCTTGTTGTTGTTGTTGTTGTTTCATCTTCCTTGGAATGTTTCAGTCATTTTTTATCAGAAGTTTTAATGATTACTCTGATTCAAGTAGGTGAGATGCTTGGTAGTTCCCTCCAATCTTTAGGATCTTAAAGTAAAGATACTAAAGTGGGTAACCTACAAAAGTTGGATAGATACATATTCTCTTTCAAATGTCTGTTAGATATAAACTATCTGCCCATGAATATAACATCTCATGTTCATTTGTTTAACTCTTTTGCCGTTCTGTGGAAGCTTCCATGACCAATTTGTGCGCTTATTTTGGTTTTCAGGTTTCTGATGATATCATCTGGGATAATATATGGTTATTACGCAGTGATACTAAAGATTGATGAAGAAGAGTTTGGTGGTCATGGAGCTCTCCTCCAAGAAGGCCTTTTTGCTTCTATAACACTGTTTCTGGTACTTCTAACTATTTTTTGCTGTCCTCACTGGCCTTTTTGCTGGTTTATGACTAACTTTTCTTTTGTGTTGTCAGCTTGCATGGATTCTAATATACAGCTTGGCACACTTCTGATTGGCTACCATCTCTATAGATGATCTTGTGAGGCTTCACTCTAGTGCCCCAAGAACAATGAGAGAATTTCCTATTTTTCAATTTTGTTTTTATTTATTATTATTGTCCTTTTCATGATTATGGAATACTCAATTCTGTAGGTCACTGGCATTTTAGCTTTCAGATTATGGTAAATAGTTTTGATGACATTTACTCCATTAAAAACATGTGCAATGTAACATCATTTATTCAGCACACCAAATACTGTCTTTTTCTTTTCTTTTTGTTTTTTGTTTTTGACAATAAGCAGTGAAATTGGCAGTCGGCAAAATTCTGCAAATTCACAAATATGTTATTCATATGTATGATTCTTAAATTCTGGGCATGCATTCTTGCATCAACGATTCAATGTGATGACGAAGTTGGACGCCAAGTGCTAATAACAGAGATGGTCACAAGAGCTCCAATCATCTAACATGTTACTCGTAAACATGATGAAGACTTGTTTTTAAGTCTAATTTTCAATCAACCATAGCACGTTTAGAAAGTTATAATTCCAATTTTAATCAACCATAGCACTAACATTTTAGGAGAAAAAACGTCAATTAGTTGCAGTGAGGAATAAAATAAAATAAAATCAGTAACCTCACAAACACAGATTATGGTTTGTTGGAATGGTTAAGAGTAAGAAATTTCTCATAGACGGGGTAACATAACCAGAATGCTTTGTGACATATGTTGGTTGGTTTTGTGCCATTCCACCGTCTTAGTTACCAATAATCTCTACAGGAACAAGAACCCTCCTTGAAGTGGTGAAATCGACTACGATCTCTAACCACTATTTCTCTTTCAAAAATCCCAGAAATCAGCTTTATAGCAGCATGACAATCAGAACAAATACGCAAATTCTTCACTACCCGAATGACAGTGCCCTTTTCAGTGGCAATAAGTCCGAATGCAACAGCCATCTTCTCACTGTGAAAATATAGAGCCTTCTCTTTTTCCTCCTCCTCCACATCAAAAAACACCTCATTTGTGCTAGCAACATGGCCTGCCATCTTTAAACGCTTGGATATCTCATCTATCATACCATTAATTTCTTTGGCTCGAGGGTGAATCTTCTCCTCCACTCCGAATTCATGTATCTCACCATTAATCTCGATGGAACTGCACCCCCGTAACTTGCCAATCCCTTTGTCTCTCATCAATTCCCTCACTTTAGCAACATCATCCCACCTTCCTGCATTAGCATATATATTGGACATAATAGATAGGTAACCCCCATCTTCAAGATCAAGTTGAATCAAGTGTTCAATTGCACGCTCGGCAAGCTCCACATTTCCGTGGATCTTACATGCACCAAGTAATGCACCCCAGACCCCAGTGTGTGGCACAAGAGGCATAGCTTGGATTAACTCGTAAGCTTCATTTAGCAAACCAGCTCGACCAAGGAGATCAACCATGCAACCATAATGCTCTAACTTAGGTACTAAGCCAAGCTCTTGGGACATACTACGAAAGCACTTCCGTCCTTCAGATACCAAGCCCTCATGCACACATGCACACAAAACCCCAAGAATGGTTACATCATTAGGCCTCACAGCTTCACCTTTCATCCGATAGAAGAACTCCAAGGCATTTTTACTTTTCCCATTCATTGAAAATCCCATGATCATTGCATTCCAAGCTACAACGTCGCGTTCTAACATCTTATCAAATACATATTCAGCACTCTCTAAGTCACCACACTTGGAATACATGTCCACTAAAGCAGTCCCAACCACAACGTTCCAACTGAGATTGCTCCTGTCGACATAGGAGTGCAACCATTTCCCCATCTCTAGTGCTCCCACATGGGCGCAAGCAGAGATAACACTCACTAAGGTCACTTCATTGGGATTCACATTCTCCATCTGCATAAGGTGAAAGTGCTTCATTGCTTCATTGATCCTCCTATTATGGACTAGCCCTCCGATAACTGAATTCCAAGATACCAAATCTCTCTTGGGCATATCATGGAAAAACCGCAACAAAACCTCAACCTCACCATGCTTTGCATAGCCACCTAACATCATATTGTACATCAATAAATCTTTAATGGGAGCTTGATCAAATAACAACTTAGCAAGTTCAATGTTCCCAACTTTCAAAAACCCACCAATCATTGTATTCCACGCCACAAGATCCTTAATGGGCATCTTATCAAACAATTCCCGTGCTCTTTCCATATCATCGCATTGATTCACATATCCAGATAAAATGACAGTCCACACAACAGCATCTCTAATGGGCATTTCATCAAACACTTGTTCCGCCACCTTCATATCCCCGAAACCACCATAAAAATCAATCAATCTTGTACCAATGAATACATCCAACTCGAGCCCAAATTTGAAAATTTGCCCGTGAATACATGACCCTTTCCAAACATCCTTCAGGTCAGCGCAAGCCCGTATCACGAATGGGAACGTGAAACGATCTGGTTGAACTCTTCGAACCCGCATACGATCAAAGCACAACAGTGCATTTCTGGGTTCTTGGTTTTGTTGGAAACCTCTGATCATGGTGTTCCAGACGAAAGAGTTTGGTTCGAGCATTTCATCGAATATTTGGACTGCGTAGTTCATGAGGCTCAAAGTTGCACAATGGGCCACGAAATTCCCTACTGCGAAGTTGCTTTGGTGGAGACCGGTTCGAAGAAGCCAGACATGGAGGGATTTTAGGTGGTTCAGCGTTTTGATTGATTGTGGACTCTTCAGAAGAGACAGTGCGAGCTGCTTCTGCAACGTTTCGAATTCTGCCATTGACTTCAAGAAACCCATCCATTGGTGAATGGTTCTTCTTACAACGATGTGGAAAATGAAAGAGCTTTATGGTAGCACAAAACTATTTTATAGATTTCTCTTTTCTCGAATTATAGACACAACCATGTATTTTTTATTTTTCATTTTTTTTTTCTTTTTAACTAAATAAATTAATGGATTTAAAAAAAAAATTACAAACAAATTTTTAAAAAAATGTCTCTAAAGTGTAGTATGCAATAAATTAATATTTAAACAAAAAAAAAATGAAAAAAGTGATCATAAATAAAAATATATAAAAAATATATTTTAAATAAAAATATATAAAAGATATTAAAATTCAGGTTTGGGTTGATGACACCTCAACCTAATCTCAATCTTAATTAAGTTTGAGTTGATATTTTTTAATTTAAACTCAATCCTAATTATAAACATAATTGTCTAAACTAGTAAGGCTGACTTTGAATTAGCCCCCCTAAATTAAATTTGAATTAGCCCGCCTAAATTGCAACTCCACTTACAAAATGCTCACTATCCTTTCAAGGACGAGGGTACTTGACATTTGGAGAAATTTTTATATAATTATTTCATAACTTTGGCTAATCACAACTTGAGGCATAAATAAAAATTTGAATAAAAATAACGCATTGAAACTACAAAATCTTAAACCACGCAAGCCTTTTAATAATTTATCCTTATGTAATTAATTAAAGTGCACCATGTACTAAATAAAAATTGCTAGGTACAATAATTGAAGGCACCTACAAATCCCTTACATGTGACAATAACCTATTTTATTTATTTATATTTGGCAAGGATGTGTCAAGTTGGCAACGACTTTACATTGAGCATCTTTGTATCCGTGATCTATTAAGGAAAAGTATAAATAATTACAAAAGTCATTATTGTATGTCTGACCTCTCTTCTAAATATGTGAAGTCATGCTAAATCTAACTTCCCTTCTTATCCCAAAAGTAACAAGTACATGTAAATATAAATTGTACTTGCCTTGTTACTTTTACTTTATTTACTTAAGATTAGTACTGCACTATTTTACAATTATTAAACTAACTCTTGTATGAGAATTAAAACAAAGATTCCTTGAAAAAACTAAAATAAATAAATATAAATATATACATATAGATATATATTTGTTTTAAAATAAAAATATTATAACATTAATATATTTTAGAATATTATTATAATGTATTATATATCTCCTAAATGCTAACATAAAAAAAAGTACATTACCCTATTATATTTTACCAAAATACATGATTACTACGGAATTCAAACCCATTTCCTCATCCTTATGAGCTTGAATTTTTATAATTGTACCCAACAACGAACTATATATATCAAATGCCTAAGGATAATTATTATTAATTTTTTTTTTGGGGCGCTAAAATGTATAAATATTGGAAGTGTTAAATATATATAGGGACTCTGAAAAATATATATATATATATATATATGTATGTATAATTACTCTTTTTATTTTCTATTTTTTATTTAAAATAAAAAAAAATTAAAAAATCAGTCGTGTTTAACTGAGGGCTATATATATATGGCTCGTCGTTGCTGTTCTGAAATTTATCATCATTTCAGAGCCCATATCTTTCACTTTAGATTCATCACTTTATTGAAGCCTACGTAGCTACAGGTGAGTTTCGTTCTCTGTATATCTCTGAACTCAATTGATTTCAAAATTACAATTATTTCATCCCAAGGAATGTTGCTTTCATCCATTCGTAATAGGGTTAGGGTTTTTTCGACGGATGAAAGTTTGGAAGATTTCAAATTGATTTCTTAGGTCCGGAGATTTTCGTTTCCTCCGATTTCGATTTTTGTTTGTTTGCTGAGAAAATGTAGGAATTAAAAACCAGAATTAGGGATTTCAGTCCTCTAACAAATGGGGCCCTGGTTAAAACCTAATTTCCACTCAGCTATAACCTAACATGTTTATTTGATTTCTGTGAGGCGAGTTTTCAGTTTCACTTGTTTTTGTTTAAAATTTCTCGTTTCTCAGCAACCAAACGGAGGATAAGGTTCGTTCTTGGTTTTAACTTGGCTTCTTATTGATAGTCCCGATGAGATTTTACTTTTAGTCGTCATTTTCTGGATTTCTATGTGTTGCAATCTATATAGCAAAACAACTGTATAGGGATTAGGTATCTTTGATCACACCAACAAGAATGAAAGCCTCTCTTAGGTTTAAGCCGGGTCAAATTATTGCTTGTTTTTAATATTTATTCAATCTCAATTCGAATTATTGATAAACTTGTATGATTGCATGCCTAAACAATGCTACCTTTGACATTAAATATGTTACTGATGCTATCTTTTAGATGGTGGTGATTTTCCACTTCCCTAGTTTGCTAGTATCAATATGAGTGGATAATATTTCTTTTTTCTTTTTTGTATTATCTATTTTCTTTGGATCGATATATCTGTTATACAGTTCGGGTGGGCAGTGGTTAGCTCTCTGTTTGTCGCACTAGTTTAAATTTATGGTTTTTAAAGGTTTCTTCCTACTAAGATGTATTTGTAATTATAGAGGGTGACAATGGTGAATGCAAAAGGTTCTATCACTGATTTGAATCCCAAAACTAATAATGCTGCTAACCCAGGTCAGATTGAAACAACTGCATCCAGTCCAATGAATAATTTAGAAGAACATCCGCTTGTTTCTGAAATTAAAGACAAGGAGGAAAATGCATTAGAAGTAAAGAAACAAGAAGCTGCAGTAGTCGATATGAAGAATGAAGAAAATGCAATTGAAGAAGAAAATAATGAATTAAATGCAATAGAAGCAGAAGAAGAAAGTGAAGAAACTGCAAGCGAAGAAGAGGAAGAAGAGGAGGATGATGATGATGAAGAAGAAGAAGTAGAAGAAGAAGAAAATGCACTAGTAGAAGAAGAAGGTGAAGAAAATGGAATTGGAGAAGAAGAAAATGCAATCGGAGAGGGAGAAAATGAAGAAAAGGCAGAAAAAGAAAATAGTGAAAAGAAAACAGAAGTGGATTCTAAGAAGAGAACTAAAAAACCGCGAAGGAGCAGAAAGAAGAAGGTGGCACGAAGGGGTCCTGCAGAAGAAAATGCAATTGGAGAGGAAGAAAATGAAGAAAAGGCAGAAGAAGAAAATAACGAAAAGAAAACAGAAGTGGATTCTAAGAAGAAAGCTAAAAAACCGAGAAGAAGCAGAAAGAAGGAGGTGACACAAAGGGGTCCTGAAACAGTAACTGCTAAAGGAAAAGACAAACCAGAATCATCGGGCAAGAAAAATACTTCAAAGAAGGCCGAGAGTATGGGGATGATTTTTATGTGCAGTTCGAAAACAAAGAAGGACTGCTACCAGTACAAAGTTCTTGGGCTGCCTGCAAGCAAGAGAGATATAGTACAGAAGGTCTATAAAGGGATGAGGCTGTTTTTATATGATATTGATCTGAGGCTGATGTATGGAATCTACAAAGCTGCAGGACCTGGGGGTTATAACCTCGAGCCCAAGGCTTTCAAGTCAGCATTCCCATCGCAGGTTAGATTGTACATCATTGATGATTTATAATCAAAATACTTACCACAATTGAGCCAAGTTGAGTTTGTCTTATAATCGTTTACATAATTGTTACTTTATTATTGAAATTTTCATTTTAATAGGTGCACTAAATTAGTTGACATGGTGTATGCTTTATATACACGATTGAGATATATATGTTCGTGAACGTGAACTTGATTGGAATTTTTATACATTGTTGAACATGATAATACATGCCTTGAAACGTCAATTTGTGGGTTTGGGATGAGTCCGTAAGAAGGATTTAATGCTTTAGAATATTTTTAATAACGTGTGAAGAATGATTGCCTATGATGTGAATATGAAAAAGAGGGTGTGACCCTTGCTCTGATGTTCGCATTGCATGCATAATATGGGGCCGAAGTGGTTAACATGTATATAAATTATTTGGATCAGTATTAAATAACGACCTTCAATGTTAGATTGGTATATATCCACTGCATAACACTTTAAAAGCACTTTTTACTTATCTGTAATTCTTCATTATTTGATAGGCAATTATGCTTCAATTTTGTAAGCGACACCATCTTTAGTCTTTGTACTTGTGGATGATCAAGCCACAATACCAACACCTGGTATCTACAGCTAGAACTTATTTACTTTTATTGACCATTACAGGAATTCCTCTCAGTATACTATTCGCGCAAGGTTAATTCATAATTCTAGTTAATGGGAATAAATTTACAGCATTCTTCAAATGCCGAGGGCATGATGTGAGGCAAGGTTTTGCATCTTTAAAACTTAAAGCATGACAAGTGTTGTCATATGTCAAAATCATGCCTTAATATTTTGTTGGGTTTTAGCTAAATCCAGGTCAGATGGATTATATTGGTGAGGTCTAAATTTTTGGGATAAAATCTATCCTACACCATTCCTTAACTTTATACACATCAAAAAATTTCTCACACCTTTAAGGTCAGTCTCTTATGAATGTCTATCTCAATGAGTTTTCCCCATTGTTTGAAGAAAGATGGTTAAAACTGACCCCAAGTTGTTACTATTTTATAGAATGCATGAATTGTCATAATAAAGCTGGTCTTTCTTTCCTAACATGAACTTTGTGGTTACTTTTGCAGGTCTATAATTGAATTGTTGGTCATTGCTATAGGTCAATTTATAGCAGAAATGTTATTGAATTCTTGAGTCTTAAGTCAGTTGCGTGCTACTGTAGATAATATATGTTTCTAGTGTGTTATCTTATTGAGCTGTATTGGGTTCATCTTGCGGTTGATAACCCCTGCCCTGGGGAAAAAAAGTAAAAAAAGGCAAGAAGAGAAAGAAAGAAAAATAGTTTTTTATTTCTTGCTTTAGTGTTATGGTGGAAACAAGTCTTGTTTGGGATACCTTTATTGAAATATGATTTAGGAAGAATGAGTGAACAATCAACTGTTTTATATGTGATACATGAATCTTAATTGAAAAATTAAGATTTGTTTTTGGTAGGTTCGATTTAAGGTCATGGAGGATTGCTTGCCGTTGGCAGAGGAAAAATTCAAAAAGGTCATCAAGGATAACTACTTTACAAAGAACAAATTTGATTGCCAGCTGAACTCAGAACAGGTTTGTGGTCTTTTTCTTTATATTATATAGATGTTTAGTATCATCAAATTGGTTAGTACTGAAATTTGTTTCTTCTCATCTCACTGGCGAATGTTGGTTGCATTAAATTTCTCTATAGGTGAAGAACTTGTGTAAGCTTTTCAATGCTGCCAGTAAAGGATCCAAGTCTAACAGACCAGGCAGAAGTCTTAGAGAAGAAACCCGTACCTTTGTCGACCGAGACAGAATTAGACGGCGAGCTCGGGATGAAGAGAAGAGGCACTCTGCATTGGTTGGGGACCGTAGGTACCATGAGCGTCCTGTTATATATGAAAGAGAGGCATTTGCATCTCCAGTTGCACCACTTGCCCGAGTTCCAACTTTACCTCCACCAGTTCCTGCTCCATCATACGCATATGGGAGGACCGTGGATGCTTATGGCTGGGACCCACTCTTTCAGCATCATGACCGTCAGCTTTTAGAGTTGGAATCGAGGCGTCGTGGGGAGATTGAACGTCGTGATCCCTACATTTCGTACAGGGAACCTCCTTCATATCGCGATCCACTGTATTCAGCAAACCTACCACCAGAATACAATCGTACTGCAGGACTAACATCCGAATACCGTCCTCATGCAGGCTTAACATCTGAATACCGTCCTGCAGCTGGCCTGCCGCCCGATTACAATCATCATCATCAACCCTTTTATCGATATTAGAGTTTAGCATTAGAAAACAGGGAATACACTCTTTCTTTGGTATTCTTACCCCCAAGCATTTTATGGATTTCTTTGATATTCAGTCTGTTGCCTTGCTTTATGTTGAGTTGAGGTAGGTTATAATTCGGCATGAATTCCAACTTTCAGATCTGGCTAGTCTATGGTTATTTGTATTAGCCAACATTTAGGTTAGATGAATAGTGCAAAATTAGCTGGAGATCAGTCTGAAAGGAGTTGTCTGAAGCAGGCTCTGGACCGTAACTTTACCTCTCGTATAACCGTCTTCTACATAAATATGTGATTTCTCTCTTTCAACCAACTCTTGCATTTTTTTTTTTTTTGCTCTGAAATTTTTTTACTATCATCATCGACCTATCAGTGCATGCATTGAGATTATACTGTAACTATGACAAAATTTTCTGAATTGTAACGAGCTATTGGCTTGAAGTTAATAGTTTTGAGAAATGCATTTTAAATTTGTTCTGAAATATATGCATAGTGAGGAAGAAAAGTGTGTTTAGATCCATTTACACGGGGAAGAATAATTCTGAATCTGCTATATTTTTCATGGACTTGTCTAGTCAATTGTCTTCCAGCTAGTTTTCATCTGAAAACAAAAAATATATATATTAAAAAGGAAGTTGTCCAAAGTTCTGATTTCTCCTTGTATATTTGGGAAATCAATATGCAGTTTAGAACTTTTAGCTGTGGAATATTTTCATTTTGAAACAAATTTAATAAAAACCCCCCACTTCAGTTTCTGGTCACTAAAAACTGAAGTATATAATCAGCAATAGATTAATGTTGTTGGTCTTTATTTCTTCTTGTGATATTGTTGGACTTTAGAAGTAGTTTGGCCATCAAGCTAGTTTTGAGCCTTTGATACTTTCTAGTGACTAAAAGCTTAGCAGCTTTGAGTCTAGTCTGGCAAGATGTTCCTTTCAAGTTTCTTGGGCATTTCTCCACCATTGTGCACAAAAGGTTTCTTAGGCACAAAGGAGGAGCTGGAGCATGAAAACGGCAAAATCCAAGTCACATGGTAGGGTGGGAGCGAGAGGAGCGTGAGAGCAGGAGCGCTCATGAAGTGTGAGAGCGACATCCGTTTTGAAGATTTTTGACTTAGGGCTACACTATTCATTAATCTCAGAGGTTCTAAGTCTGATTTTGCAGAAGTCGTGCCAGTTGGGAGAGCTTCAACTCAGCTTTCCAAACGAGTTATGGCAATGGGCTTGGGCCACCTTCAAGTCAGCTTTCGCAACCTAGTTATGGCCTGCTTAACTTTATGTTGTACATTGGGCTTGGGCCACACTTTAAGACCCGGGTTGAGTTTGAGTTTGATTTTGGACAAATTTTAATTCACCCGAGTTTGTAAAAAAATTGGAAAATTCATTCAGTGACATTTTTTAAATTTTTTTATTTTGTATTTTCCTTATATTATTATTATTTTTACTAACCAATAACCTTTCTCAAGAGAGCTCAGGCAACCCAGCTATAATGACATTTTTGTTGGGCTGGCTTTATTCTATCAGCGTGGTTTGGGCCTAAACATCGATCCATTCTAAAAATAATGGGTTTGGATTGGTTAGGACTTTGGACCTTTCCCACCACAATCCTCCTTTTGATTATTGGCATATACAACTGATAGATTAGAAGAAATCACTCCAATGCTTGCATTTGGTGGAGGTATGAATTCATCATCTAAAATGGAGTGATTTTTTAATTTTTATTTTGAAGTTTTAATTCACCTAAAAAAGGCATGAGATTTAAGCCTCGAGTTTCATCATTTCATGAAGGCAATTTATTTTGCTCTTGGAAAATCTCTGGCAGTTCAGACCCTATTAACACAACTTCTTTATCGTTTTATAGCAAAGAATGAAGTCTCGTGTACCGAACTAACCCTTTTCTTTAACAAAGAAGAGAAAGAAGCGTGGAAGGCTTTTCTTGGAATGTGAATGAAGTCTCCATTTCAAGAGAAACATAAAATTAACAACGTGCAAAGAGATAAGGTTAAATCCGTCACATCATGATAAATTTGTACCTTAAAATGAAAGGATCATCGAAATTAAAGAGAGGTCGATCAACAGATGCCCTTAAAGAAGGGGAGACAATAATGAATGCAGGTATCATGTTATTATGTGTGACTTGATACGGTTGGTGAAGAAGCCAAATTATGCTCATAATTCTTCAAGATTTCACATATAAAAAAGCGGTCCACCCAATTCAATGTAGGTATGGCAAATGGTTGGACCAGGGTGTGCCTTTTTATGCATGTGGGTTTGGTGGCTTCAATTATTTCCATCATTATATTTTTGCTTTTCAATCTAGGCCCAATTAAGCTTATGGTTCTCATGGGTATCACTTTGGGTAGTTAGGTTGGTTGTTGTAGTAGTTGATCCTCAAATCCCTTTCATTATGTTCTATTTAACACGATGATACCAGTTTATTTACATGCTATCATATTTGTACGCTAACTTTAATTTTTCTCTTCTCTTGATATTATTCTCAAAGTGAACTTTGTCACTTTTCATAATGAGTGTTGTAAATAAAGAGTTGGTTTCGGAGAAATTATTATATAGTTCAGGCCAATCACACGTTGCCATAAAATCAAATGTGTCCGTTTTAGTTTCAATCAAATTTTTTTTCTTATTAGTGTGTGTATGATTAGCCCGGACCATGTAATAATTTCTGCTAGTTTCCGGTGTCTCTTGAAGAGAAAAAAGTGTAGACAAGTGTAAGCATTTATAGTGATGGTGGTGGGAGGGCATGTGAACAAAAAAGGTCTGCAGATATAATGTCATTTTTGCTTGCTGGAGAAACTTGGTGGCTTTTTCGGTAGAGAGGGATTGCGTAAAGTTGGGAACAATTTCTGTTGGAATGCAGTAGTTTTTTTCAACAAAGAAGGATGCATTATATGGTAAAATGGTCCCAACAATATCAAACGTACCATTGGTATGATAGAGGCCTGGCAAAGTTTTTTGATGATCTCGTGCATGCCAAACTTTGACACACACACACACACACACACACACACAGCACAATTATTGTTTTTAAAAAGCTTTTGGTAATTAATGTGTCCCCTTGGGACACTTGCCATGACATATATGATTACTGCATTAATAACAGTTTTCTTGATTTTTAAGGAGATAATTAAATGCATATGCCATTCTATCTCATAAAATACTCTTATACTCAATTTTTAAGGAAATAATTAAATACATGTGCCATTCTATCGTTTAGAAAGCCAATTAGATAACAAGAATATAAGAGTGGAGTGTGAAAAGACGATAATCAAATGCTTGATATATGCTAGTTAAAATTCTCAAAGAATTGCAACTCATATAAATAAAGATGAAAAAAATAAAATAAAAATAACACCATTGCATTATGTATGTAATAAATAAGTGAAGTTGTTTGTAAGATGCATTACATCTCTCTAAATATTTGAAATTAGACAGTCTATCACGTGTGACTATTCTTTGAAACATTCCTAATAAATGAATTAAGAAATTTTTTCTCATTTTTTTTTTTTTTTTTAGAATATTATATGGAATTGTTGAATCCTCAAGTTCTGTGTCTTTCTCTATTCAGTTATCTGCATAATATTACTGACAATATATCTGAGCCACTAATTTAGACTGGCATGTCCCGTCTATTTATTATAATGTGGAAACATTGTTGCAGATCAGTCAGTGAAGGTGAACAAATTAATTATACATGTCTTGTGACCAATCAATTCCTCAATGAGAACACACACCACACACACATATATATATATATATATATATATATATATATATATATATAATCTTCCTAATTGGAGTCAGATCTTCATACCATTCAAACGATCTTATCTGCTGTACCTGTACATATATGCCATATTGAATGTTCAGTATACCGACCCTTACGTAACATGCACTCTCTCACACATTTGGTCCAATAACGTGGTCAAAAACTTTATTAAGAACGATCGAAACTGGCTACTGATTCACGTGCATGCATGGGTTACAAGTTTGAACACCAGTGAGTGAAGATATGGATGAATTAAATGTACAAAAGTTTGCATATATATGGGGTCACGTTCACTTGTCCCCTTTGGCAAGTTTCTTCAACCACATGCTTATTAGTATGTTATCTTCATTCTTACCCGATAGTCGTGCTCCAAATGTCCAATATACACACACAAACACACATTGTATATGCACATTGTGCGCAACAAAGCATGTGCCTTGATGCCTTGAAAGGTCATTAGGCCATCTTATGAGGAATTTAATTACATCCCATGTGTAATTCTGTTTGTGCACAATATATATAGAAAAAGCATGAAATTAAATGCATTCACAATCCAAAATTCAAACTATACATTAAAGTGACAGATGACACATTTTGACTGCCAAGCAATAGGACTGTTGTAAAATGGAAAAACAAAAAGTCGGGCATGGTACATCAAAATTGTCATTAGACTACGTATTGTTGTTGAAGGGTTTACCAAATGAATTATTCAAAAATCAGACCTAACTTCTTCGTTAATTTCAAAACTACCGTTAGAAAGATACTTCTTTAATTTTTTTTCTTGGAAAGAAAATCCCAAGGTTAATAATGTCATTAGATTACACATAAGTCCAACCCCGTTGCAAGCCACCGACCCATAAAGAAAAGAAAATAGCTGTTTCCGACAGTTAAGCCTGGATTGGTGGTACCAGATGCAAAATTACTAATTTAATCCTATAATTATATATAAAGAAAATTAATTATATGGATAAATTGGTGAGAAGAAACTTCTTTTGGTCTTGGTCACGATAGGTTCATAGGATTAGTAGTACAAAGAAGGCATAAAAAATAAAGCATAGAAAAATAAAAGTCAGCAAATTAAATAAAAGCGAGGCATGTTCCCACGTAGCTCACGTTTACACTTTAATTAGTCCAGTCTACGGGACAGCAATCGTTTGTTTATTCAATGGGAGAATTTTAATTAACTTTTAGTTGGTGAGGTTGTACGTACGGCAATAACGTGAATTGGAATATTAGGTACGTACTGTCCTCTAAATACTTTGAATTATGTATACATCTTCTCAACCCTAACTTCATTCATGAAGCCTCTTCTAATACTTGCATGGTGTGTGTAACTGTGTGTGTATATATTATATATAAGGGAATTTCGTTTCTATCCCTCTTATACATGAAAGATCCGGATCTTTTGGCCAAGCACCACTATTTCTATTTAAGTTGAATGGTCCAAAATGAAATGGGAGTTTTTCTCAATTTTGTTTTTTGTTTTCTTTTCTTCTGCACATATATATAGAAAATTCTCGTCAACCAAAAATTTCAAACCATATTATGTTTTTCTAAAATGTTTTAGGAAAGAAATCAAATACGACCTATATTATGTTTCTTATGATCAATTGCACTTGATCATTTTATGTCAATTATTATTTTTTTTTTTTACTAAAAAAGGAGATTTAAAGAATCTAAACATAATTACTAAAAATTTTAAAAATAAAACACACACACACATATATACTCAGAGAGAGAGAGAGAGAGTACATGTTCAACAAATTATTTTGTGGTTGCAGACTTGCAGCATGATCATATGATCATGCTGCAAGTCTGCAACCACAAAATAATTTGTTGAACATGTATTCTCTCATATATATATATATATAGATATATACACTCTCTTTCTCAAAATGGCATTTTGAGGATTAAAATATAAAGCAATGCAATTTTCTTTTTTTGGGAATTAAGCAATGCAATTTTCTTTGTGAATAAAATCACCCAAATGTACCATGACTTGTTGATAAGTAATCACTGATAAGAGGTTAGGAAATTCATTTAAAAAAAGAAGAAGAAGAGATTACGAAATGAGTATCCATACAGGCAAGTGGAGGGTGAGCTATCAATTTATTTCGGTAGACCTTTTAAATCTGCGTAACATTTTTAATTATTGACAGCGAATTTGTTTCTTTAGACTATGGTTGGTCATGTGCCTTAACTCAATCTTTAATTTTTTTTCTTTCTTTTAATAAGAACAAATGAGATGTCAACGCACAATAATTTAAAAATAAAGTTTAAAATAATCAATAGAATTAATCAAACAGAATGTAAAAAATAAGCATACAAATCTCGGAATAAAATAACAGGTCCAATTACATGAACCTGGAAATTATAAAATTGAAAAATATATATTCTCCCAAAGAAAATGATCCAAATGTAAGATTGGATAGCCCATAAAACACTCTATTATATGTAAGTCAAAAAGAATAAATACAGAATACTAATCCAAACAAACATTATAACAACAAAGTCATCTTCAACTTGACGAAAGAAAAAGAAAAAAAAAAAGAAAGTGAGGTCATCTTCGTCAAATACTAATGCAACAAAGATGGTTGTTCTTCCTGTAAAGTTTAGTACTCTGATGATCTGATCGATTATTCTTTTACTAGGACATTAACATTCATGTCACATCTAGGTCCAATTCACATTGTCAATAATAATCAAAATAAATAAATAAATGATGACATCAAAAATTTAAAATAAGTGTAACATTTAATATTATTTTACACAAACTAAATTTTGTTTATATTCAAATTCATATTTTGCACTTGTTAACTACATCCATTATGGAGGCTAAGTTATACTCGGGGTGCACCAACTTATCTGTGAATTAGTTGTAAATTAAAGCTGAATAGAATAAAATAATTTTTACAATTAATTTTAAATAACTATCTCCTTGTATAGTCCTTTATATATATATATATATATATATAAACCTAACTGATATAGTCACTTTACTTGTATTCGTGGTATGAAATTAGTGTCTTTAAATAGATATTGACATTGGAGAAAAATTTCTTTCAACACTAAACTAAATTTTTTTCAATTTCACTATAATCAAATATGGCATATAAATCAAGAAAGTGTCTATTGTTATCCTCTTTATTGTTATTATTTTTTCGTGTTTTTTTTTTTAATTATTATTTTTGACTTGGCAATGACTTTATATAATGTTTATAATATGATGTGATTTTTTTCCTCTATTTATTTATTTTTTCTTTTTAACCATATGTCTTCCTTTATTTTTAAATTGAAGTAATTGGAAATACTAAAACATTAGTAAGCATGAAACATATAATTAATTTTACCAATCTTATGCCTTAATTAAACATTCAACTCAATAGAAAATAATACCAAAAAGTCAAGGTCCACGTCATCTGTGGCCTAGTTGGTTTCAAATTTCTTTTTTTTTTTTTTTTATGGCGTGAGAACCCTGCAACTACCCATTCTTTGGACTTGTAGCTACCGGGTAAACTCTCAGCTACCTACCCCGGCCCCACAATACGAGTAACAGGTAAGTCAGAACTTGCAGTGTTGGAGGAGAATCGAACCCACCTTGGCATTATATTTTTTTAATTAGTTGACTTTTTACTTTTTTAATGGTCAATTAATGAAAGGGGGTGTTAAGACAGAGTTAATCAAAGTGAGCCGAAATTTAGGGTGTTTTTTTTTTTTTTTTGGCACTAATTTAATATGTGAGTAATGACAAACTTAAAAAAAAATACGAAAGCATTTAACCCTTTTAAAAATTTAAATCATAATTAGGTAATAACAGAATAAATGTTGGTTTAACTTTTTAAATACTCCCTCCGTTCCAAAATAGATGTTCATATTTAGAAATTGAAATTTTTAAGGAGATTTGCAATTAATGCATTGTTTCTTTTTAAAATTACTAAATTATCTTTTTTAATTTAAATATATATAGTTACAAAGTTTGAAATTTTTTAAAAAGATAAAGAATAATGATAAAAACATAATGAAAAAATACTTTGACTTTTTAAAAAGAATAACTAATTTGAGACATGTAAAAAAAAAAAAAAAATAGACTATTAAAATGAGACGAAAAGAATATGATAGAACAACTAATTTAAAATAAATATGAATAGAGGAAATTCATTTAACATAATGTGGCGGCGAGATAAAAAGAAAAGAAATGAGTATAAACAAAGAGAAGAGCCAAAATTTAGTTTGACCAAACTAAAACAGAAATGATTAACAGCTGGCGTTGTTGTTCTGAGTCACGCATTGGTTTAATGATGAGGGCTTTATCAACCTATTCTATCCTATTCTATTACCCTGTGCCTCAAAAACCATAGGCTTACGTGGACTCTCGTTATCATGTAACATTTGGTACGTGGACTGTTATCATTGGCAAACAAATAAAGACCACCGGCATTTGCAACACCACTAGTACTACTAGTGTTGTGGAGTGCACATGCGTGTTGAAATCTGAGGACGTACATTTTTGTTGATGTGACAATGTCAATAGTAAGTGGTCCAATTTACTTTACTTTTTCTTTTCATTTTTACATGTTTTACATTATTATTGTGACGAGCTCATTTACTCAACTTACTTTATTGGACAAAATAAATTATGAAATTAGTCTAATCACACTAAATAATGAGAGTCCGTGTCTCTTATTTTTTAAAAGAAAACTAATACTCCCCCATGATAATAACTTATAAAAAATTGTTTAATGAGGGCTTGTCAAGAAGTAAAATATAAAATTTGACATTCTTCTCTAATTATGTTATATTTAATATTTACTTAAATTTCGAAAATTCTTTTAAAAAAACTTAAAAAATTATTATTATTTTTTAAAATAGAATAAAAATATTATGGGTATAATAGTTATTTTTTATTTTTGGGTAAAAGTCAATACTAATATAAGATGTTAGAACTAATTTGATATGAAAGAATGAAATAAGGTAGGAATGGAATAAATCAAATAATTGAATGAGAATGAAATGACTATTCATATTCTCTCGTTTGGTTATGCATGGCTGAAAAAGGAAAACTAATATATATATATATATATATATATGTAAATCAAATAAATAAATAAATAAATAAATATATATATGCGTAAATATATATTTTCGATGTATATATAGAAATTGAGGAGGGAATATCAAGAAAAAGTTGACTTTTATTGGATCTAATTGTTTGAGAAAAGTGTGTTAGCAATCACATTATTCAAGTAAAACAATTTTTAATATTATTTTTAGTTAGTATTTTTTTAAGTGGGAAATGAAATGCCTATTCTTTTTATTGGAAAGTAGAATGATTTTGATGAAATGACCATTCTTCGAGAAAGGTGGAGAATGAGTATTACATCTTTAAAATTACTTTCCAAACAAAAGAATGGAATTAAAAACATTCCATTCCATTTTATTTCATTTCATTCCCATATTTTTAAAATTAAAAGAAAAATTTGTTATTTTAGGCAATTTTTTACAATGAGATAAATGTAATTTTCAGACATATGATTTTTCAGTTTTATTAAATTTTATCCTTTTATATAGTATCAATCATACAATTAGGTTTCAAATTTAAGTAGAATGCAACACACACACTTTATTTATAATGAACAGATGTAAAAAATTAACAAATGAATTAATAGTTGAAGTTAAAAAAATAAAAATTAATATTTGAAGTTTAAGTTCCACTCATTTAGTATTAAATAAATACGAGCCGAATCTTTAGCCACCAGATTTATGATTCATTTGCAACACTAAACTTAACTTTATATGATTAGATGGCTATAACCCTCAAAATACTCGTATTATATTGGATAAATTACATGGGTTTACAGAAAACATTAATTAAGAATAAAAGTAAGAGAGAGACAAAAAAGAAGAAGATGAAAGTAAGAGTCAGTGGAAGTATTAATTACGGAGTATTAACCAATAAACCATGCTTAGGCGTAGAAAAGTTACTATGAACACTAGCATTGTGGAGACATTGTGTGCGCGTGCGGCTCGAGATGCGTGTGAACCGCTGATTACGGGATCAAATGGGTCCCACTGCCTAATCACCCTTTGGGTTCATAATCGTTTCCAGGTTGGCTGAAGAAAATGTTGTGTTGCTTACTTTTTAGTACTGTACTTACCAAACAAAATATACAAAATTACGTGAATTGCCCCTGATACCCTTCCGAGGCTCTTCCATAAATAGTCCACCTTCCTCTCCCTTTCCCCCTCACCACCGTCACTCTCTCTCTCTCTCTCTTTCTCTTTCTCTTTCTGTCTCTTTCTCTATATCTATATCTATAGGTTTGTGTGTGTGTTTTGCACTAGTAAGAGAAAATGGGTGTTGTGGGTTTGGCCTGCATTGCGTCCCTTATATCACTAGTGTCACTAGTTGAAGCCAGAATCCCTGGGGTTTACTCCGGCGGAGGATGGCAAAGCGCTCATGCTACCTTTTATGGAGGCAGTGATGCCTCTGGTACAATGGGTACGTACTCTAACCAAATTAACTATATATCACTTCAATTTTCACACACACAGCACACAGTAGTCTGTGTTAAATATTGTACACACTATATTGTCCTGCATTTTGCAACAAACTTAACAGAGTACTACTTGCTTTTTTGTCATCAAACATCGTGACACTAATGTCCACATTTTGCTTTTCAACTCTCGGTATTGACTTGCTTGAGCATAAAAAAAAAAAAATCTCTGTCAATCTTGGATTAACAATAAAAATTAACCTAAATTTTCCTTGAATTTAAGACCCATTTTCAATTGCTACTAATTACTAGAGATTTGTTGGTAAACCATTGCTCTCTGTCTTTACATAGGTGGGGCTTGTGGGTATGGCAACCTTTACAGCCAAGGGTACGGCGTGAACACGGCGGCGTTGAGCACGGCACTTTTCAACAATGGGCTGAGCTGCGGTGCCTGTTTCGAGATCAAGTGCGCCAATGACCCGACGTGGTGCCACTCGGGAAGTCCATCAATTCTCATCACTGCCACCAACTTCTGCCCGCCGAACTACGCCCTGCCCAACGACAATGGAGGCTGGTGCAACCCTCCTCGCCCCCACTTTGACCTTGCCATGCCCATGTTTCTCAAGATCGCCGAGTACCGTGCCGGAATTGTCCCCGTCTCCTACCGCCGGTCAGTCTCTTTGTTCTCTCTCATGCTCTGTTTACTCTTTAGCTGGCTTTTTGTTTCTTTCGTTGGTAATGTTTTTGACTATTGAATGGTCCTTGCATGTGGGTCAGATTTTGATAAGCGTTTTACTCACTTTTAATTAGTTACAAATCCTTGTTTTATAGTTAGGCTTCAGAGCTTGAATAACATCTATAAATGATTTTGACCAGACCGTTACGAATAGGTATAAACACTACACGCAAGGTGCTGAAATCCTCCACTGATTTGATCAATTTAGCTCCTTTTTTCGGTTATGTCCTCACCAAAAGAAGACTAAAGTTATTCTTCCCATGCAAAATTAGCTTTAAGACCAACTCTATATAATTTAGTAAGTTTGTTTGGTGTATTAATTTTCAATATATATATATATATATATATATAGAGTATAATGGATTGTGATATTTTTTAATTTTTATTTGGTATAAGAAAATATTATATAGTATAAAAATACATGCACTTCTACATTCCATTGTAAGAATCGGACGGCTCACATGAGTGGTGGTGGGTGGGACTATAGTGTAATGTATATACACGGATGATCCGGACTGCTGCGTACTTTTGATCGGTTTAAAACAGCACACACTTTATTCTACGCGTATGTTACTTCGTAGTTTTGTATTGAATGTCAAACATCAGACAATAGGTGGTGGGGGAGACCGACACAGTCTCCGAGGTACCAGCCGTTCATCGAATGTGAAAGGGTTTGTGATTAAAAACGCCGTACTTCTTCTGGGTCCCACCTAAATAAATTCACTCTCCGCGTTCCACGGTAATGGAACATTGGAACTCTACAAATCAAATGACCAATCTGACCTCGTTGTTTCGCCATTTATTACGCAGGGTGCCATGCCGAAAGCGAGGAGGGATAAGGTTCACCATCAACGGCTTCCGGTACTTCAATCTGGTTCTCATCACCAACGTCGCGGGTGCAGGGGATATCGTGAAGGCGAGCCTCAAAGGGTCCAAGACTGGTTGGATCAGCCTGAGCCGTAACTGGGGTCAGAACTGGCAATCAAACGCCGTGTTGGTGGGCCAGTCTTTGTCGTTCCGCGTCACGGGAAGTGACAGGCGCACCTCCACTTCGTGGAACATTGTACCCTCCAATTGGCAATTTGGTCAAACCTTCACTGGAAAGAACTTCAGAGTCTGAAAAACACCAAAAACAAAAGCAAGTTTTCAAATTTCCCGCCTTAACAAGTTTCCAGTTTTACCCTTATTGGCGCCAATTTTAAGATGCTTTCTTTTTTGTTGTAGTAGTTACTGTTGTGTTTGGGTAGTGTGAAGGTTGAAAGAAAATTAGAGTGGGTAATTTTCGAAGTATTTTGGTGAGGGGATAAGCAATTGGTAGGTGAGAGAGGCTGAGGCGGCTGCAGAATCCAGTAGCCCGCAGCTTCTCAAAGTTAATAGTACTGGTGGTATAAATTATATATGTATAATATCATATTTATATTTACATATATATATGTATCTAGGTATGAGCAATGTCTGGTCTAAATTTGGCTTGTTTGATCAACTTCTACCGATTCTCTTAATAATAGCTGGTCTCTTTGATCGTTTTAGTAACATGAGCTTTGACTAGCATATAATTGGTGCAACTTAGACAATTTCCCATTTTAAATTTACAATGTTTTGGAGCATCAGCTCGGTCCTTTAAATTTGAAATTAGATTTGGTGCAACTTAGACAATTTCCCATTTTAAATTTACAATGTTTTGGAGCATCAGCTCGGTCCTTTAAATTTGAAATTAGATATTTAGTTCAAATATTAATTTGAAATTAGATATTTAGTTCAAATATTTTCGCATTCAAGGCGTTAATTCGGTATTCTTTTATTGTTAATAAGCTTCTGAAAATACAAGGTTAATAAAACATCATCATACATGGAGTTATATGGAAAGAATATTGGATCATAGAATATAGTAGGAGATGACTTTTACTGAGTTGTTTTTCATTTGATTACCGTCAAAAGAAGCAAAAACAATGAAGAATACTTCTACATTTGATGTGTATTAAAGTGTTTCATTGAATTATTGCACAAAAGTAACTGATTCTCTCAGATTATTGTTAGTGTTCTTACTTTATTAATTTTGAACTTTTAGAATAGCACCAAAAACAGTGATCCATACGGCAGTGTATATCTAACACACAGAAAAAGTGCTTACCATGCTAATAATTAATCTAACATGACTCCGATTAAGTTATATATTTAAATCATTTAATTTTCTTGAATTTCACCGTACTGATCTTTTGGTTAGATTCCTTTTAGTTAATCATGATTTGATACCATGCTCCCCGATACAAACAAATATTGACCCACAAAACCCTTTTTAAAGAGAAAATTTCTCCCACGATTGAATAGACCCCCACCCATTCACATATCTCTCATTTGACATCTTTTGAACTCAAAAAATGTATCATTACTCATTTAAAAAAGAGCTAATCCAATTACCTGTATCACCACATTAGTACAATTGATAATAGCAAGTTACATTCTTCACATAAATATAAGATTCTTAGTGCTTGTATGGTTCAATTTTGAAGAACAAAACTGGTATAAGTGAATTAAAAAAAAAAAGGGGAAAGAAAGAAAAGTAAAAGAGAATGGCAAGTCCAATTAAATGGCACTAACACAAACAACATCTAATCAGAAATAGTTGAGCTCCTTTTTCTTTTTTAACAAAACATGACCAGTATCTCCAAACAGGTCTCATCTCAAGAAGATCCAATGCAATGATGCCATTAACGAAACATGCACATGGGTCGGGTGGGACCCGGGGGAGCGACCCTTTGTTCACTCACATGCTTTCTTTGGATTCTCCTTGTCCTAAAAGGCAAACAAACTAGAGCTTTGGATTCTCACTACCTCCCACAAGTGTATCCCCTCTTTTTTGTTTGTTTTGGTTGTGGATTCTTTGGCGATATTCCTTTGAAATCAGTGACAGTGAGAGAGGAAATTCTTCCACACACTGCCTTGTCTAATTTTAAGATAAAAAGGATAGGAAATTGAGGAATCCTCAAACCATATATTTTAAACAAACCGTAGTCAATTTGAAGGATTCCGATCCAACCAAAATGATCCGTGTCTCACGGCAACAAAAATGAAATTAGCATTGAGGCAGGGCATACACTGCCATTGCCTTAAGTTCTAACCAAGTTCTCTGTTTCATTTTCTTCTAAAATATACGAGAACATATAACTAATGTATATCATGTTCTTCTTCCAACCCAAAAAGATGAGGGCTTAAATTTTTACCAAAAAAAATTACAGCAGATAAGTTGAAGTTGCTACCAAGCTCAGCAAAAGATGCCACCTCCACATTCAATAAAACCAGCTATTGATATCAGACAAATAGAAAAGGCTCATCCACATAATATTTATGTCAATACTAATGACAAAAAAAAAAAACCAAGTTTTTGTACTAGACATAACAAATATGCATATTACCAAGCTTCTATAGAGTCATTCTATTATCAAACTCTAGTTCCTCTTCCGCTTATGCATTCTCAACTGCTTCAGCATACAAGATAGTCCTTCTCTCAATGTTGCTTGCCTGCCTTCTTTGAAATTCCACAGCTCCGGTATAGCATGCCTTCCACTGGGATTGTACTCGTTGATCTCCATCAAGGCAGTTGTCACAGCAAAGTATACTTCGTCACCAAACTCATTCTTTACATCGCTCAGTTTTTCATCATCTTCATTGATAATTTCCTAAGCAGCCACACAAATTAACCATATAAGCACGGAGGTAAACCATAAAACAGAGACACAGAGTGTGTGTTAAGGAAGGACGGAAAGTTGTAAGAGACATTCAAGTTGCTAGTTCGCATCTCAATCTCATTTTAATTTAAATTAATGACTGTAGTACTGTTTGTATCCCTCCTATCTTTTAATAAATAGTTATAAGTGAAAGAAAAGTATCATTTCCCCATTCGTATTCGCGTAGATAAGAAATTAACAGTATCTATTGGAATGATTAAATGAATTTAAAATTTTAAAATATGTGCCTATCCAATTTTATCAAGAGTGCAGCTGCAGAGGTAAAAATGGCAACCGACAATGCTACTTGAAATTCATAAGGTGCTGACATAAGCAGCAAAACTGACATTCTTTCACAAGTTTAAATTTATAAGATTCAATGATACCAACTAATGTGGCAGATGAGCTCTAAATCTCTGTAACATCTTGTCAGTGACAGCTTGGTCAAAAAATGAGAAAATGCTTACAGAGAAAAGACTCAGAACTTATCTACAGTCCATTAATCCAGTGAATATATGCATTTCAGGCACACCATAAGAGACTGACATCTCCAGAAAATCCCAAATACAGTAACAGCTGCCTCATTAAAGATGGCCTCTTTTACATAAATTACATTCCCATCAGCCATTAGTTATCGAGCAAAGGCCTACCGTGCTCTATAGATGGCTTATCAACTTGTTTTTACTTCTTACTTTCAGGATAAACCTATAAAAGCACTCATTGCATTCTGTCATATTATTCTTAATGCACGTAGCAGTGTAGCAGAGTATAGAGAAGCAGGAAGCAGTTGCTGGGCAAGTTCATGCACAAGTTCTTGTTTGTTGATCACTAGAGTGGGCACTCATTGCTAGCTGTGTATTTCGGCTGAAAAAGATGGCAAAAAAGGATGAAGAGGAAAGTAAAAGAGGAAACTATCTTAGTGGTGTCCTGCCATTAGCAAAACCTGAAATGATACTATTGTCAAACACCAAAATCTTAGGATAGAGGAAACAAGCTGAATACTTCAACTGTCCAACTTTTCCCCACCATAAAAAATCAACCACATGAAGTTTTTATATAGCACCATGCAAGATATGGTAATTTCAAAGTTCACTCACCTAACATAGAAACAAAATGAAGTATCCTAAATAACTTCTACTGAGCTATGAAGTTGTTCCTCTTTTCTGTTGTGAATTCTCAAGAAAATCACAGTGGTTATATGTTCAAAATCACGTGTGCATGTTATCACACAAATCTCATAAACATTTTCACATCACATTTAGGATTGAACGTGTATTATAACTAGGTTTGAGTCGTGTACAATTAATGCAATCAGGAAAGGGAGTGCATGAGTTATGAGAGAACCTTGGGAGTTTAGAATTGAAGGTTACTATCAAAGAATTCCAGCATTTTTCGACTAGAAATATTTGCATCTACTAGTGAAATGTGAAGAAAGAAAACCACTACTTATATTAATCAACTCCTTCCGGGCTTCTTGCAGCTCATCATCATTGCTTTTCCGCTCCTTGACAATGAGAGCTTGACTCAATGCTTCTAGGCTTTCGAGTTCTTCTTCCTTCTCTTTCAGATAATTTTCTCCTATGCGTTTCATTACGTGTAGAGCCCCTCTAACCTCTCATTTGGTCTATCTCCAACTCCAGTGCTTGTTTGCCATCAACATTCTTTTCTAGTTCAATATTTCTTTTCAGAACTTTTTCTTTCTCCCTCTGCAATTGAAGTCACAATCACATGATAAAGTTCGAACGTTTCTAGACAATCATAATTTCATTCCTGGTGATTAAAGTCAAAACAAAAAAATGCGTAGATTACCTTTTGACCTTCAGACAATCTTAAAACGTTTTCAGCCATCTTCTTTTGCTCCAAGGTTGCTTTCTCAATCTAAAAGAACAAAGCAAATCTGTTACCATTTTTCACAAAAATTCAAATGTTTTGTTATCTAGCGCCTGCAACATGTACCAGCCAATACCTAAGATAAAAGCTAGGATATACGTATCCTCCAGTATCATAACAAGATGAGTATTTTTGTGTGCAAAAGAAAAGCAACACATTTTGGAGATAGTGAGTTTCAATACCAAAGCAAGTATCAGTTTCTGGTCCACTTTGCTCAAATGAAATCAGCCTACTACTACTTAAAACAGTTTAAGATATATACAGAACATTTACTTAAAATCTAAATAATTAGACAAATAAAAAATATCCATATCGAAACAGTTACTTTATGTTTTTTTGGTTGTAAGTTCTAGCTTATGCTGAAATGGCACAAACTTGAACCTCTAATTTTTTTCCGCATATATGAAATTTTTTATATAGTTCCCCCTAACTTTTTCTTTATTTTCTCTTTTATTCTTTAAAATTTCAAATTCCTTTACTTACCTTAAAAGAAAAAGTCAAATTTTTTTTCGTCAATCAAACTCTAATTTTTTACTTTCAGACTTCGCTCATTTTTCTTCTTTTTAATGTGAATATTTGAATAATTTTTTTCTTCGTCTTTTATACTCTGTATTTTATTATTTTAATTTAGTGAACTCTGATCCACCAAAGCCAGAGCCAGTACCTGAGGGCAGTAAAGCTGCTGGAAAAAGAGTGTCCCAGCGGGAATTGGGACCTGACCTTCCTCTTGGGGAGTGGCAAGAAATGCCACTGACGGTGGCAAAACTAGTAAATATATTTTTTTTTTTTTGCACTTTTGGTGTGATTTATTCCTCTGCAAGAAATTGACACGCTAATTTGTTCATTTGGGGAATTGAACCCTTGTCTTTCACTTCGGAAGACAGAGAAGATAGTGAGATACTACTAGGTTACTGCCCT